TGCAGTAGGTACTGGATATATGTATGTTTATAGCATGCGACATTCCTAGTGCTCTTAAACAATACCTTTCATACGTCCCACCTCGCTACCCACCACGATAATAATAATATAATTTGTGACGCTGTTGCCTCACTAATGTCTTAGGTCTCGCCCGTGAGATTTATCGCCATGTGTATAATTATATTTATAATATTATAATACGTTGTTTTTCGCATTACAAATGACACAATACAAATATAATTGTATTTATTATTCTTAACACTGTGCGTTTTCGTGTGTTTTTAGTTTCTTCAAAACTTGGGGAAAGTCGATCGGACTCAAGATGAGATTTTCAACGAACACTTGCAAAATTTCTCAAAACAACAAAACGCGGCCAATAAGTTACAAAAAGAGTTCAACAACTATATCCGATGCATCCGAGGTAAGCAATATGTGTGATTAATCAAAAATGCTAGAGTTTTTCTTTGGCTTCGTATACGATCGATGGCCTTAATTCTCTATAAACCTAATCATATTATTATTATCTATTCTATGTACTTGTGTACAAATCATACATTAAATTATACTCACCGTTAGTGTTTTTTTTTTCTTTTTCTTTTTTTTTATCGATTATTTAGTCCTTAACTTGGCGGGAACGTAGGGGGTAGTGTGAATACCATAGAAACTAATTAGCCGCATATTTCAACGTGCCCTGTATATTATACTTCTTTGAGATTCTGAGCGAAGTATGCAATACTATATAGTGTTAACTGTGATTTGTTATTATTATTATTTTTTAATTTCATTTTTATTGTTTGTGTCAGTAAACGACTTTTCTGTTAGGAATTTTGTTTCACTGAAAAACTTTATATGAACATTCTTGTAGTATTTTAGATCTATTTGGTGAATCGGAGAAGTAATTTTTAGATTTTCCTCGTAGTTTTGTTAATAAATGGGAAGAAGTAGCGAGTTTTGAATTTTCGTTGATTTCTGGATTACCTTGACAGAGAGAGAAAAATACTAATTATACTCTGCTCAGGTTCGTTTTTCATTAATAATAGTTTACCGTTGCGCACAGATATAAATTTAATTACCTACTCTATACATTCTCCTTTTCAACTTCTCTTCTAAAACAGTGGCACACCCATCAACAGTATTAGCTTTTGTTTGTTTTTAAACAAACAAAATAACGCATATAGCGAACAGTTTCCTATTTTGACCAATGTGAGTAAATATTGCCGATGAAAATGTGCAACAGTGGTAATACGTAATGGTTCATCTCCTAACAGTATCTACTTAAAATGGCTTCTTTCGTGAACATTTTTTTGGTTGGTTTATGACAGCAATTTTTTGAGATTATTGAGGGAGGGGATTCGAAGGCTTAATCCTTTTAAGATGCGTTTCTTATGTTATCATCTCTAAGTAACCTTACTGGTTTTTTCTATGCCAAGCACTATGTGATTATCTCGTATAAAACACTTTTAAACCTATGATTTAATATATATTTTTTGTTTGTTATATAATTTAGCCGTTCAAGTGGCAAGTAAGAGTCTTATGGACACCTTGAACGAGATGTACGAAAGCCAATGGGTTGGACACGATCACATGTGTACCCATTCGAACAATTTAGACATGCTGTGGAGCGATTACAGCCACAAGTTGGCCGATCAAGTTCTCATACCGCTCAACACGTACCAAGCCCAGTTCGCCGAGACCCGGGTAATTATTCTGCAGACATAGTTTTCTATAGTACAAAAGAATTTTCAATTGGATGCACCGAGTGCAACTGTCTATGTGTATACTATCGTTGAATTGGTTTATAGTTTGGTTTTAATTGCACTGAGTATCCACCGACTGCGCGGACCGATTTTATTAGTGTAAATATTATTACTGTGAAGTGATTGAGGTAAAAAAGAACCCTAATAAATTTACTTTTTCATAGTAAAGCTCAATTCGTATTTAAATATATAAATATTTTTGTTTTTGTTTTTTGATTTACTAAAAAAAACGTATAATCTGTTACAATCTAACAAAAAACATAATAAGTAAATATGATAGTTTAAAATATTACAGAGATTTGGTTGGCTTGATGAGGGAGGCTTTTCAGATCATTGATAGAACCATTCAGATATATTAACATTTAAAACCAATATTGTTATGAAAGTGTTGCTTTATAGTGTTGTTGAATATTATCGCCAAATCGAAAATGCTATACGCAAATAAAACTCATTACATTTTCTAAGAGCCATTTACGATTGTACATCGTTTTAGTGATAAGATTTTTTTGTATGACAGTCTTATTTTTTTTAAACATACAATTTGGCATGCAATAGCATAGTGCAACGTTGCCATCGTCATGATACTATTTTATAGTTCTACGCGAAAAACAAAATTACTGAAGCTATAAATTAAAAAGAAAATTTTTTTAATTAAGTTCAATAACTTTCGCCAAAAATACAAAGTTTTATTTTTATTTTTACATTTCCACCTAAACCAAATATAACTTATACTACAGAGTTCATGGAAACATTTATTTTGATTGAGATTTGAGATATAAATACAATGAGACGATTTTTAAAATAAAAAGATTAGACTCGTCATTTTTTGTTTCGAATTCACTTTACTCTTCGCATTATTCGTCCATTCTCATATTGTATCGGGCTGTTATTAATAAATATCGTACGCATTATCGTATTGATAAAAAAAAAAAAAAACCCATACATTCCCCACCCTCCATAAACTCCCAGTGTATCTTTAGGTATTTTTAATTATTATTATTCCTTTTTTTACAGAAAAAGATCGACAAACGCAACAGAAAACTCGTGGACTACGACAGTCAAAGGCACAGCAATCAATTAGCCAGTAACAATGGCGGTGGGGCTGGCAAAAAAAAAGATGAGGCTAAAATGTTAAAGGCCAAAGAACAATTCGATGAAGTTAAACGGAAGTTCGACCTCATAAACACCGAGCTGCACGACGAACTGCCTGCTTTGTACAACTCCAGAGTATTGTTTTTGATCACGAATCTGCAACCGTATTTTGCCGCTGAACAATTGTTCCACCAAGAATCCTCGAAAGTATGTATAGTTTTGGTTTTTTTGCCAGATTCGTTTTAGTCATATCTTAAGATAATAATAATAATAATCGATATTTTGCGGAAGGTGTTTTTGGAAATGGAGTCGATCGTTGATAAACTAGCTACAGATTATCAACACCAGTCGAAAATGTTGACCTACTTCCTTGGAGGAAACAAAACGCCAAACAAAATCTCCAACAATATTCAATCCGCGTATGTATAACGAATTATATTCTTAAATTTCTTGTGTTTCGACACTTATTAAGTTTTGTAATTCTCGTTTTTTTCCCCTTATATATATTTACAGATCGCAATCGCCGGTGTCTCCGATATCTATGAATGGTAATTATTATAATTTTTGTTTTAATAAACCATGCGTAAAGTATAAAGCCGTAGTTACGGGAGTACAGGAGCTATAAAGACGATAGTTTATGGGCTTTATGCCTGGGGAAAATTATTGGATGCACTCTCTCATAGGCCTCCTCAAATGCCGCTACTTAGATAGAGAGGAAAAATGAGAAAGAATTGGAATGTTAAGGAGAAAACTGCGAAAACCTGTTTGATTCGTTTATTATTTTTGTTTTTTTTTTTTTTTTTTTGCTTTTGTAGTAGTATAATATATTTAAATTAAATAATATCGTCCCGTTTGTCAAGACTAATAATTTTTGTGTGAAACTAATGCGTGCGATGTAGAAGAAGAAAACGCGTTCCCGTCACCGCAGCCGGCTGAAGTCGTAAGTAAACCCACACCGGACAGCGTCAGTAGTAATGACATCGCCGTCATATCGACGCCTCCGTCCAAAAGTACGTCAGCCGAAGAAGAACCCGCCGCGACGACGACTCCTGCGTCGTTGGTCAACGGCAAAAGCCCGCAAGTCAACGGCGTCGCGCCGGTCAGACACGAGAACGGCAGTAATAAAAACTTGACCGTTGAAATCGACATACCGCCAGGTACGCCAAGCCGATTCGGTTCGGTTTTATACTTACTGTCATTTTTCATACATATATATTTTTGTTCGCTAATTAGCTGATAATAATAATAATAATAATAATTACAGTTTGATCTGTAATAGGAAAACCCGCGTCTTAGTTATCTTAATAACACCGTTGTTTGAAACTGCTTTGCCAATAATAATATTGAAATAACGACATTTCAATGTGTGATATAAAACTGACAATTCAGTACTAATCGTAACGGGTTTTAATGTTTTCCGCAGGTGCTACTACTGATAACTTACCGCCGGGAGTTCTGTATAGAGTAGTGGCCACTTACAAGTACGATGCGGAAGACTCGGACGAGTTATCGTTCGAAAAAGGCGAAATCATCAGCGTAGTACCGTACGACGATCCCGAAACACAGGCAAGTTGCATGGGCCAACAAAAGTTAATTTTAAATGTTAACTATTATATAAGCATAAAATTGAATCAAGTTCATGAAAAAAAATTTCCTAAAAGAGCTTACTTACTGCGTAAATTATTAGTATTTGTAAATTGTTTTAAAAGTTCTAATATTGACCTTTACCAACTTATAATCTCAGTGATTTTTTAAACTTCTCAAATTCATTTTGTTTTCACAAGTTCTTATAAGATATATAATAATTTTTTTATATCACAATATTTAAATATTAAATTATTATATAATATTTGTTATTATATTTAAAAAAAACCAAATTTTTAACAAAAAAATTTTATTTTGATTTTATTTTCACTGCCAATAAATCTAACAAATATGAAATTATTGGTTAGGTTTATAATTTAATATTTTTTTTCTAATAAAAATAAAATATAAAATTTGGAATTTTAATCAAAGTTAACAAAAGAAATACAAAGTTTAAGATTATTTGAAATTAAACTAATTTGAGACCTAATGCACTTATTACTTATTATTGCAGTTATTGCTGTTATTTGTTTATTTTAATTATTATTTATATTTTTTTGTTTGCGAAAATAGGAGGAAGGCTGGTTAATCGGCATCAAAGAGAGCAGCGGAGAAAAGAAAATGTTCCCCGCTAATTTCACAAGACCGTTGTGAGTGCTGGCAACGGATCGTCGCAAGTACAAGATCACGACGAGGCCGAGTATTCTCAAGTTCAGTTTCTGGATGTTAGTGATTTCGTTTTATGTTTTTATGTCCTTGTACGTCTATTCAAATGACATTTGACATTTGGTTTTGCCCAAAACGCGCTGCTGAAATGACTGCGATAAATAACATATAGTTCTTATATATATATATGTATGTATATATATATATATGGCATTTTTATTTTATAATCTAAAAAAAAACACCACCCCTTAAGTTTTTAAATGTTTATTTTTTTTTACACTCTGATTGTGTCAAGAAGTTTGGCAAAAACAAAGAAATTATTTGATGATAATATTATTACATATAATTAATTTGACTGATTGATAGAAATCGTAACGAATTTAACGGGTGTCCAAATACTTATAATAATAGTATTATATTGAGACGATTATAAATATTATGTACATCGATCAACCTTGAAAAAATTCTCATTAACCTAATCAATATGTGTTGTAACGAGTGCCTTTTAAATTTTTTTTATACGTGTTAAAATTATGAGGTAAATAATTGATCTTTTTTTTTTTTTTTTTTTTGTGCCATTTGAAAGCATTTTGTCATAGCCGCTTTAATCAATCCTACACAATTTATCTACGCTACTCGATTATATACAATATTTTAGTACCTGCAGTAAAACAGTGTAATAACTTACGATACCTAATAATACTTCGCTCGTATTCACGCGTTTACTACTTTTAATTTTTTTTTTTCTATGTGTTGTTATTTTGTTGTATTTTGTGTGTTAAACGTTTTTTTTTTCTACTTTTAGCATGTGTGTGATCCATAAAGGTCCGAGAGCATTTTATAGTTTTCAAACATTTACCCCATCCCAGTATGCTACCCTCCACTTCAGATAATATTATATTATAGTCAAACAAAATATTTTATGTACATAACTTACTACTCTCTACTATATAGTTTAGACAGTAAATTATTGTCTATAATAAGATTAATATTCTATTATTATATCTGTATTTTATTATTATTATTTAATTATAATTATTAACTCTGATGTATAAGTATAGACTCTAAATTTATTATTATTACTACGACATATTTTTTTTAGATGTATGTATTATATTTATTATTTTTTTGACTCCTTAAGTAGTTTCGCTATAGGCGTTTTAACACTCAGTATTTGCTAAAAAACTTATGTTATTAACAATAATAATAATAACCATGTAATCGGTAACTATACTTTAATCGTGCGAACGGGTCTAGGATTTTGCTCGTCGTCTAGTATTCTTTGAGTGATATTTGATTGCATTTAATTTTTTTTTTTTTCGTTCGTTTCCGCCAATGGCTTTTATCCGTTTGGACCGCTTTCATGGCTATAATATTGTCGTATAGGATTGGACCAATATGGGATGTACATGTAATTGATGTTGGTTCGATGGTACATGCTATCGTACTGTAAAAAAATCGCTATTTACCGTTCGGTCAATAATTGCTATGGGTTTGGCCAAACACACTTTATTACTATCCATACAATTGTAAAGATGGCTAAAATCGAGAGACCGGACTGAGGGCGACGTTCTTCCAGAATAACGTTAGTGGCCAACTTAACCTAATCGCAAAACCCCGTCGAGAAAACCGTGTATGTCGTTATCAAGATCCGATTAAACAGGGGGCGTCGGAAGCTTCCGTCACTGAAAACTGATAAACCACGATCAAAAAAATGCGATAATTCGTGCGCTATTTCTCGTCGATATAAGTGTAAGTTTTTTTTTCTCTCAGACCGAGAGATTATATCGCCGATCGGCCAACGCAGGAGCGGTGTCAAAAAAAATATATGTAAATCAGTATTTTATTGTATTTTTTTGTTTTTCTAAACATTTTTTTTACGACTAATATTCACGTGTAATCGTTATTAATATTTCTAAAATTCTTAACGGTTTTTTTTTTTTTTTTTATGTAGTTATGAATTGTATAAGTTGATATTGTTATATTATGAAATAATATAATTTTGTTCCGAAAACCCTACACTTTCATTGCAAATAAAAATATTATAATTTTTTGTCTCGTTTGAAATGTTGAAATGTCATTTCGATCGATCCTCGTCCTGAACCATCGTCGTTACCGACCGTATTCCTTACATCTATCCAGCAAAGGAATCTATCTTTGATTCAACTCGATCCGTGTACAAACAAATTACCCGGCAAAACTTTTTCAGATATAAAACAAACGTGTTGGTCGGAAGACGCACTTGACAGGGTATATATCACTAAAAAAGTTTTCCGGTTTCCGTTTTCTACGATTTATTTGAGTACAATGCAATTTATATTTAAAAAAAATCATACAAAATGTTATTCTTTTTATTTAGCTTACATCATAATAACTTAACTTATCATTAACAATACCAATTAAAGTGATTTTCGGTACCACGCGTGTTTTCTTTTTTTTCATCTCATAAAATACCACAGTACGTACGGTATACCAGACGTAGTTCCCCGTAATCAGGACACCTACAATTATATAATGCAGATTATATCTACTAGATTAACTAGTAAATACAAAACCGGATTAAGGTATTTAAAGTCTCCGGAGTCTAACGTTTTAATAAGGCCCTCGAAAAGAACGGTAAATTAATTATTAAGATAATTGCAAAAAAAAAAATCAATGCACATAACTGGACAAATTTGCTCTTAGAAAAGAAAGCAACTTTTGCTGCACTTTGAAGTTGGAGCAAAGTTTCAACAGACAGAAAAATAAAAAATAAAACCAAAATAAATTGTTAACCATTATTTTTCAATACGGTAATATGTTTCAACAAAAGCAAAACAATAAATAATCTAGAGATAATAGACCATAATTTAGCAGTCATAAATACATTTTTCAAACAAATATATTTTTTTAAAAAAAATTTACGGTACTAGTGAATTTCTCTGTAAGACATCGGGTAACCGAAAATAATTATTAAAAGTAATAAAATATCAAATTGCAAAGTTAGGCAATGATTCAATTGCACTACTCATTTTGACGAAAACAGAGGCTCTTGGAATCGTGTGATCCACCCCCTCCTCTTAATCCGGGTTTAGGTAAGTATTCCTTATCGTGATTAGGACAACTGTACGCCACCTTAAATACATACGTTCAGTGCTACCAAGCATGCTAGGGATGTGTATTGATTGGGATGCAAGTCAATTTTATGCGACCTACGTACCGTTTACGGTTCGAAAATAGCCTTTTATCAGACTTATTATTAAGACTTAAAAGTGACCCGGGAATGTATCGTAACCACTTCCTCCATATCCTCGATCGTAGAGGCGTGATATTCCAATTCACAGCTTAGTGACCCTCACAGACCATCGAATCAGTCGCAGCGAGAAGCGTTAGCTGTCTTGCAAAATAGCGACCCTGCCGGATAACGGGCTACGTTAGGCGCAGCATCACAAAATTATAATGAGAAAAAAGAAAAGGTTACAATAGTAACAAAATATTATTACAAGTCCAAACCAAAACTATACACAAAAAAAAATCGAGAAAAAGTTTGTAGAAAAAATTGCACAAACACACAAACGCGCGTACAAAATATTTCCGTATACGGGTTGTACGCGCGTGCTTATATTTAAATAACAAAAAAAAAGTATTATAGAAAATAAAATAAAAACTAAAAAAAAGTTTCGTTTGGAACCGCTTGGCGCCTAACCTAACCTAACCTTAGCTTATAAACAGCGGTCATCCGTGTAATTTAGATTCGTTGTCCGTATCTCGTTTGGTCGCCTGTTCCTGTACGGCCTTTAGGAGTTTTCGCCTGGGTCCCAGCGGCAGTCCAAGCGACACCAAGTCCTGGTCGTTGAGCATAAACAGCGCATCCAAGTCGACCCGCTGCTCGACGAACTTGTCGACGTACTCACCGACGCCCGCCGCCGCCAGGAACTCGTACATCGCCGAACGCTCGGCAACCGGTCGTCCGTTCACCGCTATATTTTCCTCTGTAGTCGTCAAAACAAAAAAACACGTTAAAAATGATAACGAGATTATTCAAAATTTAAAAATAATAATCATGGGTAACTATTAATTTAAATTTAAATAAATATCGTTCTTTAATTATTCTTTTATGTAATTGCGTATGATCAAAGTAAACTGATGTTTTAGCTGCATTGATACTTTTGCACGCTCAAAATTAACCCAATTAACATAGGCTTACCTTTCATAACTATCGATTGATACAAATGATACATTGATTTCTATATATGTAGAATTGTATGACTGTAAGGGTATGTTTAAGCCACTACCACCAATACTGCTATTCCAGACACATCTATATAGCGTGCAATCGAAAAGGTCTTTTCAGGATAAAAATCATCTAATAACCACAAATATAATGTAACCCTATACCCCTATACAGATAGAGAAAAAGTTTCTGAAAGTATATGCGCGGAGTGGCTACGAAACTTACAGAAGAGAACAGAAAGTAAGACATTTTTAAAATTTGATGCTAGGTACCGAAAAATCTTTAAGATTCAATGGACAGAAAAAGTAACAAATCCGGAAATAGGTATTAAACAGAATAAACTAAAAATCGAAACGGATAAAATTATAGGACATGTAATTTATCACGGTAATTCGACTAAAATTGTTATAGGAGTCCATATTAGAAGAGGCAGACTATAATAAAAACAAAAGAATCTAAACTACGGGTTTTCGAAAGGAAGATGTTAAAACGGAATTATGGATGGTTAAAAATACATGTAATTAGAATGCCATGGAATCACTATGACCAATTAAACGACCAGATGATGTGAACAAGTAGGTAAATAGAAAGAATATATTAAGTGCGTAGAGAAAACGAGACTCGATAGTCAAAAAAAGTGATATTTAAAAAGTTGGAAACTCAGCCCACAAAATAACACTACGAACGTGGTGTTATCGTAGGGAAGATTGCGTTAAGAAGGATTTTGCTGTCTTTAGAAATGCATGCTGACAGGACGTTGTAGACGGTCGAGTAAATTCAAAAAAAATACTTATGTTTGGCAGGGTGAATTTCGACAGTCTCAACGGAAAAAATAAATTGTTAATATTGTTATAGACGGTAGCCCTTAGACGTAAGCGTTCACGGGAAACGGTTAGAACAATAATTATTAATAATTAGAGTTGATATTTGAATGGCCCGAAAACCTTTTAATAATAGGTATACGTGCATTGTGCAAGCACGAATACGAAAATAACCAAAATAAATAACGATAAAAAATCATGTTGAAAATGTTGAAAATGTCTTCGAAATGCGCGAAATCCTGAAACACGCACAATAAATGTTGTATACAGAATCGTCGCGTAACGAAACGCATTTTAGTATAAACAGGTATTTTTTTTGTTTCGACCGATCAATAAAAATATGCAAAAGTAAGCCTATAAATATCTGCCCGACTATCGTCCAGCCGGTCTATTATATTACCAGACCGATAATATTACATTAGATAATTCACGCATTGATTTACCGTCACTGTTTTGAAACTCGTCCCAGGACATGGCGCTGCTCGGTTGGTTCCGCTTGACCAGACTTCCTGCGCTGCCGATGCTGCACGACTCGTCTTCTATGGTCGCTCTGGACACGTCCGGCACCGGGATCGTGGTCGCGCTGCAAAATTATTTATATTTTATTGTCGTCGTTATCGTCGGGACGCGACGCGCGCTAGACAATTTAATAGCCTGTAATATGCGGGTGAGTAACGTTAGACCGGAAAAACGGTATTTTCGATTACGAACGTATACGTATAATATAGTCATTATGTAGGAATATCTATCAATACGGGGGTTATTTTTTTACTCAGAGTTATCGGTTTTCGGAATAATGCTCCGAATCATTCATAGGCACTATGAATGAATCGTGTACCTACTGTGCCAGCTGAAAATACGCGAATTTTCCGGCCGGCGACGGTACTTGGTTAATAATTGAAAAAATCAATGATACGTAGGTATTTTATTGTTCTGTACTGCACGCTGTTGTCGATTGCCCGTGTCCAATCGATGCCTAATAATTAAAACCCTCTCTGTGTAGACAGACTGTTTGTTTTTTTTTTTTGTAAACATACGGTTTGACGTTAAAACGTCGTCCTCGTACCTGTACTCCGAAGACGCGCGGTCGGAAAAAAACAATTTTCACGGGGGAAAAAAAAAAAACCATTAAGTATACCTAATGATGTAAAAATAACAGGACATCGCCGTATAGCGTGATCGAAATATATCGATCGAATACACCATCTCGTACAGGATGTACGGATTATTGTTTTATTTATGAAACCGTCACCGTGATGTAAACATCCGATATATATACGAGTACAAGGACAATGTACGCGTAAGACGGCCGCGTTCGGATCCGTTACTCTGGTCGTGTGGCACAGAAAAACAACAAAATAAAACCCTTATCACCGTAATGGATATATCAATTTATTATTATTATTTTTTTTTATTATTGTTATAATAGGCTTTAACATCTAAGGTTATTAGCCTTGTGTATATTGTACAAAAATTAAAGTACCTAATGTATAAAAGTTTTTTTTTTTCACACGACATATTGTTTAATAATATAGAAGTATTGAACGTTGTATATAATATTAATTTTAGTTGGAAGTGTTAGGATTTTTGAGGTGTTGTCTTCATTGAGAGTTTCTTCTATAATTTGTTTGGTCTAGATTGATAAGGTATTTCTTGTATTTTGGAATTTTGGACATTATTATATGATATTTTTGATAGTCAGCAGTTAGAGCAACTAGGCATGTATGTACTTTGTATAAGAGTGCTGCATCTATGTTTATGAGTTAGGAGTGGGTTGAGATGGTATGCCCGATTCTTATTCTTGTAGTGGCGATTCCCTGTCGTATTTTTTAATAATGTGGAATATGCCATTTATTCGTGCTTTTTTTAATTCTTTTTAACTTATTAGATATTGAAACAGAATTCCAATAATTTTGACATGCCGTCTTTATTTTTTGTTTAATCTAATTTTTAATTTCGATAACCGATATGTCGGCGATTATGGAGTGCATGATTGTATTGGTGGCAAGATCAGCCCTCTGATTTCCTGTAATTCCAACGTGTGATGGTATTCACATAAATCCTATGTTTTTTTTTTTTTTTGATAAAAATAATTAGGTTTGAATATTCTGGCAAATTTCATATATTATTATTATTGAAGCAAATAAAAAACTTCTCGTGTAATCCACACCACGAAGCCGTGCCAATCAATTACGGTATTTCGATTTTTATAGTCTTAAAAACCAAACTACCTGTAATAGTTTAAACATATTTGAACGCAATCAAAAGGCTTCGAATACGCAAGGAGCTATGACGTGCCCAGGAATTATCAATGGGAGGGGATATAGCAAATAAGAACCATGAATAAATCATAAATTTGTCTTCTCTATCCAAATCGACTGTAGTAACTGGTAATTTAAAAGCCGAATCCTAAAAAAACGTCAATTTCTAATCAATATATGTATGTCAAGGTTTTCCTCGTAACTTGGCTGAAAAATGTGCATTTCGACACTAGATTACTCATATTTTTTTTTTGTATTTTAAGCCATTGGCGAGATATAACCCCTAACCTCTCCCCTGTGCACGCTACTGGCAAAGAGTAACAGGAATTCCTCCAATGACGTATCAAGAAATAATGAAATGTGGGTGAATGGGTAATTAAAACTTATATTTAATGTTTACAACTGTTTTATTATTTTCGATTTGGTTTTTTTTTTTTTTTTTGTAATTCGTTTAAAAAGAATTGTAGATACCTGAAATACAAACTTATAATGAAATAAGTTCTATTTGATAATGGCAAAAATAAAGTTGAGAGCAATATTAAAGTTTTTACAAGCTTTTTTAAGTTCATCGAATTTCAAAACACGAATTCGTTCAAAGTCGTATTTCGTTAGCAATGATAAATCGTTTCATTTAGATAAAAATTAAGTATATAATTCTATGTATCCACCAAATCAACTTCCCGACTACAACGGCGAGACATCCATTTATAACACATATATTACGCTCAAAGGGAAGTGATTATCGTAAAAATGAGAAATTCAGGATTTAGAAACATAAGACGTGTTATATTATAATTCCATGGAGATCCGTTTTTTTTTTTTACGATTACAGGTCGATATCGTTTTTAGACGTTTTCTCATATTTTATTGGAACGCTTACTAACTGCATGAATAAATAAAATTACTTTTGCCTGAACGCGACGCTTCCGAAACCCGGTCGATCAAACATGCTCCCTTGATCGTGCCTGTAGATTTTGTTCAGACCGTTGCAGTTTTGTAAATTGCTGCAGTTGTTGACGACGAAATTCGGTTGCGAGATGGTGCGGTGCAATTCGAAGACATCCGATATTCTGCCTCTTTTACCTGAATAAAAACGCCCGGTAAAAATGTACAGGTTATACGCATATAGAGTTAGGGGGGGAGGTTAATATATTTTTAAGAAAATCGGACGTTTCGGGACATTTTGGGCCGTAAAAATGTATAATATTTATATTTCACAGAATTGACATAGTTAAACAATATATTATTAGGTGTATTACATATATTATATACAATAATAATACCCAAACACTATATACCTATCGACCTATAAAATAGCTTTTTGTCCAGTCGAAAACTATCGAAAATTCATCACTTCGTCACGCTCATTTTTGTCGTTTCGTATTGTCACGTCTTTACGTCGTCGTAATCGACCGAAGAATCAAAACATATTTCCAGTCGTACCCGCCGCCGCCGGTCGCTATTGTACAATATCGATTCGTCCGTTTATATATGTCATTCGCTATAAATCGACAATTTATTTTATTCTTTTACTTCTCTTCTCTTCTCTTTTTTTTTTTTTTTTCGTAAAATTATTTACATCCGTTTGGTGGGTACTGTTGCCGAAATATTTATGATCAAAAAACGATCTTCGTGCGTTCAACATATTATTTGTTGGTAACATCGTACAAATGGATATGGTGTAAAACGTCTTCACACTTGCAGCGCAATAAAAAGTCGAATTGCACTCGGAGTATAAGAAGAGGTCTAATCCAATGGTCGAACGTGCACTCGGGTCAAAAAAAGTTGGTAAATCCTCGAACTGCACCACTAATGTGTAAAAAAAAAAGGTGTTTCGACACAAACTCGATATAAAAGTTTTGAAAACATTGTTTTTCCTTCCCTCTTACAACATTATTTCAATAATCATTGGCATGTTAAAAACCGAATACTTTTAAATTTATACACATAATCGTATGTAAATAAAAAAGCGTTATTCGAATCTATTCAAATTATTACGAGGCGCTTTTTCCCGGCTGACATTTAGGCTCAGAAATTGAGATACGATTCCTACATTTCGATTATTACTTTTTATTATTATTATTATTATTCAAACATGTGTGCAGTTCGATAATTTTAATTTATGTACTGAAAGTGTACTAAAATCGACTAGCTCCCGCGTACCTAATACAATTTCTCTCGGGTACGAATTAAGTGAATAATTTTCGATTACACAATATTAATAACACAATAGAGATGCTATTATATTATTATGTATACCGTTCGGTAATCGTATTCAAAAATTGAATCCGTGATGCTTACGTTGTACCAATACGATCGTTATAAATATACATATAAATATATTATCATTGTTGTTGTTTACCTATATTGTATTATCATAATAACGTCTGGCGATATTTACCTCCGTTCTCATTCTCGTACGAATTGACGTAGATAATTTGTGAATCACCGTTGGACGTTATGGTCCGAACACTCGTGCTGTCCTCGACCTAAAGATCATATTTTATATTATAACTGGGTACTTAACAATAGAATGGAGATTGTGAAACGAAGACGTCTATACTCAGGGGTGCATTACCGGGGGGGGGGACCAAAGGGGTGTTTGCCCGGGTAGAATTAATTCGAGAGAACGGTGAACTTTTGGAGCGTGGCAATTTTTGGGATTTTCTCAAGTTGTTCATGTTAACATTTTATACTTGGAAATACATTGAGGAGTGAACATTTGTTTTTGCTTCTTCCTCCCATTTATTGATCCTTAATATGTATCTTTTATGTTGTTCTTTCTAAGCGTAGTGGGAAATGTTACTATGATGCGTGTTTTTTTTTTTTTATATTTTTTCTTGTGAACAACGATTCTACTAAAGACCTTGTTTATATTTCTAACTTTATTGGGTGATTTCTGTTTGTAGATTTTGTTTGGTCAGTGCATTAATGAGTTCATTTTTATTTCTTTATAGTTTTTTTTAATAATTAGGAAAAAGATAGGAAAAATTAACAAATTTACGGTTTCTGTTATTTTCGATTATGTTTTAGTCTTTTTCCATGATGTAAATCTATTAGAATAACCATAAAGAATTAAAAATTATAATTCCTAAAAATTAGTAATTTAACTCTGTATTATAACCGAATAAATGAAAAAAAAAACCACTCGCCTCCTTTATTAATTTGTACGTCGATTTGTTGGTTTTACAGTTGTTATGTCCGTCCGCCGCCTTCAATTTTCTATCCAAGATCTTCTTCACACCGCCTGAACTGACCAACGGTTTTTTCACAGTACCGGATCCGACGATTTCGGTAAACGACTTGCAAGACAGGTCAGACGACGATTTACGCAAACTGTCCCAAAGCAAATTTATAATCCCATTATTAGTACTATTATTACGGACGTATATAAATATTATAATACGCGTATGGGTAACGGTTATATTTTTCTATGGTTTTTTGGAGTTTTTTTTAAGAAGACGGCTGCTGCAGCAGCAGTTTAACGTAATTTTACAAGTTTTTAGACGAAATAAACCATAAACAAAAAAAACAAAAAAACCGATAAAAACATATTAACTAGTACAGTCTGTTCCGGTTATAGATTTAAGTAAACGATGACTAAGTATTTCATTGCCCTTCTCCACTGTAAGAGTGGATTTATAGTGGACGATCATTAAACTATAGGTTATATAAGAAAAAATATTTCTTCGAACGTTACGCAAACGGGTCAAAATAACAACTATACGGCAATTGTGAATAAAAACGTTTCCTGAGAGATAATCAAACATAAGTATTATAATCAGTATAGGTACGTATAATGTTTTTTTCATAATCATAAAATTCAGACATTTTTAGATATATTGTACTTCTTCGGGGTACTAAAGCCTCTAGGACCATCCGGTCATTTTTCACACTTCCTACCACTTCAAGCTTCTAAATCTAATCATCCTCCTTGTTTATTCACGCCTTTCCCGACTACATTTTCTCACCTCGTTCTTTGTCACCTTCTCTGGTGGGTTCCATTTTAACTGTTTACGATATAATAAGTTTTGACTTTTCCTGCAGGTGTGGCCTAGCTGTACCATTGTAATCTCTTAATTCTGATGGATTCTATACGATGTTCGGTTTTTGATATAACGATTCTAGTTCCTTGTTCTTGCTTATTCTTCCCACTCATCATTTTCAGAATTGTTTACGCATCAAAAAATTATCCTCCAAGTTTCCATTTCAAACATGAGATAATAGATCTTAAAATTAATAATATTAAGTATAGTACTTACGACAAAGGCATGGGTCGGACCGTAGGTATAGCCGTTTCCGAATCGGCTTTGTGTCCACCCAAATATTCCTTTTCGACTTTTCGTATTTGTTTTTTCTCTTTTTCCCGTTCTTTTCTCGTCCTCTCTTCGTACTTCTTTTGGTGGCGCTCCGCGTCCTTTTGCGCTTTTTCTTTTTTAGACTCGACTTTTTTCCTATTTATATTAAATATACAAATACTTAATTATTATAAGTCCGATTGTGTTACTGCAATCGCGTGATCTTCTCACCTGTTCAGCATTATTTGAGCTGCGGCAGCTTTGTCCAAAAATTGAAGCACTTGCGATTTACCATGTATAGCCGCTAGTTGCATCGCGGTGAGAAAATCCAAATCTAACGCCCACAGGTTAACGTCGAAACCTACCAGAAACGTCACGCAACTCAAATGGCCCTTTGACGCGGCCAGATGCAAAGCGTTCTGTCCCAGATGATAATTACATTTCTCCGGATCACCCCTATAAAATAAAGATGGATATGATAAATGTACATTAAAAAAAAAAAAAATCAATAACAATTTTAAGAAAACATTTTTTTGGTTTTTTATTTTTTTACTACAGTTGCCTCACACGATTTGCCCCACTGCACAGTAATAAAGGAAACAAATAACGTGTCACCTCGCGTTTCCTGTGACATCCCACGATTCCACCACCGTCCCTACCACAGTTAATTTTTGTGGCCCGATAGGTCATTAATTTGTTTAAAAGGTCACTTCCTTGCCCATAACAACCAAATTAACTAATTTGTAACGGCTTTTTTTTTCATTTAGCGGTTGAATTTCGGGAATCCGGTATCGAGGGGCAAAATCGATTATTTTTTCCAGTTTTGTTGGTTGTCACGAAAATAGAAAATTAGACGAGTATAATATAACTGATGCCACTTGCATGGAATTAAAGGCTCGGTGCCTGTACGTTATTTAACTCAAAAACATGATTTATGGTAAAAACTCGTATACCTTGTAGAAAGATTTGATTAAGATGATTATTATCATTTGTATGGAAAGAAGAAGACTTCCTACAGATTCCATTTAATTCCGTTTTTTAGTATTTCTATCTCAAATTTTATACTGCGTCTTTTAAAAATGTAAATTATAATGGTTTTTACCAATTTTTCAAATCATTATTTAAAACAAATGAAAAATCAAATATCAATGCGGTATATAGAATGTTATCGTACCTATATCGAACAAAAAAAAATATGTCGACAATGAGTTATCCCTATTTCCGCGAAGTCATTCTTGCCCCTAAAAACGACCTCATTCCTTCCAGAGAGAAGATACTGCCGTATATCTTTTTAGAGAAATGGGTATACGGTAATAAATTAATGATGAAGTCTTATATTTAAAGTGGCTATTAAAATGTTAAAAATAATTTTAAAATTGTACAAAATTAGAGACAATTTGTAAAACCGGCACATGGCCCCTTAAGACAGAGTAAATAATATTTATTATCAAAATGATCGGTGTCGATCAAAACGGTAAAAATCCATTCAACAGGAAAAACAATACAATTATTGATTTTGTACAATTTTTTTGGTGTAAACGAATTGTTTAAATATAAAAAAAAAAAGACCTATTCGTTAAAATTATAGTAGGTAGGTCCGTTTTAGTTTCAGTTGTGATGACATCGCGCGCGCCCGTCAACAACAAAAGATCCACGGCATCGAGTATCACGATGATGAGCGTCGTCGGTCGTTACAGATGACTCGTCTTTATTTTATTTTTTTAAACCGTGTTTTTATTTTCATAGTTTTTTTTTCGAATTTCATATTATTGTAACTATTATTGCGTGATGATAGTCTTCGCTATATATTAGGTATATTATTGTTTTTATCACACCGAAACCGAATCACAAGACCGGGGGCGATTAGTCTTGGGTTCTAACAGTATAGGTACCTGTACTATATACAGACCCGTTCTGTTTTGGATGATACTACGCTTTCCCATCGCTTATAATAATTATCATACGGTATACGAAATATATTCATTGAATATACAAATAATACAAAAAACACATAACGCATGCATAGGAGCAAGTTCAACATCTAAATTATTTAGAAAATAAAATAACAGAAGATGGCCGGAGTAAAGCGGACATAGATAGCAGGATAGTATTAGCAAAGAAGGATGTTCAAGATAAAAACTATCTACTGACCACTAATAGTAATAGCGTGACCTTACTAGTAAGAAAAAATTTCGTGAAAGTGTTTGTATGGAATCTGCTGCAATGGCGGAAAATTTGAACTTGAAAACTTGAACAATTGGTACAGAATAAAAAAAAAATTAAAAGTTTTTGAAATGCATAGTGTTATCGCCAAAATACTAAGATGGATAGAAAAAAAAATGAATAAAAACTGAACGAATAAAGGAAAATCAAGAACTTTGGTTCAGTAGATACTATACATAAAGGATTAGATTATAAGGCGTCACGATAAGTTGACGAGATTCATTATAGAAGGTGACGTAGAAAATCATGTCAGAAGAGGAAAACAAGAATAGAGTGCATGGATCAAATAATGATAGACGTAAATAATGATAGTTGCAAGGAGTTACAGGAATTATTAAATTTCGAAAGGAAGCATTTCGAACTGCAGTAAACCTGCAATCGTACGATTGAAGACGATAGGAAGTGATGGATACCCGTGCGCTTATATTTGAGACGTACAAATAATAACCATCTGCAGCTTACCCCCTTCCGACGAGCACTCTGAGCGCTTCCAAGTGTCCTTTAAACGCGGCCCACAGCGTCGGTGTCATCCCGTCCTCGTCTTTGGCGTTGCAATCTCTTTTAGTGGCCTCCTTCAGTATGTTCACGAAACCGTCTTGCGCCGCCCTGCGAAAATAATATAATACCTGTTTAAAATTTAAATATTAATTACATTTTCATTATAAATAATCATAGGGCAATATTATGTATAAATTGGTACAATTCAATCTCGCCCGCGATCATTGTGAAACGGCATCGCGTATCCGCGATAACAGTTTTGGTATGACGGACATTAGGCGGAGGAATACTATTATACAGTGTACGCCGTTTCTTCGAGGCCGCTAATTTTTGACGCAGTGAAAGGACTACGACAATCGACAATGCGTGGATAGAACCGTCCGCAGCCCGCTATATATGGCGCATGAGACGTCCTTAATAATATCTCGGCGCTATTTAGAAAGCGGTTTTGTAACACGACTTACAAAATAATAATAATAATGCCGACTTACCGGAATACGTTTATTATATTGTTGTTGGTTTTTTAGATTCGTGTATACAATCACGATGAGTTTTATCGCAGACGCGTTTCCGAACGTTTTTGTACGGATTTTCGTTTCGTTCAGATGCATTCTATATATTATTGTATTATCTCTATCGAAATTTTCACAACCATTCGTTCAAACCTAAACATCATTGTACAGGAATATTTCTAATCATGCAATGTGCCCCGCAGTAAAAAGGGGGGGGAAAGTCGAGGACATCAAAAGTTGGCAAAAATAATTTTCATTTTTCATAATATTTCTGGGTGTAAACGAATTTTCGATTAGAAATTGCTCTATGCAATTTTTTTTTAGATTTCGAACGTAGCCAAGGAATGTATTGGTTTTACTATAATGGGTGTAATTTGTTTTTTTTTTTTTTGTTTTTTTTGGACGTTAACAACTTTTCTACCAGAAATCTTGGTATGATTTCCAAATAAAGCATTTTTTCTGAAAGCAAGTTTTATCTAGATGGTGAATCGAAGAGGCTATATACTTTTTATTTTTCGGGGGTTTTATTAATAATGGGAAAATCGGGAATACTTACGCAATAACAACGGTTCTGATTTTTTGTTGATATTCAGTAAAAAATAACTGGAGACCTGAATCTATCGTCGATTACTAATATTATTGCTTTTTAAACGTGATGGTACAATTTTCAAAATATTGTGGTGTTATCCGAGTTACTTACAATTTTTTTTTTTGGTTTGTATAAAATCTTGACGTGACATTAAAATCAAAGGTTACTTATACAAAACAGTGCAAATTTACGCACAATGTTCTTTTTTCTTCGAACTTAAAGAATACTCTATTACCAGAATTAGCTTATATATTTTACAAGAAATGAAGCTCGGGAACTCCCGAATGTGAACTTGGACTTTATTTTATAATCGTGAAATAACAAAAATAGTTAAACTTAGCATTACTTTAAAATTTAATATAATAGGTATGATATACAAACAAATAATGCAATTCGATAATTGTTACTTTTGCCTGCCATTGATATTATTGCCCTCCCTGTACGTCAGAGTTAAAAAAAAAAAATTAACTACTCAATTTTGGAGATGAGAGTGACTCTCGACAAACATTCAAAGTGGGTGGAGGTACCTATACGAAAAATAACTCGAATAACTTTGAATTATACCCAATGTGTTTCCGGAGCAAATTTTCTGTCAATTGTTTTGGACGAACTGTAATATGTCGAGTTAAACAAACAAATATATGCATAGTTAACGTATAAAACTCGGCCACGTTTATAAAAATAATATTCGACGAATTAAATAACTCAATCGCGGATCATCAACTTATTGTCCGTTGTGCGCGACGAGTATGAAAATAATTACACGCGCAAGTGTCGGTGTACCCACCGGGAATATTGTACGGAACCACTGACTCGAGTCGAGTGCAGGGCCATTGTACCGTGTACATAATGTACTAGCGATAAAGAGTTTTGCGGGTATTTATTACTGAAACGCGTATCACGAAAAAAAAACGGCAAAAATATAGGTAAATAACCTAACTTAACATTGAAACCGAATTGAACAACTACAGTATATAATATTTAGGTATTACAATAAATTGTTCGTGATTTTTATTTTAAAGTTCAAATTAAAACGTTTGTTTTTTAAAACACCTGCCAGTGACCAACAGAGCTCCGTCGCTATCCAATTTGTTTGAGTATCGAAGACATTAATACCACAAATAACACTACTTAATAATTAATAAAAAAATAATACAATACTATACTTTTTCCGAAATAATGGTGAAATTCGAGGATAAATATGATAAAGATGGCTTCGAAAGTTTAAACTCTCAAAAAGCATATTTTTATTACTAACACTGCGCACATACAAAATGTTATCTATCAGGTTACATTTTAAAAGAAAAAATCTAGATTTTTCCATTAATAATTTAAAAATATTTACCTTTGCCTGTTTCTGTTGGCTTATCTACTTGTCACGTTAGTTAACACTGAACATGAGACGATAAAAATCCACGAATGTGGTTTTAAAAATATTCGAGAATTTTATTATTAAATTTGAAAGTGCTTATTTTTTTTTATTTATTTCAATAGTTTTTTTAAAAAAATATCTGTACATTATTTGTATTTTTTTAAATTCCTGTTTAAATACTTATTTTAGCGCAAAGGACTTTTTAAATGTTTGTAATAAAAAAATTTAAGCGCTTTTTTTAAAAATTTAAAATACTTTAAGACCCAAACCCTGTTTATCACTTATCAATGATACCACATCAAATAGTAATATATTCTGTATTGCGATCTTGTAACTTGTAAGTTACACGTTTTTTCTAGTAACAAGTACCTGCTACCTATTATATCGCATTATCGTACAAGTATATCCACGACACTATACGTATGTCTGCGTGAAAACTGGGACTCGATTATTTCAATTAGTACTATAAAAAAAATATTACACGCTTTTTAATACTCGAAATTGCTTGGAAACAAGTCGTATCCATAAGAAAAAATATAATACATAAATATTACATACGAATTATATATATATATATATATACGGTTTCGAAAAAAAAAATGGAAAGTAAATTCTAATATCACCTATATATTACCTATGTATTATAGGTATATTTCTTTAATGCAAAATGTGCAATAATTACAGTTTCAACATTGTTTTCTTACACTTTTTATTATACAGTTCACTATGAAAATATTACATTTATATATACTTTAGTTTTAAGTTTTCGTTGATACAATTTCATTTATACTTATAGGCACAATACATAACATATATATACATATATGTTATGTTATTTATATATATATCGTCACTTACAGATATACAGTAAAGTTTCCCTCTATCTTCCCAACTTTTCACCTACAACAGTGGCCCACCCATCGTGTGAAGTATGTCCGTTTGTTTAATATATATATATATGTTACGGGTAAAAGCCGAAATCGGACAAATCTTAGAAATGCCCAAGTAAAACGCGAAGTGTCCATGATACTGGGGCAAAACGTCATATTTTGCCCGTACAAACCCAGTTGTGACCAACCTCTTTCGGGCAAATTTTCACAGTAGATAGGTACCATGTTAATACTACTACAATACTCGCTCTCTTCACTAATGAATATGGGTCTTTGCGCGAAAATATCTGGTTTTTGACATATAGTGACAACATAAAATAAACATTCGGAAAAAACCGTACCTACTTTTAGTGTCAGATTTATATAATATATTTACTTATTATATTTATTTATTTATGTATTTATAAAATAAATTTATGGACGTTACAGATTTGCCCGAATGAGGTTGGTCACAGCTAGGTTTGTCCGGGGAAAAGCCGAAATATGACGTTTTGCCCAAGTATCGTGGGTACTTTGTGTTTTGCCTGGGCATTTCTAAGATTTGCCCAACTTCGGTTTTTGCTCGTAATATATATATATATATATATATACTGAGAAAATGATCTCTCAGGCGAAATGTATAGTGTACGATTTTCTAATCGATTCGCTATTTCATAATAATTCTACAATAATTATAATATTATAATACTCGAGTATCCATCAGGCGACTCGGTTCGAAAAGAAAAACTACGCTCGGTTTTAGCGGTTACGGTTTAATTAACCATCATATAACATTCATAGCCATCCTTAACCGCCGTGTACAGTGTACACTGTACCTGCGAATACATTATATTTATATATATATATCTGGGTGTAGGCGTACAACATAGACATGACGCAAAAAAAAATCCTTATATACGTATTTATCTCTATAAAATCTCTATATATAATGTCTATGTGGCGTACATAATGACCGTGAAAATATTATCATTATATCTCATACGTACAGCGAGCGCCGTATATCTATAGCGCCGTATAGGTACGATACGAAATCATCTTAATAATATATTAAACGGGGGAAAAGCAAAAACATGAAAAATAATTGTAATTATATACGCGATGTCGAGGGAAAGTGCGTTAAAAACAAGCGATATTATTTAAGTCTGGAAAATTTATCGTCGGACGTTCAATCGGTGTTTGGTTATAGGTTTTCCCCAGGTTTTAGAAAATGGGCCAGTAACATTTTAAAACGGTTCCTATAACAGTTGAAGGAAATCAAAAAAATCTACAAAAAAGATCCTTTGATAAGACAAATCCTTCAAGGTAAAAACGCCAATTTATTTTTAAAAAATGTGATTTTGGTACCAGGAGTTCATGAGAAGAGTCGATTTGACGGTCGTCGGACGTTCAACGGACGTTTGAACATCAGTATTTCCCACTTTTTAAGAAAAGGGCAAGTAACATCCCAAAATGGTTTCTTTAAAAGACTCGTGGTTTTATTCACATTATTTAGAGAAACAGGAAACTCTCGAGTCCCAGATCGTATAGATTGTTAGGTGACCATATAAACTTCAACTATCTACTTTGCCTCTAGACCATACCAGAATAGATTTCTATTCTGGTATTTTAGTGACGAACAAAATAAAATAAAAAGACCATCAGTTGTCACACCTGCCGCTGACCGTGCTAACTTTTTATTATAATATTGACAGGAATATATATTTTTTTTAAATGTTATCTTACAGGGATTGGAAACGACGAGTGTCTGTCTTTGTCTGACGCACGTGAGATATAGGGATTTAGACGTATTGTATTTCAATCGTACCGATTGAAACGATAAAAATCAAAGCAGATTTGAATTTTTCGAGAAATATACTTGAGATCGACTTTCCCACTTTTTTGATTTTAATTTCGTAAAATACTTAAATATTCCATTTTTTCAATTACTCTTTTATAATTATGTTTTTATAGAATTTAAGGAGATTTAAAAAGTGAGAGATCGATCTCAAAGTAGACTTCACGACAAATTCAAACCTGTTTCCAAAATTTTAATCGCTTCACTAAATCAATCGATATGTTGGAATTAAAACCCGTCTAAAGCCCTATAACTCACGTGTGTAAGACAAAAACAGAAACTCGTCGTTTTCAATCCCATTAATGCTATTTGATGAACTATATTTTTTAAATACAAAATACAATTTTGTCGACAGTATCGTTAGGTCATCATGAATCACAATTTAGTATAATCTAGTTAAATTTTTAACCAAGTAATGAAAACATACAAATGCAAAGAGGTTTACAAATCTACCCTATACTTATAAACATTACTATAAAATTTGAATTTTTGTTTTTGAATTCTATCGAAGAAACTACAATATTAATTTTGCTAAAATGGGTTTTTTATTTGTAAAACACATCTAAAATTTATCCGATTTTGTCACGCCTTATTTAAAACGTTTAAAAGATTCGACTTTTTATGATAGAAGTTTATTTGAAAAATTCCTAATACTTTTCATACAAATTTACACTTAATGTGTAAGCATTTAACTGTACATTTTATTTTTTTTTTTTATGTTTTACATTATTTCACACACTTCCTCTTATCATAGTAAATATATCTTTACGTAAAGGTACGCGACTTCATTAAACGCGACGACTGAGACGTAATCTTCTATGTTATTATATATTATATACGCGAAAATAATTGTTAGAGTAGCTCGTGATGTCCTTGAGAACTGCAAACGAAAAATTTTTCACCACGTCTAACATCCTCGTTTAAATTTTTTAATAAACATATTTAAAAATAAAATTGTTTATTTGCGAACATACAGCCGTATCGCCGATAATTTCTTACTGATTCGTATTTCAAAATATAGCAATAAAAACCAATTTATGTCCTTTTGATAACAAAAACGAGTCGACCGATATTACTACAATTAACCTGTACTAGTTAAGAAAACAAATTTAAAAGCGATATAGTTTGTAATATTTGTTTATCGCAACATTACAGTTTATCGTCATATGCAATGAGAAAAACAATTATTGAAACACCTAAACAAAATATGATAGAAGTCTCGAATCACGATTTTTAAATATACACTTGAATTTGAAGAAAATTAAGAATATTGTTTTTTTTGGGAATTATATCAGTGTTAAGTTCTTTGCTGTCCAATTTTCTATAATATATCTTTAGTCCCACGGAAGAAAGGCTTAAATGAATTGAATTAGTATTCACTACAAATAAATTCAATTTTTAAAATACATATACACTTTTACATAAACATTGCATGCACTTATGCAATTTAGATCAAAATATAATAAGAAAATAATTAATATTGTATTAATATTGTGACAATACTGTAAACAAATGAAAAACATTTCTTCCATAAGACGAAAGATTTAGTAATATTAGTAATATATAGTAACTAATATTTATTTTTATATGTTCACGCGTCGGGATTTTGCGCACATTTAGTAAGTACCTATTTACTGCAGATTTCTATTCGATTCCCAGTAGGGAATATGTATGCAGTAAAAAGCAAAAACATTGTATTTTCAATTCTCGCCGCCGTACACAAAAGAAAACTCGGTCAATATGGAAATTTGTCTGATGAAATAATAAATATTCAGCTGCAGTACTTGAGTATTGATTATTTATTTCCCGCTTTTAATTTTAATAATATTATCGTAACAATACGGTATATACGTACAGATGCGCGCGAAGTTACTGTGCAACAAATACAGTGACAAGTACATATACCCATCATATTGTACAATATAATTATATTAGTGCTTACCATTTTCTTTAGAATACGTGTACGCATATTGTAATTGGGTATATTAGAAAGCATTCGCCTGCTACTACAAGGTACGAGAAAATAGAATTGAAAAACTTCCACGTTACGTATACGAACCAGAAAGTATACATAAGTATCACTTGAAACTCGAGTATTCGTACATACCTTTACCTACCTAGTCCGGTAGAATTATTAGATTTTCTGATTGTTATCGCAGCCGGAGAGTATATTTACAAACTGTACCCGAGTTCGGCTCACACTATTATAAATGTACATAAACCGTCCTGATTTCTCATCGACTAGATATTAGGTTTACACTTGGACACAAATTTTCTTGTAGTTGAATTTGGATCAACGGGTGGTTTCATTTTTCCGTTTCCCCTCTGCTTTATTTAAACCCATGGTGACTTTTCATTGACTAGGTAGGTTTTGGGTGTACACTCAGGAAGTTAGGACATTAACTAATAGTATGTATTAACTCACTTGTGGAATCTCGTGTTCATGATTCAAAACGTTCACCTCAGGCCCGTAACGAGATTTTTACCGCCCGACCTTATATCTGTAATCAAAATAAACAATATTATACTATAAATATGCAGGTAGAGCATTTCGCGTAGTATCCGTGTGTTGTGTTTTATCTAGATTGGTGAAACATTCCGACATTCATATGTTCAACCTGCAAGATGTTTATTTACAAGTAAATAAATTGTAAACAAAATTTCGAAGTTTTCCAAATTTTCTCCGATTTCGTGAAATTTTAAAAAAAAATTATATCTTTTAATAACCACCGTAATGATGAAACATTTCTACTTATCTCTACTGCCCGATACCATTTTAAGAGGAAAAAGTACTGCCATTTTTAGGGAACTCGCTCAAAAAATGAAAAAAGTAAAAAATGACAATATTTTTCCAACTAAATCATTTTTCAGAACAGAAACTGGACTATTGAAAGTATGCTTATTTCACTTCAGTTTAATGATACATTAATGGTCTTTATATACGAAAAAACAAATCGTTTTAATAGTAAATTAATTAGTTTTTCAATTTAACTTCAAATTTTTAATTTAATCAGCATCATTACGGATGATAGTGATGATATACCGACCTAAACGTTCTATATAATAATATAGTAGCATGCATCGTTCCATTAAAACATTTAAACTATAATTAAATGGTCTGTTTCTTATATCCTTTCATATATAGTTCATAATATTCTGTACACCATTCTATGAAGACATTAAACAACAACATTGTTAATTAACAATATTATTTTCCATTTCAAACTCAAACTACATATCCAGCACGCGGGACGTACAATAAATTATAGAATGTGATTTTGTTTTCTACATTTTTTTTTGCACCCACGTCCTTCATAAATCTACCTTAATTATATACATTTTACTCTAATGCGTTTTTATATTGTTATTATTAAATTAAATATATTTATACTATACGTAAGTATATTCATTAAGTCAATAAAATAGAAATTCTCTGATGATTATCTGCTATATACATCAGTGTACTAGACTTTTATTCCACCGCGTCTCTATGTATTAATAATAATATTTTACTTTGATAATTGAATGACTTTATAAAAAAATCAGTCATCCAACAATATTGTGAAAAACAAGATTTGCATATTCTTCTTATTCGCCTTCGCATTCATACCAGCTATTTGGATTCAACCACCCCCGTCCTAAACTTCGATCCACTTGACCCGATTCCCCACATCGTCCTCGCATACACCCGCCATCCATCCGTATATCATTGTCAGTCGCATATCCAACCGTCTTTTTTACGATCTTCCTCTTCCCCTATTCCCACCTATTATTATTCCCAATATCCCCACCCTAATATTATTAGAAAACAAGATTTAAATAGTACTATCATATATTTAATATATATTAGTAAGTAGATTATACAAATACATAAGTGTATTCAAGGGAGCATCATAGTGTTTAACCCTCCGCCCATTGGCCATTTTTTTTTCCAACCAATTCGTTTTAAATTTTTAAATTAAATTCATTATCGCATCGTATAGTTAATATTTACAACGTATTTTTTAGATTTTGAGTTAATAGTGCAGAAGACGCTATTATAATTTTACGCAATCATTTCATTTATCAGCTTAATGAACAAATTAGAATTATTACGATTATAAATTATATTTCATTCCTTCTACTCATAGTTTAGCCATTATTAATAACTTTGTTAATTAACTATTAACTTCCTCCTTCCACCATAAGCGTTTATTTAAATGAAATATGTATCGAACAAATAATAATGTACTTAACATGTACCTATTAATTGTGTATGACCTTATAAGTATAATTAAGGACTTTTCGTTGAGCATAACATTACTCGTATATATATATTTATATATATAGAGAGAGAGAGATTTTAGAGATATAAGAGATTTTCGAACAGTGATACTTTATTCGACAATTTGTTTCGATACAGATTTCCTCCCGACTGGGTTTCTGGACATTTAATAAAACTGATAATATATGACGATGTTATCTATAATATCACATCGCATTTGAATTGAAATATGAATTACCTTTGCTTTCAGTGTATTTTATAACACGTAAGTAAATAGCAATGTATTCCAAACACACATTATGTACTTTACCAACTTCCTATACACAATACCAGTGGACAGTGGTCTACACACGGTGCGAAGTATGTCGGGGTATTTTTTTATTTTTGTTTTGAATAACATTCTCGTTTATTTCGCATATTTATTAGTAGCAAATAAATAATAAAAAAAAAAATAAAATAATCTTTGGAAATTGAAAATGTAAGTGGATAATATAGTAGATAATATTATAATATTTACCTCACTCGGTCAAAAAAAAAAAAAAAAAAAAAAAACGCACCTAATAATAATAATATTTATGATATATTATTATAATCACGACGAATTGTGTAAAAAATAAATTAAGTGCCTATAGCACCACCTATATACGTGTAATACTAGAACGTACAAATATTTTAATACTACACCTTTTCGTACTTATATTATACGTTAGATATTCGTTGTAAAATTATTATGAATTATAATATTATATCGTGCCGCCGCGGTAGATTCGAATCGGAACGAATTTTTCGCCACATATTATTATGCTTAACTATATACATTTTTTTTTTCTGTTCGCCATCTGCCTGCCTACCTATACCAACATCGTATTATAGGCAATGTAGGGTCTTAATGTGTCCAATCGCACGCACTGAGAAAATATTTAAAACGTCCAATTAAAATGCAAAATGTAAAAAATGCAAAAAAAAATACATATACATTTATGACGTCTATCAAACACACACACGTTCGAATAAAATGTATACGTGTGCTCGAAATGGATATTTTTTTTTATAATATATTTATATATGTGTACACACACACACATACACACACACACATCACACATACACACATATGAAACACTTTTTCGCGCATAAAACATTCACACATCATCATAATAATATGTAGTACATCGCAATTGTCATCGTATTATATAAATATATATATATATATATATATATATATATATTATTGTTATTATTATTTGTTTAATTTATCTATAAAATATAACTGCACACGAAAAACTGTATTTTCGCTTGTCACATGCGTTTTATTATTTTTCCACTAGATGCGTTTTACTGTACACTACTATATTATATTGCACGCATAACTTATACTAATGTGCATATATATATATATATTTATAGTATAATATATGAACCACCGTTTTGAATTCGCGGTTTTCCGTCAAAAATTATAGTCGGTCTGATTATAATTAAAAGGTACGATTTTTTTTTTTTTTATAATTTTCTCCCGCGTGCCATATATTTGATTATATTAAAAATTTAAATTTTTAGTTTCTGTATGTAGTGAACAGACGAACCGATCAGTTTCACTGTATAAGACCGTGTTTTTTTGTTGAATTTTCCCCATAAACAGAGACCATTGCAATGCATTGTTTCTGTTTTATGTATATTTTTCCGGCTACTATTGGGTATTTTTAGCAGCTTCCTCTGGACCAAATAAACCCAAACTCGAGAATTAGAATAATTGTTTTATAGGCGAATCGAAGTGATGACATTTTAATTGAATTTCAATATGAATTTCGCCGTATTGTTGTTGGTATAGACGGTGTTTTTATAGCATTGTACATACACCTGTACAAACTCCCCAAATGATGAAGTTAATGGAATGCAGTTTTATACATGTGTGGCGCAAGCATCAATGATGTACCTTTTGGGGGTTTTAACTTTCAACCTCTCCCCAACGATTTGTAAGCTGAAATTGCACATGTTTTCACAGGATATAACAAGTTCACAGAATGAAATATCTGATGCACCATACGGGTGTTTGTCTCACTCGAAAAACACATTTTCGATTTGTAAAACTGTTCCAAATATAATAGGTAACTACATGACAAAATTTCTGATTTTCCTTCTGACGATGGCGATCTAAAATCTCGAATTTTGGATTACTTATTGAAGAGAAACTCTTTTTTTTCAAACGATTTCGAATCGTTTGTTATTTCAGTGATAAATTAAATAAACTTCTATGAAATTAATTTAATGACCCAATACTATATACGATATAATGTACGTCGATTTTAATTTATATCATATGTATATGTGTGTGCGTGTGTGTGTTATATAGATATTCGTCTAGCTAGTCTTAAATTACATGGTATTATAATAATTATTATACACCATCGATGTAATATTTTTACAGAGTTGTGGTTTTTTCGCTGTACGCAATATTATATTATTTCAATATTTACCTATACGGCAATATAATATTACTGTTACCTAACTATATAATCGATAAATTTAAATTTTGAAAATGCTTAATAGATATCAAACGATACCAGAGTAGATATGTACTTACATTATAATGGTAGGTGTATACGTTTTTGAAAATCTACCGGAAACCCGCACACGTGTTGAACCCGTAATCACGAGTTCACGTACTTTACACACGACATGACTGCATACAGCTGCTGGCAGGACGAGTCCCGGACAAAATAATAAAATACGATAGAATAATACGCATGAGCGCGTTTTGGCCGTGTAATTATGTAAACATATACGAGATACCTATATAGTTGAATCGACCTAACATCATGTGTAATGATATTACACCGGCATAATAATAATAAACACCCGTGAACAGCAGAACTCCGTCACTAGAGTCGAATTTTTCCCGCTTTCGGTACAATATTTCATTTGTTTTTTTTTTTATGGGTCCGTTGTATATGTGTTTAAAACCCCCACTTTCTTATAAAAATATAAAATCCTAGTATTAAAATGATTGGGGGAGGGATTGAAATAGAAAATCACCAAAAGGTACGTCCTTGATGCATACGTGCAAGTATAAAATTGTACACCCTTGGTTTCGAGAAATACATATATTTATTTACATATACACGTTCGATTAACAGACGCAATACAGTGCAATAGTCTCTGGTTTTAGGAATTATTCGACAATAATATATTATATTACATTCAGTGGTGTCATTTAGAGGTTAGGGACAACTTGAGCATTTACCCGGGTATAACTTTTAGCCTTACATTAAGTCAGTACTAATCCTAGTAGTCTAAATATAGGAAAGAATATCGAATTACGCGCCATATATGTTCTGTTTGTGTGCCTTATTTGTTGATAAGTACCATTCACGCAGGTTAAACTTTAAATGTTCACATCTTCCGATAGATTTTTATCTTTGAAAATAAAAAACCATGTGAAATTTAAACGTCCCGATAAAATGCCTCGGAAGTATATGGAGCAATATTTAAACGATACCAGAAAATTTCGTTTTGGCAAATAACTGACAATTAACTAATTTCTTCACCAGTAAGCAAATTTGGTATAGGCAAGTTGCCCCCTGTAGTCTTTTATCAGTTATCCAAGACAATCTATCGTCTGGTTTATCATACGTGTGATTTACGTGTATTATAGCTATAATATAAAATATTACAATTACACAATCGTGATGATATTCGATCGGTGACCCGCACACGATTCGTATATTTGCCGAACACCCATTCACGTGATTTCGATGCGTAAATAAATCGATTCTTTTCATAGCCAACGTAAGTTGCTTTTACTTACGCCAAGCATAATCTTATTGTGTACCTACTTAATTTATACAGGTATACACGTACTTATACAGAGGAAACCGCGTCGGAGTTGCTCAACTAAACTGTGTGTGCGTAGCCTATCGGTTATATTATTATATAGGTACGCGATTAACGATTGCGAAACCATATTACTATTAAAGAAACGTTTATATACTTTTTTTACTGTGCGTAAAGACCGCCACGATAATTATTTTACCCATATATTAAGTTTAGACCGAGAGAAAGGGGCGGTTAAAATATATGGGCTAATGATATTACATAACGTACACAGATGGAAAAAAAAATAATACCAAATCGAATTAAAATATCCAACGTTGCGGAGAAAATTATATTTTATAGGTACCTATATGCGTCCATACTTATTATCAATAATGCGAGCGTTATATAAGTCGACGTGCTTTCGATAATTAAATTATTATTCAATAACACGGGTATAAAGTAGAACACGATCAAATATTCTATCGCGTTCTATCGCGTGGTGAAGATTGGCTAAATCGAATTTTCGGATTTTTTTTTTTTTTTTTAATATAATTTTGTCTTGAGTAATTGTTTCCCTTAATTTTTTCGGGCAAACGGCAGAAGTATGGCTTAGTATGGTATTCTTATACGTGTCATATTGAAAATTAAAATATCTGGTGAAGTCACAATATGATGGGCTTATTTTGTTCGGCAAATAAGCATAATAAATCGGGCAATAACACATTACGATTTGATAAACCATTTAGAATGGCCATATTTAGATTGAGGCGTTTATGAAACAATTTAGCGGTTTTTAAAATTTAATTAGCTCATATTGAAAACTATACAAATATCGACTTGAACCCTTATTCCCCGGGACCAAAGATTTGTGTATCGGTTACGTTAAAAATGGAAACCGGTGGTCGCCTGTATTACAACAGTTTTATTATATTTACTTTCCGATGAAAATGTGTTCATCACCATGCCTACACCGACTACAATAATATAATGTTCTGAAATAAAACGAAAACTGACAACCGCGGGTTTGGCCGCGTCATAACGTCAATTAATTACTTACTAAGGTCGCTGCATATTGTATAACATAATATTTTAAGTATAAGTACATATTTCGGTCTATATGCTCGTAACGACACCTCGGATGCAATGTCTGTTTAAAGACACGTTTAGATAAATTATCCAGATAACGATAAGATAATATAATCGCTAAAATAATAATTATCTGCAGGATGAAAGTACATAATAAAGATTTAATTTTCTAGGTAAAAATAAATAATCAACGAAATTTTATCTGTATTAAATAAACAAAATAATTTGATTGTCCACCTATCATAAAACTAAGTGTTAAGTAGTCAAAAATCAGATTTGGTTTTAGACTTTAAAAAATTCGTGTAATTGATGAAATAACGTAATAATTAATTAATTAAACCGTTTTAATATAAATCAAATATTACTTCCCTGTTATTTTTTAATAAATAAATAAATAATTATTGGAAAAAAAGTATCCATACGATTCGACTATTTGTCTATGGTAACTTATTTCTTTTTTATCTAGATAAGATAAAATGTATAAAAATATACCTAACTAGATACATTTATCTCGATAAAACACAACACTGCGGCCGGATGTTCCAGCAAACGTTTTATCTATACATATAACACGTTGGATTCCGCGATGGTTTCTTCTTTAACGTACATATATTTTTCTCGTTTATAAAATTAGCCCTCCCCCAGAATGGAATAGTCATTGCCCCCTTGGTAACCATATAAATATATTTTATTAAGTCGCTATATTACGATAACGCACGTACCTTTCTTATGATAATTTTATACATGTGTGGTCTCCAAAACCCGAGCGGATCCTTTTGGGATCGTACGTAAATTTGTCGGTGTAATCCTCGGATTTCCGAAGTCTTCTCCGCGACGTCTGTCGGTCAGTATTATTCACGGTCGGAAACACTCGCGAAAACCGTCAAGAAAACATTAATATTAATGACAACAACGACGACGATGAAAAACAGAAAAACAAATAAAAAAAAAAAAAATCGCGGAAATTTTCACTAGGTACCTAACTCGTTATTCACGCACGCGACTCACTCCCGATGCCGATATATGACTTCGCGCGCGTCGCCAAGAGGTGACTGTTGCTGTGTTTTTTTTTTCAGGAAAAAACCACGAGTTCGCGTTCACTCAGTTCACCGGACTAACAGTTTGCCCCTCTCCGCTCGCATTTCGGTCCCCTTCTCGTACGCCCACTCACTACCGCGATGGTCCTCTCCTCACTCACTCGCCCTGTTATGTCTTTCTCTCTCTGTCTCTCTCCCTCTCTCACCATCGAGCACCCGCACTCCTAAGTTCCCCTTGTTATAAATATCCGTTCCTACCGGCGCGCGTCGCGCTACCTGAACACGCGGCTTTTGTGTTCCGCGTGACAGACGACCGGCTTGCGCCGCGTACCCAACGACCACTTCCGAACCCGTCAACGCCGTTGCACTTCCGACCGAAAAACAATAACAGTAGCCGTTGTTATAACAATGCAACGATACATTATCATTATTACGCGTATGATCGGTCGAAAATTATCATTATTACCATTTATTATTTCACCGCGAGCATTACGCACGGATAATTTTTATATTGGTGCAGAATATAAATATTGTGCCCGTACACAGGAAACAAAATAATATATATTTGTTACAAAAACGTAGTCGAGTATTATATTTACAGTGTCTGTTTACAAAGCTCACTAATTCGTTTTAGATACTGAGTGTAACGGAGAAAATTATTAGTTTATCTATGTGATATACATGTTTTTTTTCTCAGAAAATAATTTTTCGATTAGAAAAAACATAGGGCTCCCAGTTATTAACGTCGTGCATCGTACTTTAAAAGATGCGGATTTTTCCCTCGGTAGCATTTTATTTGAAAAAAAAATGTGTCGATTCCTTACAGTTTTTCAATTAAATTTTAAAAACTAACAACAAAATATACCGATACATCGGTACTGGTTTTGTTGATTTCTGGAGTACTCGGATTTCAGGGAAATCAAATACGACTATTAGATACTATATACTCTGCTCAGAATAGTTTATTATAATTTATCGCAGTATGTATAGTTTATAAACTAAATTAACCTATGTATCTTTCTTTTTCACGCACAACTACACACCTACAACATGGGTTATTTTTCTATTGTGCAACTTATAATAATTTGTGAAAACCTCGAAATTAATGTCGGTATTTGTGAAAAAAATGTTTTCCTCATAAATCAAAAAGAACCCCTTCAATGAAATTTAAAATTTTCGACTACAAAATGCAGATGATAGGCGGTCGAGTGTACCTAATATTACCTATACGTAATAATGAAAATAATCAAGTGTATTTCAGTAAATAAATTCACTAACAAACGACGTTACGTTTTCTAAAAAAAAAAACTTGAATTTTACTCGTGTTAGAATATTATAAAATATTGTTTTCTGACCGGTACGCACGCAAGCCTAGCGGCGATCGTTTCCGGGCTCAGACTTCCGACACAGACAACAATAAAATCACGCAACCCCCCGGCGTACGAAAATGTTCACTTGTGCCACCAGCGGTGCACCAAAAATAACAAAACCACGATAATGCAACGATTATACAATCGATAAATCTGACGTAAAAATAGAGAAGGACTCCCGGTATCTATAGTTACTCTCATATAAAAAAAACTAAACAAATCAATACCTAAAAATATTCCGTCCGTCGTAAAACGTCTATTATTATTATCGTGGTTAAAACATTCTCACAAACATTAAAATCTCAGACAATTCTGTCGTAACCAAATATCTTCTTTTTTTTCGTAAAGCAGCAATATATATACGAGTATATCTTATGATTCCTATGAGTCAGTGGCGTAACCGGGATTTTCCAATTAGACGAGAGCAAGAAATACAAACCCAGAATTACAAATTTGTCTGTTAACATTGTTAACGTTAATTTCCATAGTTCCATTTAGAAATATATGCTAGTAAATTTGGTTAAAACCGCACACACTATAAATTAACATAATCATGAAACGATTCTGACAAAAATATTTAAAAATACGAATAATGAGAATAGGAAATACCCCCGTAAACCCTTGAGCAGTACCGCAAAATGGCTGGTTACCAAAGTACACCAAAAATAAGGAGTTTATTTCAGTTCATTAAATTATGATAGTATAAAATATAACTGGTTCATTTTTAGTAGGTAATTCAACTTTTAATTAAGTATCAGAATCCCTAATTGTCCTCGTAAATTATTTAAAATCTTATTAAAATCAAATGTATAATATGTTAAAATTACGTAATTATAGATAGTGACTATAATGATATTTATCCATTAATGTTTTCTATTTTATACAATTTTTATAGTAAATAATTTTTGAGCTTGGCAATAAATTTCGGCTGAAAATTAGAGAGAAACTTCGACGTTTGTTATTTAAAAAAAGTTTTACTTGCCATTATCTTGTAATAATTTAAGAACACACAATAATGTACTTTTGTAGTTAGACGACCTTCATTTTAGTACAATTCGATGGATCCGTAAGTCTAACGGTTAACGAGTTATAATTAAAACGGCGAGAAGGTTAAAACAACCTTTTTGAGTTTAATAGAATAATAATTAACAACCATATTATATAATGTGTTCTAAGGAGAAGTGTTCAGCCGGCGTCATATAAGTGTACACCAAAAATGATGGAGAAACCCATTTTAAGGGGGGGGGGGGATTTCACCATTTATTTTTTAAATTATGAGTAATTCAAGTGTTTTTTAACGAAACCGTACCTACCATGCATTGTTGTATATCTTCAAAACTTTTTAACTCACAAATGTACTTTTTTTTTCATTTTAAAGCTATTCTATAGTGTTATCAGCCAAAATACACAACTAAACCAGAAATGTATATATTATTTTTACTAAATAGAAAAAAGTAAAAATATTTTGTCATTAATTTGTATTTTTAAAAAATAAATAAAGTATAAATTAAAAAAACTGTAGTAAATAAGAAATTAAGTATAAATCCAAATAAAAACCTATTTACTACAGTTTTTATTTTTATTTTATTATTTCACTGAAAAATATCCGCAATACCTTAAAGGTTTATTTTCATATCTTCCACTATTTCAGAGTTAAATATACGCTGTTAAACACGACACGTAATTTGTGATTATAATTATTGCCAATGGCCATCGAGCCTAAGTAAAGCATAAACTCACTAAAGATGAAATTTTGATGATATAAATTAAAAATTGATTTATTTAATAAGTTTTATGATACTTTATTGCGCATTAAACAGTTTTCTGTGCTTGTAAAACTCACAATAAATAATTTAAGTTTTTTTTTTTTTTATTATAAAAGAAGTAATAATATTTTTACATACTTTTTACGTACGTATTTCGTTAAAATAAATTTCAATTGTCCCTGTTTTTTGGCCTCACATTGTTGAGCATTTATGTAGAACTAATAAAGATTTATACATGCCAACCACGATAATGGATCAAACTGCTAGTCTAGAAGAGAAATAAGAGAATGGCAAAGGTACCTTTTATAATAAATCATGTGAAGGGACTAAGACTTCGGTGACTAGGACACGCCATGTGAAAGACAAAACAAACAAATTTGGAGCAGTAATCGAATGAAAATCAGAGAGATGAAGTCCGAAAAACGGCGGATGAACAGTATACGATAAGATCTAGGGATTGGAAGTGACAAAATGGAAGTAATAAATCTAGGACCGTAATTATTGAAGTATAATAGTAGTGGTGACTAAAATGTTACCAATGTTACGAGACACACGTTATTTAAAAATGTTCAATTGTACTTATGGAAATGAAAACAACAATACATATTGTCAAATAATGTGATAATCAAAAGGAACATTTATTTCCTTACTTTAATATACATTTTCAACGCTTAAAGTACGAGAAATTTTTAATTTTTTATTATACAAATGTAAGATAATATGAAAAACGAGAAACTTATGGCTATACACGGTAATATTCACTTATCATACATATCATTAACCTATGAGATAATATCGTGGATAGTAATACGGAGTTACTTCGTCGACATTATTAGTCGGCATTGTTGTCACTTCATCGTTTAGTTCAAAATCTGATGCCTATATTATACAAAACACAAAAAAAAAATAATTTCAATTCTAAATATTTTAACTAAAACTATTATTTTGTTGTAATATACCAGTCTAGATTTGATCGGCATCGCTTTAACGCCCGAATTCTTTGTACGTTTTATGGGATACGGATCCAAAGGCACCTGTAAAACAAATGATATAAGTTACTATTTTTTTTGATTTTCAGGAGCCTCCCCCCCCCAAAAAAACCAAAGTACTTACCAAAACTTGCGGTGTAGCAGGTTCTTGTGGTATCTCTGGCCACGTAATCTCGGTGTGTTCTTGAGCCTATAAAACATTATGTCAAGACGACATTAACTAACCAACGAAAAAAGTATCTAATGAATTAAAAAACACGTATAAGACTTACCGCAGATTGGTCAAATGTTGCAGGGCTAATAGTTGTCTCGATCTGTCCAACAGGCACTAACGTCTAAAAAAAAATATGCATTTTTAATAATAATGTAATAATTAAGGAGATTAAACGCGGATAAAACTCTGTTATCGTGGCTTACTCTAAACTCGACACCTCCAATCTTATTCACTTCAGTCACGTACTGAACGCCTGCAGTTGTGGTAGCCATGTTGCTGACTTCGCTGTGGTCTGACTTTTTTAACAAAATGTTTTCCAATAATTAATGTTAATCATTCATTGTTCAAAATATAATAGCAGAGATGCGGATACAACTTTTATTTGATACTCAAGATCATAAATTTAGAGAACGAGAGAAAATTGGCAGTAATAGAAACAAAGTTTCTATGAAAGACATGTGAACCCAAAATTAATTTAAAGGTATGAGACAAAATTAAATGAAGAAACTGGAGAACTAAACATAATTGAAGTAATTAGAGCTAAAAGACTAAGTTCGCTACGTCACGTATTTAACGTGATCACATAAAAGTCGTGAACTGGAAACCACAAGAAAAGAAGCCACTTGCAGACTTAAACAACGATGGCATGATAAAGTTTCAAAGGATCGAACAACACTATATAGGAGTTTCACTAAAGTTCCAATAAAAATAAGACAGACATTCTTCGCACAACGGGTGGGCCATAGTTGTAAATGAGAAGTTGGGAAAGTAGGATATAGTTAGGAATTTAATTTGTATCTGTATTTAACGATAAATCATTGCTAATGAAAAACGTTTCTGAGTGAAGTTCGGTTAAACACGTTTTTAAAGGCCATTATGGTAATTATTTTTGTGATATTAAAATTCTTATAAAAAAAAATTCTACATTAAACTCAATTATTTTATTTTTTTTTACCAAATAACAACTTATAAAGAACCTCCATTTAAATTTTCAAGAATTGTCTGTTTAGTCTAACAATTTTATCCACAGAGTATTCACCAAATAAAATGTACATAAAAAAACTCGTAAAATTAAAATGTCTATAAATAAATAAAAAATAACTCAAATGTTTTGAAAATGTTACCACGCCTAAAAAAAAACAAATACAAGGATTTTGTAAAAATATCAAGTTTCTACGAACGTTTTTAACAGAATTAAATATATAAAAAAAAAAAAAAAAAACAAAATAATAAAAACATTACTTTTGTAAATTTGTCTGTGTTTTCCCGGTTTTTTCCAATTATTATAATATGCGCTTGAAAAATCAAAAATTACTCGTTGTAATGTACCAACTTAATAAACTTTACTTTCAGAAAAGATACTACACATGATACATTGGAATAAGATTTCTGTTCAAAAGTTATTCACAGTATAAAAAAAAAAAACGAAAAAAAAATATAAAATAAAATAAACATCATTGTAAAACAAATGCACTCCTCGAAACGCTCCGAATTTAAAACGTCTCTGTTAAATCGCTATAAAAGTTTACCGTGTTATATCGCATCAAAAGAAGAAAAGAAAGTTCTAAAAATAGAATAGTTGTCCGCGTGTTACGAGTTTCGCGAAACATAGATGTCAGTATCACCGCTATCACCAACAGTAAAATTAAGTAAGATTAAATAATTTGTTTTCCTAACTACCTGGATCGTGGTTATTGCGGGTTCGTAAGCCGGTGACGCACTGTCCAATTTTTCGTCGACCGCTCGGCCGATTGTCGTGAAACCGACGACGTCTGCCGGTGCATTGGTAGTCTACAAAAAAAAAAACAAACAAACAAATGGTATAATTATAATGTAAGTACTGAGTCGTGATATAAGTTTGAGACGATTGGGTGTGTTACTTCGAAATTATCATTTCGAATGCTCGGGTATTGGGTAGTTGCGTCGGGTAGTACTGAATTTTCAAATGGTCTGATGGTCGTCGTGTCTATCGGTAACTGAAAATAAAACGTTGGTTTATACATCGGTACATTTATCGACAATATACAAATATTTGTTAACTGTCACATTTATTTAACGATCGTATTATTAATTTTTAAGCATATTATGTACCGCGATTTTTTCTTCGTTCTTCTTTTTGTCGACAATTTGGTCGAAATGCTCCGTTACACTTTCTAAAACCTGCACTATCGTCGATGGTTCTTCGAACGATCTCACGCTGGACATAGTTGTCTATAGATTGTACAGAAATTATAAAAAAAAAAGTTTCAATCTATTTTAATTAATATTACATTACTGAATTTCATTAAAATGGTTTTCGGTTTTATCACTTATAACATTAAAATTTACAATTTTAGCGTAAAAATAACCGATTTGTCATGTCTGGACATAATATGTGAGCAACGTATTTGAATATTTTCAATACTATACGTAGGAGGTACTTTTAACAAAAGAATTTAAGAACCCCCTTTTTTTTTTAATTGTAAAATTATATATCAGACATTTTTTAATTTAAGCAATATTTTCGAAAACATTGGCGAAAACTACATTTTTGAAATTTTAAGAGCTTTGAAAAAAAAATGACAGTCCAAATTTAAAAAAAAAATAAAATATCATGATTAGTGTGTTTTTTTTTTTTGCTATTTAACTTTATTGATTAGCCCAATTATATATGCTGCATCCTCAAAGCTAATATTCACCGGAAAACTTCCTCGGCTGTTTGTATCTTCTGTCGTTTGCATGATAGACCCGTCGTTGTACGATATTGTTGTCTGTACGTCGTTTAAAATCGAAACCTGTATGAAAATAATATAATTTTTAGAATAATGGAATAGTGATGCGAATGCGGTATAAAAACAATAAATTACCGGTCTTGTCACCGGTGAATTATTTCTAGTGTCGTCAGCGATTACGGTATTAGACTCCGTATTAATTCTATTAGAGTTGACGATTTCGGTCGTGATTTCCTGTTAGTGTATTAAAAAAAAATAATAATAATAAAATCTCGTTAATATAAGAATCGAAATTTATAATCGAAAATAAAATTACGCCGATAAACGGTATTTTAAAATTTGTTTACATTTAAAATTGTATTCGAAAAATAGTGTTAACCCTTGACAAACATAACCTTGCCAGCTGGCATTATCTTTCGAGTATTCGAATATATTATTTATTTTGTTAATATATCTTATAAAAAAATTCGAATAAAAACTAAAAACACATTGTTTACAAAACTGTAATTTAACTGTGCATATAGTATTTGTTATATTTTTATTTCGCTTTTGAGACTTACGGTGTTACGGGTTTCGGGAATCACGGTGTTCGGATATTGTTCTTTAACGGGAGCCTGAAAAAAAAAAATATAGATTTAAAAAAAGTATGTATGAATAATAATTATTCAATCCTCAATTAAATTTATATAATAGCGTGGCGATACTATTGTGCATAGATTGCTGCAGTGCACATATTTTTATATTAGTTCACGTCACAGTATTATGGTTTTTATCGGTAGATAAACAAACACAAACAAAAACATATTGTATCCGACAATAATAATATTAATAATAGTGATTATTAAAGTTTTAATAATAATAAAAACGATATAGACATATTTACTAGTGTTGAAGACTCTTGCGAAACGGATGCCTTTGGAGTCGTTTCTGTAGTGATTGCACTCCTCCAATCGTTGTCAGAAGATCCTTGACCATCTTCAACCTTAACCTATACAAGACAGTACATTAATATTTTTCGAATTCTATATAAAATAATTTTAAATTTCGACGGTGCTTATCAGAGTGTACCATATCAAAATTAAATTATCAGGGCTGTAAGTTTGTATTTGTAACGCATAATACGCAGTATTATTTCATACGTTTTATACTTTTTATACGTTTTTTTATGGTATAAAACCATTGATTTTAAAATAGACAAATAGCCCGTGGCGTAGGGATATTTAGCAACTCAAATGTTAGATATGATTCCCGTAAAATACCGCAGTAATATTCGACAAATTACATTTTCTTCAAATAATTTACCAAATCGACGTTAGTATACGGCGCATGATGACGGTGACACGACGACCGATTATCCATAACACTTGATGCAAATAACTTCCACTCAATATACGTATGTTATATAGAATTATATGATCATGTATTCTTATACAGGTAATGTTACACATTTTTATTTTTTTATCACATTTCACGCATACTCTATCTGTTTACCCAGTTTAACCATACAGAACATTAACATTAACCATGGCATATATAGGCATATATTTTTTACTTAGTTCATTGTTTATACCTAATATCAATTATTCTATAATTGTTTACTTAGTTATATCTATTATTTATTCCTAATAGTATGAGTATTTTTATACTTGATATACATGTGCATTATTTTCGGTTTAGTAATAAGACAAATATAATTGCAAATTGCAAGTACATTGATACCAATTTTCATTTTGTATATGAAATACATTTTTTTTTTTTTTTTTATCTAAAAAGAAAATATTACCTGAGAGGAATATTGATCATTAAGTTACAAAAAAAAAAAAAAAAAAAACGTACCCATTATGTACCTATATGTGTAACTGATTCAACTATGGTTAAGTTTTCATTGAATATTATAAACTCGATTTTTTACAGCAAATTTATATCCAGTTTAGTTATAACCGGTTGAATACAGACGATTGAATCAATGATTTAGTCGAGTTAACACATTTATTTATGTTTTAACTTTTAATTGTAGGTTTAAATTTATTTTTTTTTATTAAAATTGAATAGAAAATTTTGTTTTGTTTATTTAACTTAACTGAAACTTGTTAATTATTTACATTATAAATTTGCAACCCACTTTTTCATATTATAATCTAATTTACATAAATTAGATTATAATTAGAATTTTATTAATTAAGAATAAATAATCAATTTAATATTAATTATTTACAGTTGTATACATTTTACACTACAAATACTAAAGATATGTACTTCTATGCAGTTACGTGATCATATTTACATTTGATTTTTGAGTTGTGATTGCCATTACAATATCATCCCAATTAGGTTCTACGACTTCTTGTTGCTGTTGTCCTTCGCTGTGTTCGATTTCATCCTGATTGCAAACAAAAAAAACAAAACATGAAATATTGTCAATCCGTTCTATGCATGTTTCAAATTATATTTAGTTATAACATTAGAAGTAAAGAATTTATTTAAAAAGTAAAATATTTTTGGTTCGATCGACTCACCGTTGACTTTTGAGTTGTAGTTGACATCTTCACTTGATTCCAATCCGGAAACCCGTTTCCTCCTCCGTGAATTGAAGGTTTTGTCTATAATTTATAACACATATATTTAAGCATAAAGCGAAAGCCAAAATATTCATAATAACTACACATTAGAGTCGACCATCCCGAAAAAATAAAATATGCATATTAAATATGAATTAGTAAATGCAAAAAAGACACATGTTCAAATATTAAACATTTAAAAAAATAAAAATACTATTAGTATCTATGAAAAAGATTAAAAAATAAATTATTTTCTGTTATAGTGTTAGGTAAGTATATACATAGGTACAGTATGACACTGTATATGTTTCTACAGTAGTTTTATGAAATGTTATAAAATTATAGGCGTTTGAGTTTTTTGTCTCTTTTGAAAAATTTTAAAATTGGAATTTTTGCCCTCTCTGCATTTAGTAATCCACTAAATCACACAGTGATTACGTTGACACCATTACTGACTTCTTTATCAAGAAACTCCGTGTCCACCGTTATCTGCCCATCAATAACTGGCTCTTGTCCAGCTCGCGGTAATACTTTACCCTGTTAACATTTATAAACGTATTTTGGTGAGTTAATTTTTTGTAAACACAAGTTATCACAATCCGAAATTCAGAGAGAATTTTCAATCTACAAACTCGAATCTTTTATCCTCTCTCTCTCTCTCTCTCTCTTTCTTTATATACCTTCACGCGTTCGGTAAAATCTGCAAATACTTTTCGGAAATCGGTTTCGACGGGAGCGACCGCAATATTCGGGGTGCCTTCTACGGTGACCGAAGCCGACGGCACACCAGAGTTGGATGACACCCTGTATCCTTTTGCGTCTGCCACGTAATTGACGTAGACCACCTGACCATTACCGTCCGCGTAACTGTAATATCCGGTCACCGTACCGTCTTTGTCACGAATTTCGGCTCTGCCCTGTCAAACATATCCGACCAATTATTATTTTAAATCGTCCAACTTATATCGGCCACAGCTTGTGTAAGTATTGTAACCCGATCACGACCCACAAATTCTAACCAGAAAATGCGTCGTCGAGCAAAGTATAAAATAGAAATAGTATTGCAAATGGTGCGTGATGTATAAGCAAAACGCTATAGATTTCTTTGATTCTCATAGAGTATAATTTTAAAACAACCATTAATTATATAGATACCTACCTAATTACACAATTACTGAAGCAAATATTGCATAACTCTCGAAATTATAAACAGAAACGTGCTACGAAAGAAATAATGCATCTGAAATAATATATTGACGATACGAGAAGTCGAGAAAGTTATTTATTTAAAACTCCATATTAAAATCGTTCTATTATTTTTAATCTCGTAAAAATATAATTATTTGAAGTTCTTCGAATCATAAACAAATTACGGTATTTATTATACAGTTACCACTTACCTGGTTTCCGGTAGTATGTCCGAAAACGTATTGTCCGTCGGGCGACTGCAAATGAAAACTGTTGCCCAGTTGCTCATCGACGCTTCCGTTCTTTGCGTGCGCGGGGCCTTTGCCACCTGTCTTTGCCGGATAAATGCCGGCGGACACTGCGGCCACAATCACGAACGAAGCTACAAACTATATTCACAAAGGCTAATGAGTTTTAACAGTATACTAACGGTATGTACAGGGCGGTTGTTTAGAACATTTACACTCGTTTTCTCGTTCAGTTTAAATACCTATCATGCATAATAACTACAGTATCGGATTTTCGTGAAATTAGATTAAAAAAAAACCATTCAGAAAAATATTCAGAGTAAACGTAGACAATTTCCGAAATGGTGTACTCCCTGGCAACGCACTAAGCGGCAATAAGTATACATAAAGGCGACCGCACTCGATACAAAATCGCTCGTGGTCATTCCATGTTATGCAAATGCATGGTAAAAATAAATGAAAAACCTAACTAAACATCAAAATAAAATATCGCCAAAAAATATATAAATATTAAATAAATAAACAGTTGGAATTTCTTACGGAAGCATAATATATGTATCTACCTATATTATACAACATTCGTAAAAAAAATAAAAATTTCAAAAATTCACGAAGAAAATGGAACGCAAAACGCGTATGAGATAAACTATATTAGTAAAAAATAAAGGAGTGTTAAGAGGAATTAAGAAAAAAATGCAACTTTAGCGAATTTTAATAATCAGAAGGCCACATACTGGACCGTGATAGTTTGTTGAAAATGATTATTGAAGAGAGTGGATTGTTAAACTGGAAGAGGAAGACTAAGGATAAAATATGTATACGAAAAATTATGAAGAACGTAGGAGTGAAAAGTTTTTTGGATCTTAAAAAGCTAAGTTATGCGATCCAATCGAATTGAAAACCAAGATTATCAAAATTATTAGCATTATGTTAACTGCAGCTCTCGAAAACTTGGCTGAAGATCAAATGGCGATGGTTTTGACTCATAACAAACGATACGAGTATGACTTACGGCAAACGAGAAACGCATTGTTGTATCAGCTACAAAAGTTGTAAACAATAATGTAACACGAAACTTTAGCGACTGATCCGCAACCCCGAAGAACTTGAACTTAAACGTGTCGTCTGTCCGCTCATATCTTTTATAGATGAAAAGTTATTCCATGTAGCTGACGTCCTCGTCGTTATAAAATAATATTGTGCCCTACCGCCGAACGATTCTCGCTAATGGATGACGATTTTTTTTTCCCCGTGCGTTTTCCTGATCAACATACGCAATATCGTGATAATATTTGTATTGTTACAATCGTAGGTAGGCACTAAAATTACATACGTGTCTCGACGTAATTTAAAATGTTTTTATTTTTTTTTTACCCGAGAAAAACAATTAATTCGATAGCGATAATCGTTTTTCCCTACTGAAATCGAGTAGTATTATAAAGTTTCAATAAATAGTAATCGATTTGACGTATTACAATAGTATTGTACACACACCGAGAATACCGAATTGCGCAATTACAGAATCTTCTTCTCCTATAGTCCTGTGTACAGTAATCAACTGTCTGTTGATATAATACATTTTTGGAAAAATATTATAAATATCGAAATATTGAATACTGACAAAAATTTCAAAATGGATTTCACTCCTATCTTTAATATAAAATTTAAAAAAATTACAAATAATAATTGTTAATACTATTGTTTTTAAAACCAAATTTGCTCGATAATTAATATACTGTTATAAATTGCACACAATTTAAACATAAATAAATATGTTTTTCATTTATTAAATATATTATTAAATCAAAGTTTAACAAACAATCTACATTGTGTCTTAATAAAAAAACGGACACACTTCGCACGAGGATTAGCACGTTGTTATAGGTGGGAAGTTGGGAAGATAGGATACAGACGGGAATTTAATGTATATCTGTAAGCAACGATAAACCATTGCTAACGAAAAACTTTTAGAAACTGTACTAAGATTTAATCTGGAATGTTAAATTTTAATGTTATAACTATGTTTTGAAATTATACAAAAAACGTGGAACAAATATGTGTAGTTTATCAGTTTTTCGGTGTATTATTTGTTTTCCAAAATGTGTGTTTTAGCGAGGAGAATTCCGTTTTTGAAATCCATATCCAAAAATGTATTTAAAATGAGAAATTTAGATTTTGAAACTTTAATTGGTTATTATTGGTTTGAGCGGTTATTATGTTTTTTTAATTTTGGAAACATGTGCATCCAATAGTACACGATGGTTTATTGTCCGGGCCTAATAATTGTGCTCCAGTATCAAGCATGACGGGTATATTTACGCACACTGTGCATATGTGATTAGATTTATTGTATAAATATTTTGTGCTAAGTGGAGTTCAGTTATACATATTTTAAAAGGCCTAATTTAATATTGACAATTTTCGTTAAAATTGAATATAAAAATTCTTATAAAAAAAATACAATTTATAATGAACCTCCTGCTAAATTTTCAAGCATTTATATTTGGTCTAACAATTTTATTCACAGAATATATATACCAAATACAAATTACTTTAAAACATGCAAAATTAAAATATCTATAGGTCATAATATCATAGCTCAGAAATATCTAAAATGTTTTTAAAATGTTACCATATCTAGAAAATACAAATATAAATTTTCTGTTCAAGTTTCAAGTTTACGAATATTTTTAACTGAATAATAACAAAAAAACAAAATTCAAAATAATACATTTCGTAAATTATTCCGTTTTTTGGTAATTATTATAAAAACCATATTTAAAGTAAACTTGAAGCTCCTTTGAAAATTTGCGGGGAGGGACATTCACGGTCAATACTGATTTTTTTTAGCTAATTAATTTTTTTTTTTCAATCGAATTTCCTTATTTCTAATTGAATATGAAAAATGAATGAAATCGATTTTGATAATCCTGTTTTCCCCCGCAAAAAATGATCTCCTAATGTACCAACAAGGTTTGCAATTCTACAAATAAAGTAAAAGTCTCCTATAATATAAAATGTTTAATCGAACACTTTATGGTCGAAAACTTATTCGTAGAAAGAAAATAAACAACACATAACGTAAAGCATAATAACTTTAAACCAAAAAGGACAAAAAAATTACATTAATATTAATTATTTTGGTCTATTTTTTTTTTTTCGAAATTTTAAAATAAATTTTTAACAATGTAATATGACAAAGTCGACGAGTCCAATTTTCGTCACGCGTGCCAAGGACTTACGCCATTTGTGAAAAGTTAAATAATATCTAACCGCCGTTTGTACATAGAGGTATACCGAGAAATTATTATTTAATTCATTAGCAATATCCTATGGCCAAAACCATGTATGGGCAGTACCATATTATTATTACTTTATAGTGATTTCTCGGTGATTAAGAAAAATCGCCGGTTGATTGATTGGTTATTGTATTAAATATATATACAATGCAATATTATATATCTGTAAACAAAACTCCAGGGCTTTTTAATTTCCCATAAGCAACATGAATACACCACTATAATAATATAATGCAGAACTAAACGTTGAACCGCCACGTGTGCACGTGTTTCACTAGCAATATTCACTGGATCACGAACAATTATTTTTCATCGTGTATACTTATTATTCTTTAAAGGCGAATTTCAACACGCGCAACTTGTCAATTTTGATGAATACTTCTATGCGTACGAATAGACGGCATTTCACATTGAAATAACTTACGCGAAGGGGAAAACAAATTACGTGATAAAAATACGTTTCAATCAATACGCGTAGGTATAATCATCCTAAATGCAGTGTAGGGGAAGATAAATCTTGATAAAAGATAAATATAATATGGCCTTTAGATATGTATATATATATAGGTGTATAGATAAGTATATCTACCTAGTAAGTTTACTTCGGTTTATTACCTTTATTTTTGAATATGGAAAATTAGTTATTATTGTTTGGCTAGAGAAATGATGCAGTAAACTCAGTATACCTATATATATACGTATTTACTAATAATAATCCGGAAGATAAAGATACAATACCTAGTTTTATTTTATTTAGATAAAAGATATAAAAGTCAAAATATAGTAACTAATTATATTTTAGATATTCCTAGACAAATAATTTCAACAATGCACCTATATGTACTACAACTATATTTCACCGAAAAATAATTATATATTAGATTGTTATATCAACATTATGAGAATAATATAGTTTTAATATTCAATGGACACGGAGAGAAAAAAGAATACTAACAAGAGTGAATTCCTTAAAGTGAATTTTATAACATAGAAACACGTTAGAATGACTATAGTGAATATATTATTTTGGATGTGTTTAATAATTGTTGATAATGACTAAGCATTAGAGAATCGCATTTTATAATTTCCCCGTTGGAAAATTGCGAAAAACTGAACGAACAAAAATACAAAACGAGGAAAATTATATACGTATGTAAACGAGCGTTTTTTCTTTTTTTTTAGATTCCGTCCCGATTTGCCATTACGAGACTTTTCATTTCTACAACGAAATGAGATGTTGACTTGACATTATATTCACACGCATTGACGTATCCAGGGGGCTAAGAGAGCTATAGTCTTCCCTATTAACAGTGTTTATGTTAGCTAACACCCATTAATACCTACTTAATAAATTATTGTAATAATTATTTTAACAATTTTAATATGTTCATAATTAATCAACAAATATTGACTAATTGTAATAAATATTAAATGAGTATTATTATAATATTGTAATGATTTATTTTCATAACTAATGTATTGCATAATCCCGTGGTTCTCAACCTTTATTGATTCGTGTCACCCTTATCCACAATAATCCAACACTGAGTTGCCCTGTCAATGCATTAGCAGTCCATTGAAATTATAGGAAATTCTAGCAGTGGTATCGTTGAAAAGTGAGTGATTGGGAGTGAATATTATGATGTTCGGACGGTGTTAGTGGTTAGATGACGGCGAAGGCAATAATACGATATTAGTCTAAACAATTAAAAGTTCTCTTATTTTTTTTTCTCTTCTCCGATAATTTCGTGTCACAGAGTACACTGGGTCAATGTTACACTTGTTGAGAACCACTGGCATAATCTAATAAAAACATGATTTTACAAAAAGTCTAATTAAAGATAATTTTTTAATGGGATTTTTTTTTGAAACGTCCCATCCCCCATACAAAATTCTTGGTACGCCACTGTTCATACGTAATATTTCTCATAACGGTCACTTTTAAATATAAATATTATTACTATTTTGTGATTGATAACACTAAATTGAGATGATATTTCTGAGTGCTGTTAACATTTCTTATTATAACACTTACCTATATACACTTTTCAATGGTTTCCATAGTAGGGTCGAGTTCGAGTTCGAGTCCGATTCCCATCACTCGACTCGCAGTTTTATTATTTATTTCTATTGATTTCCCTGAAATCTGTTAATCACAGACCTTGGAGTCACATGTTCATATTATACTTACATTTTTCGAACATTGTTACTATTTAATAGTTTAAATTCGCTGCAAACAAAACAGCGTTTTCTTTTTCTTCTTCGAATTTTTGCTCGTAAAGGCGGAAACAGCGTTGCACTTCTGTATAGGTAACGTTCTTTTTATGGTTGCAAAAAAAAAGTAATAAACATGTCACTCGATGCGAGCAACGTGATTGAATAATAATTATAAATGATGATCGGCTGTGCAAGTTTTCCATTCGGTTTATTTTTTATTTATTATTATTATTTTTTTTTTATAGATCTACAACAGTCCGTCGTCGGCAACGGGTAAAAAAAAGCGTATTTACTTCTATATGTAATAAACTGTCTGTGATGGTTGAAAAAAAAAATAATAATAAAAAATTCTTCGCGGCGTTAATCACAATACAACCGAACGACAATATATTACTGCAACCATTATTGCGCAGCTCAATATTATAATAATCATCATAAATGTACAATAATAATAGTGATGATGGGCGCACGGGCTATTAAATTATCATTAAGACGTAATTTTTATCTATCAGTTGTCATTTTTTGATAAATTAAGTAATAGCCACTATAATTTCGTTAATCAAAAACGGCTTAAACTAAAGAGAATATAATAGTACACTTAGGTACAATCATTTCTCCGTGCAGTATATCCCGTTATAACAAATAACGAAACAACAATAATATTATATGACTTTACCGACCGAACGTCTTTTGGATACAATTTCTATAAGCGTCAGGTTTTTTCCGTCGGCAAACATGTTTTTGACTCGCAGTCGATTTTCTTCAATCAGTATTGCAACCAAGGAGGTTGTTTTGTGCTCCTGGACACCCCACTACATCCGTATTTAAATAATATAAACATATTACAACTTGTTAAAAAAAAACGTGACGACACCCTTCGAAAAATCCTGATTTTTCCATTAGCTCTAATCAATAATTTCGTAGCATTTCGGACGGCATGCGGTTTGGTGCAATTTATGCTCGATAATATCTTGTATTAATTATTAATCCACTTTGACTTTTGTTAATAAAGGAAAAAATCTAAAAGATACGTCAGGAAACGAGCATATACTTACAAAACGTCAGTTTTCGTCAACATTTTTATGTATTTAAATGTATTTATTTATCTTGTGTTTTATCGAAAAATAATCGTAGAGATCCGAAACGATAATCAACAAATACTTACCGTCTATATTTTCTATTATAGACGCTGTATAATTTCCAAAATATTTTTAAATTATGTCTTAGATTTTTCATTTTTTTTTTTTTGATTTGTACAGTTTATTTTCTTCTATAACCAATGAGCGCGGACGTTTTGAAATGACTCGTTTTATTCGAATCGAACGTCTACGATACAAAAAGTAGGAACAAAAAAAGAAACGTCATAATGAAATAGAAAATTATAATATAATTACAGAAAACCGCAAGATGATTGGTTTTGTAGACTATATTATTATTATTTACACAACAATAAAATTATATTTTATTTACAAGTAATTTATTTACAAACGAACAATGTACAAACAATATACTTAATAATATTATTTACAAAAAAAAAAATAAAATATTATACGTAAAAGTAAACTTAAAGTAAAAGTCGGTATATTATATTGCAAATCCCTTATACTAAAATAATATACTATAAGTTGACTATAGTCGTATCGTTACCGTTTAAAGGCTTTAATTTCAACAACGGTGTCACTTCGGCCAAGTTGATTTGAACGTCTAGTGCGTTGGCCTGCTCTTCGTTCCTCGATTTGGGCTCACATTTTTCTTTAAATTTCTCACCTACAGTATAGCATACAACACAAAATTAAAAAAAAAAAAATTTTAAAAAAGACGGGGATACTTTGCACGTGGGTGGGCCACTGTTATAGGTGAGAAGTTTGGAAGTTAGTTTAGAGGAAATTTAATGTACACCTGTATGCGACGATTAACCATTATTAACGAAAAATGATTTTGAGCCCAGTTCAGTCAAAATTACACTTATTTTTGAAAAAAAAATATTACGCTTAACCTTTTTTTTTTCTGCTGCTAAGTACAACTTATGAATTATAATAAGTTTCTTGTTAAATTTTCAAACATTTTAAGTGGGTTCAAAAAATTTTATTCACAGATGTAACCAAAACAAATACTAAATTTTTCCCCATTGTTCCCAATTACTAAGAAAACTGTAATGGAAATTAAAAAATAACCTCAGAATCCAAAACAAACAAATTTAAAAACATTTTTCGTCACCATGTTTGTTTAGTTTTTGAATACCGGTTGTATTTTCAGTCAGCTAAAAACGATAAGACAATGCACTAACCAAGAATGACGGCAGGAAGAGCATCCAGTGAATTACAAAACACTATTGACCGACATCTACTGGACTTCAGACACACATATCGTATTTTTTCCGATGCGTTCAGCAGCACGAACAGTTGGTCTCTGGCCTGAATCTCTGACGATATCAGACTCAGTCCCTTAGCGGCCGTGAAGTCCAGTCCCTTCATATGCACACAGTTGAGGACAAAGGGCGTTTTTGAGTAAGGTTTCTCCTTGGCGATTTGCATGATTTCTCTGTACAGATAATCGATCGCCGGAAAATAAAGCCCGTTGTTTGGCGTTATCAACATGAACTCTATTTCTCTAGACTGCGGGCACATACAAATAATCATAATAAACGAAAACCGTCATAATTTTTAAAAATTTATCGTTTTGTTTTCTATCAATTACTGTGCCCGTGCTTTGGACCGATATAATATATTTTGTACTGTATATTATACGTACTTTGATCAGTTCGATTTTCAATTTTGGCCTGGACCACATGAGCGCCAAATGCAAAATGTTTGCGCACACGCCCGCGAGCAAACCAATTTCCACGTTGAACAAAAGGCTGACCACGAGCGTAATCATCGTGATTAACAGTTCTACGCCTGTGAAACCAATAAAAAATATTATCTAGTATGTAAGAATGAAGAACGACAGAGCGAGTCGTCGGGTGTAAAGCTCGGTGAACACGACGCTTGTTTTGTTGCAGGATCGCCAGCTGCAGGCAATGATGGAAATCAAGATAGCTTGCGTGATCGCATTGACATCGCACGTTGGTTGTTATCGGGCTACTTTTCTACTTGGCATAACTATATGGCTTATAGCTTATCACTAAACCGACTCCGTGACAAGATGCTATTCTCTGATTGGCTCACTCTCAAATCCATCAAGGAATCAAGCAAGAAAATTGAATGTGTTCTATCACGAAATCCAACACGCAATCATGTAATATCTACATCAAAACAAGCGACGTGCGCGACGAGTGTAAGATAATTTCGTATTATATACTCACGGCTAGTTTTCCAGAGCGGTTTGACGATTTGGTAGTCGACCAAAAATACCACGGCGCTGATCAGCACCGCGGACAATATGGCTCTCGGGATGAGATGAAAGTGAGGTGTCAGAAATATGATCGCCAAAAATATCAAGCAGCTTGCGTAAATGTTCGACAGGGTCGTCTGGACACCGCTGGCCTGGCTCAAGGCACTCCGGGTGAACGCGCCGCACGATGGCATCGACCCGATGAACGAACCGGCGATATTGCACACAGACAGGGCCATCATCTCCTGTGTGGCGTCGATGGTACCTCCGTTAGCTGTATATTATAAAAAAAAATTCCGTCGTATTTTATTATAATATACGAAAGCTAGTCAAACTTTAAATTTTTAATAATTTATCTAAAGGCAAAAAAAAAAATGTATAACAGTATATCGTTGGTCCTGGGAAAGAGAATCTTAAATTGATTACAAAAAAAAAAAATTAAAATGTATGGAAAAAATAACATAAGACGGAATTATAAAAAAAAAAAAAAACCAAAAATTAGCATCTTCATTCAGACACCAAAGACATAATCGCATTGAAAGTGATGACAATAACCGTTTCGACACGATTTGTTTTTCTTTTTTCTTTTTGCTCGGAAGTGTCGTCTGCAGTAAATAACTGTATTGTTAACGAAATTTACAATGCTGAACGGAGTTCGATTTAACATTTTTTCATTTTTTTTTTTTTCACCTAAACTTTAATTGAATACCGTATTTACAATAATATAATCATTACCAGCTTGATCTGAATCTATAAAATTAATATGTTAATTTTTATTATTATCTTTGTGATTATTAATGTTGTAGTCGTTATTATTGCTTACTAAATATGTATCTCTCATTGTTCCTAATTACCCAATTACATATATATTTTGTTTTATGTATGTATAGTTCATAATCAATAGTTATACCATACGAATAAATAAATAAATAATATAATTTACAATTATTCGTGATTTTTACGAATTCCGTCAAAATTCGGACTTCAAAGATTCATATAACAAAAAATATAAAAGGTAAGATAGGGTTATGTAATTAATATCTGTACGCAACGATAAATTATTCCTAACGAAATACGATTCTGAGCGAAGTTCGCTTTAACATGCTTTGAATTGTCGTGATGTTTACGATGAAACTGTCAAAAGCAAATAAATAGCTCAAAAATCACCAGAATGTTTTGTGAATGTTATCACGTCTACAAAAAAGGTTAATATTTATGTTATGCGTTTTCCCTTCGCTTCTTCCTAATTATTAAGAAAACTACAAAGAAAATCAAAAATTGATCTCCTCAATACTGGTAACTAGATACAATATTATTGACAAAAACAATTGTAATATTATACGCTTAATTTACGATGAATACATTTTTGAGTGTTTTTACCAAATCACAAAAAATTCTATTCACTGAAACAAACGCCAAAAGAGCCAACATATTTTTATCGAAATAATTATTACAGAATCTAAAATACGGCAAATTCGGTATATTCATAATATATAATATTATTTACCATAAGCCTTGGCAATGGACACGTTAGCCAGCACCGACACCAGTGGTATGACAAATATAGCGGACCGGATCTCGTATAGCATCTCAAGTAGCGTGACGGTCGTGTTTCCGGATGTGTAACCAAAGGGCGGAAACCGTATTGTCGGCAGTCCCGGTTTGGCGGTAGCTGTTAAATAATAATAAATATTGTAAAAATCTGATATCCGATTATTGTATGTTGAATCCGGTATACAGTAAACTATCAAAATATTATAATGGATTTAATTCGATACTATTTTAACTGTGGGTTATAAAATATGGTTTGCTTATTTGAGGTGGCCTTATATCTCTTAAAAATGCAACAAAAACAAATTGTGCGTATAAGTCTGAGGAATCGTTAGAATGCTCTTTAAATGATAATTTAATGTTCTACCAGTTAATTTACTGATAAATAAAATAGTCCTAGTGTGGTTATTAAAAAATTTTAATTACTGGATAATTGCTAATGATAATAAAATAAAACATCTAGCGTTTAATGCTTAAGTAATTTTTTTTTAAGAAATCTTTTGTAAAAAAATTGTGGACTATCTAGCACCAAACTATTATAACGCATTGCATTTAGCTTTAAAAACAAACATTTATTTTAAAAAGTTTAATGTTAAAAACACATACTTGAGTAGTTATTTTCTGTTTGTATTAATGTATTGTACTTTTTCATATTTATGTAAATCGTTTTTCTCTTTTCTCTATTTTTAATTATACGTAACCTTTTTTTCTTTTTTTTAGATAATTGTAATTTTAATGATACATTTCTATAGTCTTAATTCTTTGCCTTCACTACAATCTCCAACTTAAAGAAGAGATAATTTATGTAATTTTTGTGCTTTGTTAAATTTGTTATTTTTGAATTAATAAATAAATACTTAAAAAAAAAAAAAAAAAACAGTGATAGATTAAATAAGGCTATCCGACAAATAAACGTCACAAGTTCAAAGTGCAAAGACTCGTCAAGTTTTTTCATAGGTGGTTTGGTCATTTAGATATGACTGTTAGATAACCAAATAGGAACTACTAGGAATTAAGTACTCGAAGTAAAATACATATTTGATCGACAAAAAACTAATGTTAAAGTGTGTGTAAACACCAATTTTTAGAACAAATTGAAATTTAAAATTCTCGAGGTCTTGTCTGGCCCCTATTCAAATATTAAATCCTAAGTGTTATTTTATTACTTATTTATTATATCTGATATTGACTGCTTGTAAGTAATAATAATTGTATGCCGTGTATGTACGCACCAGATGTCAAATACGGCAACGGAACTCCATTAGACTCGAACAAATAAGTGATGTACATCGAGATGAGCACGACCGTCGTGTTGCGACTTAGCGAAATGAACCCTGAGACTTTTTTCATGTAGCCCTTAACCGGTAGATTGCGTAATTCCTGCGAACCAATCGTATTATAAGAGATTTATTACCAGTGAGTTGAATTTAAAATTACACACGTAGAAAGCGAAATATATTACCCTCATGATCAGTATGAAAGCGATAGCACCCAATCCCAAGTAAATGTCACCGTTCCTCCGTTCGTGGAAATGTCCGACGAGTTTCTCGATTATCTCCTTGACTGAGTCACCTTTGAAACTCAAACCCAAAATACCCTTTATTTGCGATACCACGATAATAATGGCCGTGGCGGTCGTAAAACCCGAAATAACCGGAGCGGAAATTAAGTCGACCAGGAAACCTGCGACGGTGAAACGACAAAAATTTAAAGGTTAAAACCGTGTTCTACAGTGTGTTCCATAATAGTTATACCATCCCAAGTATAACATACTCCAAATCTATTTACTATCTCCAAAACCAATTTTTTTTTTCAATTCACTCACAGAATATTTGCGTGAGTTTAAAAATAAATTCTCCATGATATTACTTGCAAAATTCTCATACATAACCGTATAAATAAATGTACCACGTTATTTTTCACGTTTCAGCGACATTGAGTGTCAATAATTGTACAAAAAATGTGAATCATCTATTCTTTTGCAAATTTCACAAGGAATCTCATGGAGTATTTATTTTTAAACTCACACAAATATTCTTTGAATATATTTCAAAAAAACCTGTTTTGAAGGTAGTAAATAAATTTCAAAAATTTCGTTATTTGGGTGCCAAATTTAGTATGCTATACTACGGATGGCACAACTATTACGGAACATCCTCTATTTTATAAACTGCAACTTTCCAGTTCATATTATTATGGCTTAATCAGACAAATGTTTTACAAGGAGACTCACCCAAATTGAACAGACTCATTACCATCTCGACAATCCCGCACATGAACGTCAACAGCACGACATATTCTGGTGATAAATTTTTCGTGTACTCGTACGTGAGCAAAGACATTAGCGACGTTGGTCCCATGAACACTTGTTTGACAGTACCTAAAAGTGTATAAATCAGTCCTCCCGTCAACGCCGTGTACAGTCCGACCTACGCATGGACAAAATAAATTATTAATAATATTCTAAAGCAAGGGAATATCGTTACATGCATTTTTTCAGTACTAAGGCAATATTGTTAATTTGGTTTGGTCTACAAGTATTTTAAACTTATACAAATTTATCCAGTGGCATTAAAGTACAAACTGAGATCGAGTCTTAGTCCAACAACTTTTCCAAAAACTGTGCTATGAGTCTCATGAACCCATGGCAGCCTCAGATATTTTGATCTTTGTTACCTGATGTATTCCACACTTTGTACACAATTTGTATGTTCCTTAATTCATCTATGATGGCATTAGCGGTGGCATCACTAATGGCATCTACATTTAGTCCATCGTCCATCACATCTCATCAACCAACTCGTAAACAAAGAGAGTAGTAAAGCCATTTTAAACACCACTGATGTATCGTGGATGAATTAAGGAACATGGATTTTGGATTGTCTACAGAATTTATTAAAACTTTAAATTTCGTTTACAATAATATGATAAATTTTTGTAGTACAATCTGTTCAAAATTTAATAAGCACATCATATTAAATGATTCGTTTAGGAAAAACGAATGAAAAGAAAATTTTGCTATTGACAAATAGTCACATGGCACAATGGCCGTATTAACGATCGACACAAATATAGTATGTATTAAAAAAAAAAATCAATTTACAATATTTATTGTTTTAAAATGACTTAATTAAAGGGGAAAGGAAAATAACAAAACAACGAGAGTACCGGCCAAAATATTTAAGACAAATATTTATATTCACAGTATTCCTTGCACCGACCGAAGTCGCCCCACACAGGGTACTTTACACGTGGATTTACTCTACCATTTTGGGCTGGTGAGAGCATACAAAAAAAAATTTGACATGAATCCACTTACCAAGACGGATGGGAGAAAAATGTCAACGTTCTAACCAGCGCATCGACAAACGTCGAAACGCTTGAGACTTTATCGGTAAAATTTACTTAAATTTATTGGCCGGGGACTCGCGTCGTTAGTCGTTTTGCACAATTTTAATGCGAAAACATATCAAATTCAGGTGGGATACGGACATCTTTTCAGTGTTGCTAAACACGGGTGGCTGTTTAATCAGCGCAGCGTAACAATACTTATTTCACAACAATCGAACGATCGCGCGCTTTGATTTTCACGACATATCCACTTTTGGACGTTACAAAATGTACTCGAATTTTTTAAAACTTGGTATTTCTGACATGTTCTGAATACTTCTATAAAATATTCATAATATTTTAGGAAAACAATACATACGTATTTAAAAAAAAAAGCTGCCCTAGGATAATGGGGAAGGGTGCAGCCACTATTGAAAATGGGAAGTTGGAAAGGTAGAATATAGACAGGAATTTAATGTGTATCTGTATACGCAACGATTAACCATTTCTAACGAAAAACGATTCTGAGCGGAGTTCGGTTAACAGTGTTGTCTTTGTCAACAATATATGTCATATTATGGTAAAATAATTACAAATGCATTAAACATTTTCTAAAATAATATTTATTTAATATTGTAACTATTTTCCCGGTTTTTCTCATTTTTTGGGAAAATCAAAAAGAACCTCCCTAAAGTATCTCCTCATAGTAAATTTTTATTTTAGAAAAAGTGCTATCATTGTAAATCAGAGCAAATTTACAGCAGAAAAAATGTTCACTGGAAAAAAAAAGCCGTAATATTTTTTTACTAATACGTCTTTATTTTTATTTGTTTAATTAACTCATTTTCAATATTACTGTATATGCATATTGTATATATATATAATTAAATTATAATTTATATATATATAATATGTATAAATAAATAAATAAAGAATTAGTACATATAAGAATGAAAATTAGAAAAAAGTAAATAAATACAAAATACTGAACGGATAAACTAACGGACGAATCGTTTTTATAACTTTTATAAGTTATCTGCCTTATACCACTGCTCGTTGTACAGTAGGTATCTATTACATAGGATTGTATATTATTATAGTATTCGGTTACTTACATATTGTATTACAATGAATATTTCTATACTATAAAATAATCGAGGGAATATGCGACTCTATAGATATATAGTTTACGGGTGCTTTCAGTTTTTAATTAACTGTTTTCACGAATATTGTAAGTCTTTTGATGAACCTAACGAGTAATTTTGAAACAAAATATTAGATAGTTATCACACCTATTAACAAATTATTGATAATAACTATATATAAATCAAAATTTATATACCTGCATACATGGATAATGCCGATGCAACAACACCCACCTGTTGGCTGTTGTTATGTCGTATTACGAAAAATATTAAATACTATCAATAATAATAATAAACTTCTTCCTTTCCGCCTTTATCCCGCACAAGTGGGTCAGCAATAATAATAACAATAATAATTAAACGATTAAACATTATAATGTTATCAATATCAATTATGAATCATTATTGTATTATACCAAGAGATTATTAACTGCGAGGATACGTCATAGACTACAAGGTTGAGGACAAGGTACCTCCGAACTTCTAAAATTAAAATAAAATGGTTAAATTTAAAGGAGTATGAGTTAATAGTTGAAACCCCCAAAAGAGACATCCTTGATACTAACGACATGCATATACAAAATTTCATCTTCCTGGCTTTTATTAGGTCTGTAGGGGTTTTTAAAAAAACATTCTCCTTCCACAACCATATAACAAAATGTACATAAATCGTATCACTTCAGGCAGCTTATAAAACAACTCTAATTCTCCTGTAATTTAGTCTTATTTAGTCTTAAGGAAATGGCTAGGAGAGTCCAAAAATAGTGTGATAAATACATCATGGACAAAGTGCAGTGAAATAGTCTCTATATTTTGGAAGAAAATTCAACAAAAATTATAGGTAAATACTTAATAAAAAATAAAGAAATATAGCTGATATACTGTTAGTGAGGGAAACACTGTTGTAGGTGGAAATGACATACAAATTTCATTGAAATGTGTACACAACGATAAATACTCCCTAGTTAAATACGATTATGAGTTCAATTAAACATGTTTGTTTTGAGATGTGATTATTACAATGTTCAACAAAATTTGAACTAAAAAGACTTATAAAAAAACAACTACATTAAGCTCACCAGTCAACTTATTTTTTAATCACTAAGTACAACTTAAACGAACCTCGTGTAAAATTGTAAAACAAATGTCAACTGATATCAAATGCCTATAAAAATAGATTAAAATGGCTAACAAAACTAAAAATGTTATGAAAATATTACTAAGCCTAGAAAATGCTAATATATGTAAGTATTTTGCAATAATGTCAGGTCTTTACAGTTTATTTTTAAACAAATTGCAACAAAATCGAAATATGACACTCAGAGCTCACGAGCTCAGAATCTAAAACATTGTCGAACAGTTAAATTACGTCCCATACGGTTTTTAATTTTATTCTGTATAACCCATAAAATTCGCATATACCTATACAATACAAGTATGTGCAAACGTTTAATTTAAAAAAATAATTTTTTTTTGGTGTACTCCATTATTATTATTAAATTTTATATCGGAAAAGTTGTATAAACCAATTCAATAATGTTGTTCTATATATTCTATATTTTTATTTGTTCTATGTATTTTGTATGTAGGTTCTTGAAAAAAAATCATACGCACTTGTGGTGATAAATTGGCCATGGACGCATACGCAATACTCTGCGGTATCATGGTCAGTCCGATCGTGATACCGGAAATTAAGTCGCCCGTTGCCTTTTCTCTGTCGTATTTCGGAAGCCATGACGTAATAGGCACGTGCCGGTGAAAAAACTCTAATAATTTGTCATGTGTAATTTGTTTCTTCTTGACATAATTTTTTATACTTATGGCGGCTGAAAATGAAAACATATATAACTTTTTGATTAAATAACTTAAAATTAAAATTGAATATAAGAACCAAATAATTTGTACTCGTATATGCAGTTATTGGGTATAACGTTATCGTATAGTGATTTTTACAGCTTTAAATAAAATTCGTTCGAATAAGGGACGATCAAGTATTTTTCTAATAACTATCAACACGATTTTGATAACAAAAAAAAAAAAAAACTAGAAACAACTTGCTTGAAATAAAGGAAAAACATCATTAAAAGAGAGATTTCTGATGACGGTAACATTTCCGATCGAGTTGCGGAAATTGCATTCGAGAGGTAATTTTTTGTAATTTTTATTAAGTATAGGTACTCCATTTAATAATCTTGAGATCCAAAAGCGTTTATATAAATCACGTAACGCATACATGATTAATAAATCGTGAAGACACGTGAACAACTAAATAATTATATTATTCCCTGAAAATGTTTTTAATAAAAAACAATAGATTTTTTTTATCTAAATAGATAAGTTCATCAAGGTAGTTGGAATAATAATACGAGTGTTATACGTATTGTACATTTTATAACAATGTTAGACTTGTGTTAAATGCCTATTGAAATACATAGGTAATAATAATATAATTTAGATATATTGGTATCTATAATAACCCTGAACTTTACTCGTATATGTCGTACTTCTTATATCTCATAGAGATACCTAACAAACGAAGATTATTTTTGTGTTTTAACAATATACTGAAATTTTGAATTTGTGTTTCGATAATCATACCCAACGAATCTGTCATTCGAATACGTCTCGTAAATATTACCTATACCTAGGTTATCTGATTATCTAATTTGTGAAAACTGCTATTTATGCGTTTATTATAAAAATCACATTATACTATTATTAATTATGTTTGCATTCAGTGGCGCAACTAGGGGGGTACCCCTCCCAAAATATGTTTATTAGTTTTTTAAGAATTTTACGTAGTGCCTACGTAGTTCTATGATTTTCATACCAATTTAAAATATAATGTTGTAACATCATGTATGAATAAGTGATAACAACTATCAGGAATGACCACTTTAAACATACAGACATTAAAGGTAAACCAGATTCAGTGCTTAATGTTGAGACACTCTACTCGAAGAATTAATCTTAGAGTGTAAATTATTATTATTATACAGAGTGGGCTATTTAAACCCTCGGGACGTTTTTTGATAATAATTTTATAAAAAAAAACACAAATTATTAATTTTGAATAATTGTTTGTTTATTTTGGAAATTTATTCTGATTAATTTTTAAAAATAATATCGCCTAAATGGTCGCCTTTAGAGCAAATAACATTAATGTGCTCATTTTTCGACATTTCCCATTACTTTTCGAAGTATTTAAGGTTGAATGAGGCCGTAAATAAACAAAAGAGTTGGTTCTACACCAATGAAACCCTTCAATTAATCCACGAACAACCTCTTAACAATCAACGCACGCGTTGACTTTTGGCCCAAATTTATGCGAAAACAATCATTGGACCGTTCTTTATCGTAGGAGATGCTGGAGCAGCCGTATCCATCAATGGAGAGCATTAACGAGCCATGATAACGGATATTTTGATTCCATTTCTGATTGGTAACGACATAAACGACTATTGGTTTCAACAAAACAGCGCCACAGCTCATACAGCTCGAGCCATATTTGCTTTATTGCGTCCTTTGTTCCTCGGACACTTAATTTCAAAAAAATTGTGATTTCGACTGGCCTCTGCGATCACCCGACTTAACGCCTCCAGACTTTTTCCTACGGGGTTATTTGAAGTTTAGATTTTACTTAATCTGAACCTAACCACGGACCCTAGAAGCATTAAAAGATAATATATGACAGGAAATGGCCGCTATTAAACTGGAAACCTTTCGAAAAGTGATGGAAATGCCAAAAACGAGCACATTACACCATTTACTCTGAAGGCGACCATTTACGCGATATTATTTTTAAAAAGTAATGAGAACAAATTTCTATGTCTAAAATAAACGAAAAATTATTCAAAATTAATTATTTGTTTTGTTTTTTTTTTAATTATTACCAAAAACATCCCGAAAGTTTAAATGGCCCATCATGTACTTATGAGTAAAGTATATATTTTAAATACATAATTATTATTAGTGTAAATTGTTTTCCAATATGTGTTGTCTATAAATGAAAGTTAAACTATTTAAACATTACATCCGAAATTGATTTTTTTTTCAAATTCATAAAACCCTCTCCGAAAATAAATCCTGGTTGCATCACTGTTTGTATTGTCTTTATTAATATTCTAATAATTTAATTCCACGGAGCAACAACCAAATAACAGCCAAATTTGAAATTTTCCAGGAGAAATAAAAAAAAAACCTTTCTATTTTTATTCCCGATAAATACGATTGTTGAATCGAAAATTTGTACACGAGCATATATTATGTGATAAGTAACATGTAATACTGTAATACATGTAACTTGTTAATACATGTAAGTATTTTTCATTGTATCAAAATAATCTGATTGCTACACTCGAATATAGAGAATTTTTTTTTCTTTTTATATTATGCCGTCAAAAAGTTCATTTTCGAAAAAAATTTTAGCTATCTGGTTGTTGCGCCAATCTCTTCGGTCATATTATAATAATATAGAACACAAAAACTATACCTACAGATGTATTTCAATATCGTAATATTATTAAAAAAGTATCAAGTATTCTATATTATATTGATTACATGTGATTGTATTACTGAATGTTTTATCTTTGCCTACATCCCGTAATTTGTATTGTACACAAAAATTGAGCAATATTATATTATTAGACGGATCAAAGAAATAATAAAATAAAATTTAATTTAAATCGGTTTATCTTTTATTTTCACTGTAAAATTTGACGGATGAACGGGGTGAAAACAGATACGGAGAAATTAGGTGTAGTGGATTAACTATACATCAATAGACAAGAGGAAGTATGATGGGTACTGCACAACAATCGCGTGAGAAGTGTCGGTGGCGAAAATACCTCTTGAAAATTCGTAATGCCGGGGGAAAAAAAGGATACACTTTCTGTATAAAAGTATGTAAAAATAGAATACTGAAATCGATTAATACCTTTCAACAACACATGAAATTCTCCGCCGTTCATTCGCGTTTCCATTAGTATAAATATATAGGTATACTAGAGTACACACACGTGTATCGCAGCAATCAAAAAGTTGTATTTCAAATAAAAACTATTCTATCTAATCGCTAATCTGTATACTGATGTAGAGAATATAAATTTGTATAGTAGCATATGAGCCTTGTCAAGTCTAGTTGAGTTCGTATACGTTTTCATCTAACAATAATATAAACCGTGAGTATATTATTGTACGAGCGATGTTCATAAAATACTAAAAGCAGTAATATTTTTTTGTTTGTATTGTTATTATTGTTGCAATAGACTTCAAACACGGTATTTACTCTAATTGTTTTAATTGCAACGATAAAAATGCATGGGGGGATTGCATAATACATAAAATATTATTATAACTACATCTATTATTATTTTATATTGTCCAACTATGTTTTAGTCTTACGTGATATTATAATTTAAGAAAAACAGAACGATTATGGCGTTTTTATGTTTATACAAAACCTATGATCGAAGATGATGAAAACAAACGCGTAGGTGCCGCGATAAAAAAATTACGTCAAAATTTTGAGCGGTGTCGTAAGACGACACTATAATTTTATTTATTTTATTTTATCACCATGGACTGCGATTCACCATAATATTAAACGATTTTTACTGTACTCGTTAAAAACATGGTTTTTTTTTTTTTACATATAAACTCTGTCATCGATAAATACACTACAGTGATCGAATTTGAGGGAAGAGGCAAACGGACGCAGTCAGCTTTCATTTTAAATTCTAAGTGAAGCAAAGAGTGTAAAACCAATATTTTTCAAAGATAATTATCATTATTTTTTTTTTTTTTATGCGAACACTTGTTCTATTAGAAAGTTTACTCCGATGTACACTACGATGTAAACCCATTTCTGAAAGAAAATTTTCTTGGGGTAGTACTTTAAGGAAGTAATTTTTCGATTCTTTTTCAGGAGTTTTCTCATCAAATGTGAAAAATCGAAAAAAATATGACGGAAAAACGGAAAAATGTAGGAAATATATTATGTAGTAAAATATTTCTGCCATTTTTTTACCAGTGAACAACTTTTCTACAATTTTCTAGCAATTTTTTTCCTATTTACTATGATAGCACTTTTACTGAAAAGAAATCGGACGTATTTACATGTTTATCGCTTGTAATCCTTTTAAAAATTGCCACTCTAAATTACTAAAATAACTATATTCGACAAGGATCACAAAAAGCCACTCTTAAACTTAGAGACAATCTAAATAAGAACGAACTTTTATTTCTTTATCAATCAATTCCCTATTTAAAATAGACAAATATTTTGATTTTCCAAGGTATATATTTTTAGGGTTAGGTATCTATTACCCTGCCATTTTTATCGGGGTCCAAATTAATAATTCGCTACCGTAAATGAGTAATTTATGAAAAAATATAATTTTCTTGATTTTTTCATAATATGAACACACTTATATTATTATACTATCGGCTGTTTATTGAATTTCAGGGTGTCCCGCCCATTATAATATCTTCGGAGATAATAAAGATGATTACATTTTTATTTTTTTTTATTTTTTTTTTTTATTATTTACAAAAGATAAGGACTACAAATATTTATATTTCAATTAATTTATTTTTATGATTAGGTAAAAACTTGAAAAAAATAACTTTTTATTTTATAGAGCTTATTCTTCTGAAAATTTTAACACATCAACATTTTGTTATCTTAAATTCGTAATTTTAGTAATTTTTTAAAGTTCAGAAAAATAAGGTGCATAATCTATTAGCTATGAAAATAATACCTAACCAATTAGCGAATGTAATTACAACCTGCAGCTGCATAATTATAGGTTCTTTTCTGTGAGCTTTAAAAAATTATTAAAAATCACGGATTTAATGAAAATAAAAAGTTGATATCTCAAAATGATCAGAAGAATAATCTCAGTAAAATATCTATCTTCAAATTTTTCAAAAATAATAAAATAAAAAGTTATTTTTTTTTAATTTTTCACTAAAAACATACAAATTTAATTCAAATATAAATATTTATATTCCTGAGAGCAATAAAAAAAAAAACAGAATTTGATTATATTTATTATCTCAAGAAATATTTTAACGGTTATATCTTCGAGGGACACCCTATTTTTCTGTCAAATTCTGATGAACAACTAATTAGAATTTATCGATCCAACGACTTCATTAAAACATTACTGAATTGAAAATATTATTCAAGATCCTTGCTAACCCATGATTTTATTTCAAATGATACAAAATACATATGCTTGCATTCGCATTAATATTAGTCAAACCACGTGGCATAATACTATCTTCAGATTCAATCACCTATATTGGATCAACTTATTATTTTAGTATCACTAATCACTAACCTTAAGGTTTAATTTATTTGTACTAGCAATCATATTATGATTACTGATATAGGTGATAGAACTACAGAAATATCAGGAGCTACATTAAAAAAAAAAAATAGTCTTTTAATTTATGATTTTAAAATATCACGCAATTTATCAATTTTATTTAGTTTTGATCACCATTCAACCATTTATATTAGTCAAAAAGAAAATTAAAAAAATATCCTTTTAAAATTTGTCGCCCCTTAAAATCAGAAGCTTTATTTGAGGGATTCAAGCTATACTATAGTAGCCCTAATTTTTTTTCCTTCGTGTGTTTTTAGTCCACAAAAAATGTTATAATTGCGCCGCCGTCGATAAAATATAAAAAGCAAAAGGTAATCGAACCACTAACAATGGTCGTCTCTACCGAAATTCGGTCGTCCGAGATGTGAGAGTTAGACCAGGGTGATTGTTACCACGGCCATCTAAACAGATATGTCAGAAAACTATCAGTGCGCATCGAAACTGATGTCACGTAGAGTAAATCGTGGTACAATGAGTTATTACTTAGAAAAATAAACTATGTGCGCACATAGTTTATTTTTCTACGTAGTTCAGTATCAATATTTTCGTTATTTCAACAAATATATCATTCGAATATTATAAATGTAAAGTGAGAATACAAATACGTACGAGCAAAACGAGCTGATCATTTTTTTCAGTTTCATAAAATAAATAGGATTTATAAATGGTCGGATGGAAACAAAAGTTGGTACGATTCAAATGTTTACATTGATATTGAAAAACTGAAATGACACCCCTGCTTAAAATGTGTCGCTATGGACACGTGCCTATCGTAGTATCTACATCTAAATACGCCATTACACAACACAACTGTTTATTATTACTGGTAATATCCGAAATTAAAATTCGATTATCAATCTCTGGCTTTTTGGATTTCTGAAAAAAAAAAAATCAAAATATCGAAAATATTATGTTTTCATTTGCCTGGGTAACGTACTTTCGTTTGTCCTTCCAGATAAGAAAAAGGGATTCGTCGTTAAATTGTCGATTTTCCAATTTGTCGACCTCTTTTTCTAAACCCAAAAACTATAGAGATCAACCTAAAATTCTATTTATTTGTTTCTTTATTTCTTGTGAAATTAATTTCGAGTAATTTATTTATTTCGTGTGTTGGAATGACGTTCGTCTCCACGTTTTGTTACTCAATACGAGTTAAAAAACAAACAAAATGACAATGAAATATAAGAACTAAAGTTAATATTTCCCTTTGTAATTAACCAATAGGGTTACCCAGAAATACCCAGAATTACCCAGAAATAAAAAAAGGCCAAAATTAAAATGCTTTGATAGCTGCGATACTATCGGACAGTTTTTCGAAATTTCAGATCTGCACCGAGTTCAAAACCGGTGTGTACCGTAATATTTCTGTCTTCAGTTTATAAATTGTTTTGTTTTTTTTTTTTCTATTAAACTGTTTAGCTGTTACACACTTAGAAAAACGCTGCAGAAAAAGTACCACCAGTCGGAAAATCCTTGTTTTCAAAGGTGCGAAAGTCGTAGAGGATTTTTACTATAATCGAAAAATCGGCCACAGACATAGAGATAGAAAAAAATCACGCAGATTTGAAAATGTAAAATTTGTATTTGTAGCATTTGTGTTTTTAGCATTTGTTTAACATATTATTATGATAACGAAAATACGACTTACATCTGTTCATCTCGTTCATTTTTCGCGTTGAGAGTATATTGCGGGAACAAAATATTACAATTATGATAATATAGTTTGAACGTCGTCGTGAAATAATTTCGCGACAAAAGACTTCTATAGGTCGACTCGCTGCGATCTTGGACGTCGTTCGATTGAAAAGACAAAGATCTCCACGCAATTTTTTTTTTTTTTTGTCTTCTATTCTAATCTCCTACAAAACGGCCGTCAATGCACTCGAGTGGCACATCAATAATATATATATCACATATTATAATATTATATACGCATATATAACTGCACTAACACTAGACACTCACGATCATGCGTGTATACAATAATTAATTATACAGGTACGGATCGATAAACAAAAAAAAAGTTTAAAAAAAAAAAAAAACGTCAATAACTAATAAGGTATGTGTAGGTACCGATCCAATTGAAAATTATATTAGGCATATTTTCGTTCATGCAGTATAATATTTAATATTATTGTATTTCTTAGTTTATTCCTTTTAAAATAATTAATAATAATATCAGTACAACGTCACGTCACGACGACGTTATTGTTATACATACTTAAATTGGCTAATAATAATCACAATAAATTAATATAGTCGTCAAACGACTGAAGTACCCACCTAACCGTCATAACCTGCAGTCACCTGCCCTTCCCTATAAACGTACGGGCGATAAAATTTTCCGGACCTTGGCCCGCCGGAATCAAAATGTTTACCGGTTTTCGTAAATATTGCAGTGTGTTGTCGAACCAAAGTGCGTTTGCCGAAACATACATAAGTACCTTCCTATAAACTCATCACGGACAAATTAATTATTAATCCGGTAACTATAAACATCGCGTACAAAACATACCCGATACGTCATAATATGTCCGTTATTTTTATTGCTATCGCATTATATCGTCTCGATTATGAAGTCAACAAAATATTCGGCAAAATACGTTGAATCTAATTAATAGATATTTACTATTGTTTATTCCTATGTACCTAAAGTTTACTGGCCAGTCGTCGCGTCGTCGTGGTTGTCAATTTATTTGACTCAATATCCTCGTGCGCGGTCTTCTGTATAAGGCTGAGTCCGTCTCATATCGTGGGTTCGATTGGTGTTATCGAGTTGACGAAAAACGACCAATAACGCCTATTACCTATACCTATACATAGTATAGGCTAGTTGATGAGAGTTCGATCCGTATCGCTAGACTAAAATCCATTTGAGATTTTTCCCGTACTGTACTCAATATAACGCGTAGTGCCCATACCACGTCCTTTATATTCGCATAAACGACTAAGAAATCCTCGCGCTATTCACATTTCTGAACGAAAGACTTTTCCATGTTTCGTTCGTCCAATGCAATAATGTAGGTACATCCTTAATTTTGTCTACAACTGCGAAAATATATTATCAATTCTCTATGAACAATATAAACAAAATAGACTAATGATAACAGACAAACATTTTTCTACGTGAAGCTGGTACTACACGGTTAATACAATTTGATAAAACGTACATAAGTCGAAAATTCCTCTTATATATATATATATATATAAAAGTGCTGTAGGTTTTTTAAGCAGTTTTGTACAAAACACATTGTACACCGGACTTGATATTGAATAAGAAGTTTGTTGTTAATTGTATGTATAATAAATAAAAAGATAACATCGTATCAATAAATAAGAACTATGTCAGTATAAAGATTATACTGAATATACCAAATATATATATATATATAAATATATGTATAAATACCTAATATGTTTAGTCGGGTTTTAAGATACATATATAGGTATATAAAATGTATAATACAAAAAAAGCAATTGAACTTCACAAGTGTCTATCTCAAACAATGACTTTTAATCTGAAATGTTTACTTAACAAAAACAAATACCTACTTTGTGGGCGATGCCTATACTCGTAGTATGTAATGTATAAAAACAAATCGCAATCTTTAATTATTATAGACTACATTCGAGCAATAAAATGATGACCTGCAATTAAAAGGACGCGTCGCACGCCGTGATACAACTCAGAATCTAAAAATCGAATATTATTTATTTATAGCAATAGTTAAATCCATTAAAGTGTACCTAAACCGTTTAAATTGTAAAATAATATTGGAAGGGTAACGAAAACGTGTACAAATTATGCGCATACTTAATATTTTTAATTCCTATGACCATAATATATTATGTTATATTTTTTAAAGTAGAGGTACTCCGTCACCTCGCGTCCCACCCACAATTCAAGCATTTATATATATATAAATACCGTATGTAAACAGTGTGTCTACAGATAATTGTAATTGGAAACTATTGGAATTTGTTTTCTGTCAGCAACTTTCCTATAATATAAATCTTAATACAATTAAAAGCCGACTAAAGAGTTTTAGGTGGAACATTTTGTCTATTTAATGCATAATGGTCATTTTTAGATTTGCCATGAAGTTTGCTTAACCCGTCATTAGTATCGGTGTTAACGCTTCGCTAACATTAAACTCATATTAGGAACTACTTGGTCAAATAAAAATATATTGTTTTGAAACTTCGTGTACCTTTTATTGACATAATATTAAGGCCGCCTTCCAAAATTCAATAAATGTTCAATAAAATGATTCCAAAACTCAACAGTTGATAATATTTTAAGGTTGGATCTTATTCCGAAACTCGAAGTCGAAAAACGAAGTCAATGAAATTTCCGTCGGATCCAACAATAAATTTTATCGGTTATTCTGACGGATACGTTTTATGCGCATGTAAGCAGTGGCGACGAATTCGGGATAAAGGTACAGGGTACATAAGAATTTTAATACGAATAAAAAAAAAATTATAATAATAAATAAACGTTAGATGACCATGTCCAAAATATTTTTATTTTAAGCGTCGTTTTGCAAGCGGTTGATCAACATTATTTTTTATATTAATGTTTTCATTTAGATGAATATTTAAAAGTGATAAGCCAGTTAGCCTCTGATCAAAATTTGTTTTAATTTTCGTCCGAGTATTTTTATACTACTTCGGCACCACTGCGTGTAAGGTACCTAATAAGTAACCTAACCTATCACATTTAATAACAAAGGAATAATGTTGCAATCAAACTATCATGTTCCATTATTAACGCAATCTTGATATTTTAAGTATGTAACAACTTTGAAAGCACGGTTATACTAAAATAACAACAAAAACAAATTGTAAACATTTATTTGCGGGTATTATGAGCAGTCAAATTCCCCCATTACCGAATATCGATTAGGTTAGTATACCCCTCGCACGGTACTAACCTAATCTAACCATGTCATAATTATTGTTTTCATTTAAATTTTTTTTTTCGACAAAATAAACAAAAATGATCATTATGAAACTATTAATTTAGATAAAATATTTTTGATAATCGATAATATAGAAAATTTTTTACTGTACCTACCTGAATTGTATAAACTAGTTCGTCATGTGGTGTGTATGTACCTACTATGTATGATGTAAAGACCAAAACTACATCTACTTGTCCAAAATGTCATTCCGCCAAAAAAACTCGGAAAATTTAAATGATCAATTATAATTTTAGATTCTGAGTGGAACGAAGAAGTTTATAGTTTTACAAAGACGTTCATTTTTTTTTTTTATCTATGGACAACTTTCCTACCAAAAATCTTGCTCCGATTTTTAAGTGTAGCACCTTTTCTGAAAAGAAATCGAACTGAAGAGGTACTTTAAAAAATTCAGTTATTTATTTTCCCAAGAGTTTTTCCTAATAAATTGTACAAAACGGAGGAAACTGGAAAATGTACGAAATGTAGATATTAGTTAAAAAATATTACAGCCCTTTTTATTCCTGTCAACAACATTTCTACAAGCAATTTTGCTCCGATTTATAATGATAGCACTTTTTCTAAAAATAAATTTGACGGGGAAGTACTTTAAAGAAGTCATTTTTTTTATTTTCTCACTAGTTTTCCCAATAAATGGAAATAAATGGGAAAATACATGGGAAAACCGAGAAAACGGCAGGAAATAGGTAAATGCAATATTAAACAAATATTATTAAAGAAAATATATAATGCCTATGTAATTATTTTACCATGATATGGCACATTCTATATTGTTGACAAAGCAACTACACTATCAACTAAACTCCGTTCAATCATTTTTTCGTTAGCAATGGTTTATCGTTGCTTGCCTACATTAAATTTCCCCTCTACTACCTTACCAACTTCTCACCTATAACAGTGGCTGCACCCACGTGTAAAAACTCTGCACCCTCGGTTTTTTAATTTTCTTTTTTATAATTTGTATTATTTTAACAGGTTTTTTTTTATAATATCTTTAACATCTATATCTATAAGATATATTTCTTTTTATTAAATAATATTAAAATTGTTTGTTTTGAAAATTTTAACGACAATCATTATTGATAATCAAATTTTTGTAGAATATAATACTACTAGATAAAAAAAATTATTTTTTGTTTCATTACCTATTCTAAGTTCATTAAATAATTCTCAGAAACAAAAAAACGACTATGTTACCATACACGATACCAATCGTGTTACATACCTATAGGTTATAAATATTAGGAAACCGGAAAAGAAAAAACTTTCACGCAATTATGGTTTGTGATTATTTGTTGTAATTCAATTAAAAATACAGAAAACGTAACTACTTATAAAATATTTGTAAGTAACTTTTTTTTGCTACGCTGTTTTTAGTGTATAAACTGTTATTGACATTTGTTTACGGTCATCGATTGTCGCGATCAACAGTTGTTTTTTTCGCCGAGTATACCGGACCCAAAAACTCTGTGAAAAATCTGAATACTACGCGGAATTGAATTCGCCATTGTGTTTACTTATTCGAAATATTTAGATCGACTTGCATACCGTTATAGTGTATTGCGTAGGTATAGATATCATAATTATCAACGGTCGAAATTAAAAAAGAAAAAGAAAATACAATGTCTAAATTCGGAAAGATAATTCAAGACGACGCGCCGAAGATATTTAGAATCAATTTTCCGATTTCCTATTGCATCACTGTAGGTACCTATACCTATAATAGGTCAACCATTTGACAATGGACAATGGACAGAACCAAAACAATAACAAATTGGAGGTATTTATATTAAAAAAAAACCGATTGTCCCCTTAAAAACATTTCTCATTTCAAATTCATCAGTATAAATATATAAGACTATTGATTTCGAAATCTGCGATCGCTTTATATTAGTAGGTTTTATAATATTAAATAATACATATATATTATACATTATATTTTATACAGTCTTCCGAATTTCACGTTAAAATCCAATTTTCCGTGAAATACTAATTTTTTTTCAAAAAAAACCATTCGTATAAAAACTTTTTAGGATTTTTTAATTCTGAATAGTTACATTGTCCTTATTTTTGTTACCCTTATTTTTTGGATTAAAACAATTACCAATTTTTGATTTTCAAATAGCAACTTACACAAAAAATAAATCTAGAAGGGTATTGAGTGATTTTTTTTTTTGAGAGCTCCTCTTCCCCAAAAACCCCCTATTTCCGCATATATCAAATAGCTTAAGGCCTTATTAAATCTAAATCCGGCCGCGTTTAACAATAATAATATAAAGTATAAGTTAATACAGTTCAAACTTATTTAACCAAAAAGTCTCAAGAAAATTAAAAAATGACCTTTTAAAAAACCTCCCCATGCAGATTTCCTTTCAGAAAATATGCTACACGTAGAAATCCGAGCAAGTCTTCTGGTAGAAAAGTTGCGCACAGAAAAAAAAAACAAAATAAAATAAACATCTTTGTAAAACCGTAAGCTTCTTCGCTCCACTCAGAATTTAAAATCCATAGATAGACAGAGTATTAGTTAAGGTACAAGTTTGGTATTGAAAATTTTGATTTCCGTCAACTCATTGACGAGATATTCGACTTTAAAATTTAGATAAGCGGAGAGTAGTGGCCCATCATTTGTGTGGCAGCACAGCGCGCTCCTTCGATACTACCCCTACCTAAGTTTTAAAGTTGAATATCTCGTCAGCTGGTTGGCGGAAATCAAAAATGTCAATACCGAAGTTTATTCAAACTAGTTCTCCGTCTATTTATGGAGTTTTAATAAAGGTTGCTGTTTAAAAATCAAAAGTAGTTGGCCGATACTCCTCTAAAAATAAGGTGTCAAAAATAAGGACAATGTAACATTTTAGAATGCATTATGATTACAACAAATGTTAAAATAAGTAATTAATCGAAAATTTGACTGTTACATGAAATTTGAAAAACCCTGTATACAACTAGGTAGGTAGATACATCAATCCACTGATATTATGTTTATTTTAGATAATAATTCGGTGCCCACACTAAAAAAAAAAAAAAAAAAATCGTATTAGCTAATCTGTATTCATTAATTAAAATAATGTAATACTTAATCTTAACCGAATTTAAATATATATATGTATCTTAAATTTCAATAAATATTAATTACACTCGTGAATAAACATACGGGTTAGTATTAAATATTCAAGTACTTATATGCAATACAATATCTCGGTGGTTTTTAGGATTTATACTTTTTTGTCGTTTTATTATATTTATATTGGCATATGTTACGCTAACCGAATAGTATATAACTAATGAAAAAATTATGATTTTACTATCGGTTTATTATGATTTTTTTTTTTTTTTTTTTGAAAATTTTCGTCAACAAATTTCCTATACCGGGTTAATAGATTATTCCCTCGTTATTCCGCCGCGTCTCGTACGAAAACGCGCGAACCGGACGTAAATGTAAGTGCATGGATAGTAAGTGTTGGCCAACAATATAGTTTTAGTTAAGTATCGATATCGTTTGTTTACTCGCGATATCCAAACTCGGTAAGCATCGATATCGATGTGTGTGTTCTGCCTATCGCGTTAACGCTCAGTAATAAGCTATAACACAAAAACAATTTTGTTTCTTCACCGGAAACCGTGTATTTGTATAATATTACGATATTTTTCTTCTCTTTTATACCAGTAATTTTACTCGGACTTTTAATGATGGCAATTTTTCTAAAAGAAAATTTCACTGGGGAGATACTTTAAAGAGGTCATTTATTGATTTTCACCAGAGTTTTTTCAGCAAATGTGAAAAACGTAAGAAAACCGAAGAAATTGGTACAACATTAAACAATTATTATTAAAGAAAATATATAGAGGCTATTTGATTATTTTACTATAATATAGCATATGTATTGTTGACAAAGCATCACCATCAACTGAACTTTGCTCAGGATCGGTTTTTCGTAAGCAATGGTTTACCGTTGCTTACAGGTATACATTAAATTACCTATAAAAGTGGTTGCACCCGTATCCATTATTCTAGGATTTTTTTATTTTAACACTCTTCTGGCCATGCTCTATGTCAACGCTTGTCGTTTTCGCAACAAAATAGTCACATTCATAGATATCAAAATTTTTATATTATCTATGGTCGAACCACGTGAAAGTTTCTGGTGTTATCATTTTGTTTTGGTGGTTCAACCCATAGACCATACTAGAGAGCCTAGATAATTATTATCTAGATTCTCTAGACCATTCTATATAAGGTCTATGGTTCAACTTAACTCAACCTTACCTAACCTAACCTTGGCTGAACGATTTGGTTGATACCAGGTTCTACCTGGTTCAGCCAATCAGAATACTATGTAGATTTATGAACGCGACACATTGCTGTTGTTGCACGGTGTATTGAAATATTCTACAATTCATCATTAATTCCCTAGTTGCAAAATAAACATGCCAGGATCGCTTATGTGGGTTTCCATCTAACCTTTCACTGTTGCCTATTTACCAGAAAATAAGTATACCGATGGTTATCATTGAAAAATTATCTTCTATGTAAAACCAAAATTTAGACTTTGTATTATCATTCATTGTAATATTATACTTTAAAAGTATAGAAGAACGCAATTACCATATTTAATAATAAAACTGTTGTAGCTGTGACGTTACTTTTTTAAAAGATTTTCTGTTTTAAGAGTGGGTAAACATATATTTCGCTCCCTCACCCTGTAAGAAAGGCCTATTTACGTTACTGTAGATAACTGTATATATCCTACCTTTTCAAATAACACAACCGTCAGCAGTATATGCCTATGAGATAGTTTTAAAATTGTAATTATTCTAGTTAAATTATTATAGAAAAATTACAATTCCAACATATTTCTGTGACTATACAGCCACCTTGGCTCTTATGTCTCCAGCTTATAAACATTATCAGTAGTGGGAAACTATTGTGAAAACAGATACCTCACTGCTATCGGTTATAACTTGAAAAAACAATGGTTTAGTCTCTAGTTGAGTGAAATAATTTTTTAAAAAGTACCAAAACAAATTGTTGATATATTCTCCGTCAAAGACAGAGACGACAAATACCGGTGTCATGTCCTCTCAATGGTTTGTTAGTTTAAACTACCTATTTTTTTGATAGTATGTACATTGTACGGAAAAAGGAAAGACTTACATTTTGCGGGCTTCTTTCAATAATTACAGTATCGATACTTGACGCGCTCTCTGTTATCGATGGCCGTCGTCTAATTTCTACGTAGCGTTTTATCGCAACAAAAAATTAGGTTTTGTAACTGCAATATTATTGTTTTGTTTTTATTTCTCAATAAACCACTGGAAATGTTTAGCTGTAGAAACGGTTAACGGTGAGTCTTTGGTTAGTATACAGTATACATCTACCGTTTTACTAACTGACAACCATCAATATTGTAAATTAGGTATTTTTTTTGTCAATCTGAACCAAAAGCAGTGTAGGATCCGTTTTCACAATACTTCCCACCCACCGCTGTCAACAAATTTAAATTCATAAATCAGATGTGGGTACCTATTACAGTACTACTTACACAATTTCGTCAATGAAAACCACAATCTTTAATCATATAGACGAACAGACGACCCTATTCATTTATTTACGGTGAATTGCCAATAGAAATAAAGACGGGACACACTTGAACTTCACACGATGGGTGGGCCACTGCAGTTGTAGGTGTGAAATTGGGAAGGTAAAAATTAAATTCCGAATTTAATGTATATCTGTACGCACTGATTAATCATTGCTATAAACGATTCTGAGCGGAGTTCAGTTATAACACGTTCACGTTTTGAAAGGCCGTTATGGTTACTATTTTCTCTAGAAAAGGCAAATATAAGTTTTCTGTTCAAATTAAAAGTCTCTCCGAATATTTTTAACTGGATGACAACAACAAAACAACAAAATTTAAATATAAACTATTATGTTCGTACATTTTTCCCGTTTGAACGTTAAACGTTTTTTTTTTCGGTTTTGATCAATTATTATTACCAAAACTACATAGAAAATCAAAAAACGACTCTCATATTCACCAAGTAAGATTACAAATGCAACAACAATGTATTGTCGTTTTTTTTTTTATTTGAGCAATATTTCTGGTAGAAAATATAAAGCGCATAAATTTAAAATATTGAAATTGTAATGGCCGTAAACTTGTCACTTTTCATTTTCTGTTTTTTCCGGGCTTTTCTTAATTTAGGTATTATTTATGTGGTTTACATAAACCCTTCTTAACCGTATTATATTAAATGTAATATAAAAATATATATTATTATATGCCGGTTCAAATGCGTTAAAGTTGGAAATCAACTCAACATTAACCTGAAATTCTATACTAAACACGTGAAGAAAATAATAACATTTTTAATTGTATTTACCTACACACTTGACCATAATACAACGAGTATAACAGTTGTAACCTTGCGAAGATGATCATTACTCCAGAGAATATCTACCAACAATTAAGTCGATCGTAATTATTTATATATCACATTGAACAGTTGCATCAGGCTATCAGCATTACTTTTGATAAAAACCATTTGCCTTTAACATATACTATAACAATATATTAAATACGATGATAGTAAATATTACAGAGAAAAACATGTAAATAGTAAAATCTTACAAATTCAATTTTGTTTGAATTTTATTGACATACCAATTAATAAATTGTATTATCTCACCTATAAATTATATAACAACGATTAAATACAGTTATATAATGTGCAGTTTATAAATACTTAAATAATTTTTAAGTTCAAGTATAATGCAAATATTTCTAATCAAACAAATTGTTTAATATTTTTCATATTATAGATTATTACAGATTTAATAGCTCACAGTCATACCTTATCGCATACTCTTGTAGATGCTTATAAATAGATATTATGCAATGTCAATAATATTTTGTTGAGCCTATTAAAGTAAACTGACTAAAAGGTACAATATTTTATGAGGTTTTTAAGTACATTCTTATAAAAAAAAAAAAAAAAAGTATAACATATAATATATTTGATAAGATATTTTGTAAAATAAACTAACTATAAAAAGTAGTTAAAATAATATTTATTTTTAAAACACAAAGACAATTAAAAATATATTAAGTTGTTGAAATGCAAAAAATATGACTGATAAATATGTCAAGTTAATGTGAACAATCCGTATAAAAATATATCATGTTATATAAGAGTAAAAATTATATATTTTTTTTTTTCAAATTTTATAATAATCATTGTAAATAATTTTGTATTTCGTTAATCTGTTCGTCGACTCTATTTGATACACCTTTGAAAGCAGATGGCGGAGGCCCAATCATTTGTATCAGCTGTGGGACGTCTTGTCTAGATATTTGACAAAATCTAGCCAACGATTTCATACATCTAAAACTATGCTCTTCGTTAGGCTTGCTGTTGAAATACTGTAGAACGGCCATGGCGAGTTCCACGACTACATCGTCAAATACCTATAAAAAAATATTAAACCATAATAAAATTTGAACGTAATAGTTAAAAAAAAAAAAAAGCAAGTTTAATAACTATTTAATTTTTTCTTTCACGAAATGTAAAAAGAAATACAAACATTTTCGGGGGAGTTAGTGCAACAACGGTCTATAGTTTTTTGTTATAATAAGATCATCTGTTGACAGTTTTCCTTTTTCTGTAAGTTGCCGTAGCCATTTGTTGCACTAATTTACAGGACTTAAAAATAATAATGTAATAACTAAAAGTAGCAAAGATTGAATAAGACACGACTGTATAGGTAGTTTACATCCAAAAGGTGTAGGTACCACAAATGACACTTAAGAACAATAATATTCTAATATTTTACAATTACTTTTTAATAACAACAAATGTATTAGGTAGGCACCCAATTATAGCAAACAAATTGTATTTAATTGTGCAATAATTTATTAAATATATTAAGTATAGTGAAAATTAAAAATTATTAATTATCTAATTGAAATAAATAAAATCTAACATGTGTGTGTTAATAACTCTTATGAAACAAACAAATGAAAAAAAATTAATTATGTTAATCAACTACGACTATCCATACACATCAAAAATGTTGGTAATATTTCACTGTATGTCCAACAGACTACAAAGTATGTTAATATGAAATATTAAAACCGGTTAGTTCAAAAACATGTAAAAATCTGCGTGTATTATGTTAACCAATACTTTTACAAACAATAACCATGAAATTGATAAAATATTCTGCTATTGAACGCACTAGAGTTACGTGCACCATTTGTTTTACATCCCGTCGATACATGTTTACCGTAATTATTCATACGTCACTACGCTAGTAAGCATAGGCAAAAATGGCGAGTAGATACAAAATAAGAAAACAAAAATAATAGTAGAGAACTTTTAGCACATTTACACAATACCACGTACACGTTATATTGGAATATATTATTATATTAATTCTACCTTGGAAAACGATCCCGCGGGTAACAGTCGCCGAATGTTTTGGTTTTTTAACATTTTCTGAAAACAGTTAAACGACACAGGGAAGAACGTGCACACGTCATTCCACAGAATCGACCGGGTGCACGCCAGCGCTAAACACCGCTAAAACGTACGACCGCGAAAAAAAAAAAAAAAAAAGGGGGCGCCTAATAATGATACGTGGTCCCGCGTGTGTGTACAATTATTATTTATTTTTTTTTCCATTTGTGTATGGCGTATTTCATATAATATGCAATGCAATGTCTATGTATATATTATATAGTGCTACTGTACAGTGGTGTAGTCGAGGGTATACACCCGGTATAACCGCTGCTCGACGTTTTGGTTTTTGTGTGCATACGTTTTGTACAATGCGCGATACACGGATAGACGCATGCGCAGTGGGCGTAAATCAATTACCCGTCAACTGTTGTTCTTTTTTCGTCTTTTTTTTTTTTTTTGCGCACCGTAAAGCGCTTGGATATCATTTGGGCATCAAAATTGTGAAATGTGATGAACGCCCAGTTCATAATTTTGCACCACCGGAAAATCACGAAAATGTCCCGCCGGAGAACGATGCAGTTCCTGCCTTCGTCGACTCTGTAAAGGTCCCAAATCCGAAACGCGAATTCGACTTGAAAGTTTTGATGCAAGCGATAGGTATTTCATTGCCCGCTGTTACCTGCCTGCCCAATATTATGTGGGTAGGTAAGCGCTCAATTATATTACGCGTAATATATCTGATATTTAACGATCTATCTACGATTGAGAATACTTGTAAGGCTGTGGCAACTAACATAAATTTATATCCGTGAATCTAAAAATGTTTTTTTTTTGGGGGGGGGGCAGGGGTAGAAAATTTACCCCGATCACATTTTTTTACTTATAAATAGCGTGTACCCAAGGCTTTTTTTAGGACTACACCACTGGATAATAGGTATACTTATGTTATGAAAATACTAAAGCAATACAGACCACAGTTTTTACCTCCTTGCAGGCCAAGTTATGTACCAGAGCTGTGCCCCGATCTTGCAGCACCTTGTCTTCGGACAGCAATGAATTCACGGCCACTTTGGTCGTCACCCGGATGTTGCTCACTAAACTGGATCCTAGCTGCCATTCGGATATGTACAAAAGCCATTCGGAAGTGCTATTATTCTCGAACAAATTACACATCTGAAACACGGTTAAAGACATTTTACACGATATAATACTTCACGGTTTAATAAACAACAATGATTGATACATACAAACAACGTAAGAGCCAGTTGCTCAAGTAGCGGAAGTTTGTCAAACCCATTGGCGTAATTCATAAGTATGTGCTCCCGTCTGTCCTGGTGCAATACCAAAATAATGTCATCTTTAAGTGCGGCCGCGGCTAAAATGTTTAAAATCGTCTCGCGCACTTCCGAAACCAATTGACCGTCATTCAATAATCTGCCTGCAAGTGATACGAAGGAATAAAAAAAAAAAAAAGGCTATAACAAGTGATCACACTTTCATTAACACTGACCGACAAACGATAGAAAACCTTCGCCCAGAGCCCAAGAACCCTCGTTCTCCAACATATATTGATCGAGTTCGGCAACATATTGCATATCGTCCGGATTTATGCGGCCGTCAATTAGACCGACCAATCGTTCCAATTCGTTTTGTATCTATAGGTACAAACAGCATACTAAAATACACCATGATTATACACACATACACACACCTCTAATGTAAATAAATGTACAACACTGCGTAACAGAATAATTAAAAATCGCGTTTGAGAACAGGGAAATTGTTCAACCTTAAATTTTGTATTTTATTCTGGTTTTATCGAAATAAATATTTCAAAAAGGGAGACAGGTCCAATGTGTACCTACAATGAAATTTTGTTTGGTGCCTAGCTGTAATATGCGACGGCTTGAAATTAAATTCACTATTATACAGTCACAGGTGCCGTTTGAAGTAAAATCACGGGGTAACGAGAATCTTGAATAATAGTTTTAATTCAGTTGTGGTTTAATGAAATGGGGTATTGATAAGTCAATGTCTCATCAGAATCATGCAGAAACATATCAAGTTAATATAGAAATCAATTGAATGATCTTATATACGTTCAAATTCAATATAGCCGATACTATAAATGTGTTCATATTATGAAAAAATTAAACATTTATTACAAATTACCCATAGGGTAGCGTATAGCGTATTGGTTTGCCACCCCGATTAAAACGGCGGCCTATGAATATAGTCTTCCTCGGTAGAATACATAGCTACACGAATATATGTTAGTGTTTATGTTAGGCACTGAACCCTATACAGAGTGATAGTAGGTACCTATCTGTACTTATTTATAAAATACAGACAATAAAAGAGTTGATACTGGTAATGGGTGTGCGGCGTACCGCAGTTGTAGATTAAAACGTTGGGAAGATAAGATACATAGAAATATTTAATACACATCTGTACACAAGGATGAATCATAAGCTATCGCTAACGAAATACAATTCAGAACAAAGTTCGATATTTTGAAATGATGTAATTTTTAAGATTTTCGTCATAATTTGATCTTAAGCGCTTATGAAAAAAATACTAATGCATTTACTCAAATTTGTTTATTTTTTTACCGCTAAATACAACTTATAATAAATCTCTTATTAAATTTGCAAAAATTTCTTTTCGGCCAAACAATTTATTAATCCGTATAAAACCGAATATAAATTTAAATAACTCGTAAATATCAAATACCTGTAAATAGCTCAAAATTGTACAGAATGTTTTAAAAATTGGTCAATGAGTAAAATGTGTTATGACAATATGTCATTTGTTCGATAGTCAAGTGTCATAAATTTAAGTTGCACAAAAGTCACGTGTTTGATTATTACGCTTTAGTAAGACAAACGATTTTTTTTTTAATACCTACCAAAATAAATAATTTATTATTATTCTTGTCCATTAATTGTTTAAATATTATTTGTCAGCGTATCGGTGTATATACCTATAGTTATACGAGACTAACTAAATATTTATCTATGCTATTATTTTTAGTTATACCAGTAAGGAAAGTAATTAAAAATTATACTGTATAACAAGGTCTTTACCAAAATATCTGTGGAATTCAAAAATAGTAGTGTTCAGAAGTTAACACATAATGCCTAATAATAAACATTAACAAAGTTCTTTTCGAAAAAAAATGAACAGCCATAATAATACATAGCAGACTATAAAATATATGTAACAGATTAAAACAGAACCACCTTAGGTATGAAATCGAAAAATTGCATAAAGCTCTCGCTTTAAATTTACAATTTTAAACATTTTTACAATAATTACATTTTCATTATATTTTAATTCAGGATTCATAAATTATAGTTAACTAAATTTTGTATCTAGATACATACATGTCATAGGCCATATGAAAAATTAGTCTTTTTGCAAAAAGACTAGGTCCTTACATGTTATAATAATTCTATTGATCTTTTTTTTTTTGTAAAAGTAATAAATTACCCTTAAATAAAATAAGTAAAATAGTTATTACTGTATTAAAATTAATGTAGTTCTTAAAAGGCCTAACTGCTATTAGTCTATATGCAATAAGCCTAGACTTTTCGCTGACTAATTTTCCATATGGCCTACAATATACATATGTATTATATAATTTATAATAAGATTTGTATTTAGTATAAGAAATAATTTGTACAACATTATTTTTATGAGAAATAACATTTATAATGTATGATTTTATATAACACTTAATTTATGATATCCAATGACTTTTTCACACTCAATATAGAATCCTAAAAAAGGCCAATATGATTATTCCGTATAAATTTCAAGTCTCCAAATTTATTTTCAATTAATTTCAAACATTTGTCTAAAGAAACGATTATAATATAACTGTTATTTCCATAACCTTCCCCAATTATTTTGAAAACTACAAGGAAAAGCAAAAAGTGCCCTCCCCAATGCACCAACTAAATCCAACATTCAATAAAAAAGGTTTCTGTAAATGTTCGATTAAACCAAAATTTTTGGTAGAAAAGTTGTTTACATAATTATACAAAAATCAACAATTTAAAAAAAGAATGCACACAGAAAAATCAATGCTCCAAAACAATTTGTTATCTTGATTTCAATGAATTACTATAACTTTGTTACTAGGTACCTCTCTAAAAATAAAGTCCACCATTTTGAAACTAATTTAATTTTTGTGACGACTCAATAGTATATTTTTGACTTACATTGATAGTGTCTGAAAAAACTATAGGTGGGTCGCGTGCTTTACGTTTTAACTCGAGTTCCTTCTTTTCCAAATCTTCAATATCGTTGTCATCAATGACTGCGGGATTAACTCCATTCGCAACGTTTGTGCCGTTTTCAGACATTTTTCTTCGATTATTGCTATGTCTTCAAATTAAAAATTAGGTTCTTAAGTAAAAAAATACCTAATTATTTCTCTTTTAGGTACACATAATTACATATATAAATTATATTTATTTTTAAATTTTTCACAAAAGGTGTATACCTGGTAGAACTGGGGCCAGATTCTGCACAAAAATGGTCGCCTAAATGTTTGTTCTTGTCCTTCTTTTTTTTCTTTCTTTTATCTCGTTTTTCTAACTTTTCGTTTAGTTTATTACGTTTTTCTTCTAACAATGCAGATTGTTTTCTACCAATTGATAAACAGAATGTCATTAAAACAAATCAGGTACCTATCCATGATGAACTTCAGGTTATTTTCCACGCAGCTTAATATTGTTAGGTACAAAAAATAGATATTAGATAATCAAAATACACACAAAAACAAAACTACAATGATTAATTAAATTTTTAGTTTTATTTATTATTTTTTTTTACAGGTTTCACTGATTACAAAAGTTGAAAAATAACTAGTTAGCTAATGTATATTTGCGGTATGTAGAATACAATTTTAAATATTAATGTTTAAAAACCATGTTGAATTCTTGAGAACCAACTAAAATTTTGTCAAAGAATCAAATTTTCCTAATAGAATTTAAAACTCTTTAAAATTGAAAAAATTAACTAATTGTATTTATATTTGTTCTTTGTAAAATATATCCTGTATGAGACTTTAACTGTAAAAAATGTTTTGTTTGTTTTAAATAATCAACTTTTGTTTATATTTTAAAAAATCAAACTTTTTTAAATTAGATATATAAGACTGTTGACAATGCATCAAAAAATCTTTTTGAAAAATATATAAAGTTTAAAAAAAAAAATCATCAATTTATCGATAAAGAAATTATATTCAAATGTTGAGTTTAAAATATATAACAACACAATTCGTATTTATTTGTCTTAAAACTAAATAAAAATTAGAGCAATATATTTTAACAGTTGAAGAGAACCGCTTGAATTGATATTATGATCATGATCTGTTTATTATTATGATAATATTATATTAAAATTTTGAATTTATTATACAATGACACAATCTGTATTAATTTGTCTTAAAACTAAATAAAAATTTGAGAGCAACATTTAATATTTGAAGAGAGCAGCTTGAATTAATATTATGACCATGATTCGTGAATGGAAGTTTTAGGAAGTGATCATTGATAATCGTCTAAAATGGTGGATGATATCATTAATTTCTGAAACAACACAAATCACACAAAACACTATTTTGTTAATTGCTAAATAACAAATTTAAAATACAGTAAAACTCGCTTAAGATAATAATCAATTTAAAAACCACCAAATAAATATAAATGCTCGGTTTTTCTATATATAATCGGATAAGATGCTTCGATGTTCAACAGTTGACGGAAATATAAATAATAATTGGACAATGTATAACTCATTTAAGTGTAGTGTACTTATCATATTTATCGTATTATGATATAATAAGTGTTTGTGGTTTAGTTTAGTGCAATTCGTTAGTAAATGTATATCTATAAATTTTTTATGGCTGGTTTTAGTAAAATAAAACGTCAAGCGCTATCAATTTCGGACAAACTAGACATTTAGAATAAGTATGTACAATATGTAAATAATAATAATTTAAAACTTCCTCGCTACAATACACTCAGAATCCGAAGCAAACAAAAATAAACTCTTTCCAAGGGAAGGTAATTAATCTGTTTAACACCTATTAATGAATAAATAATAATAAATGTGTTTATGTAGAAGTTTATTACTGTTTAATACTAAAAATAAATAAATAACTTGATATTTTAATGATTTGTTACCGCATAAAACACTCTTTTGAGCGGGTCCATTGAAGAGTGCCTTAAGCGAGTTTTACAGTAGTTAATTAAATAACAATCAATATTGATGTTAAACTAAAAAACTAAAAGTACTAAGTAAATTATTTTTAAGGTTATAATAAACTTTACACATTATATATACCTGGCAGAATCAATATCGTTGTTAAGAGATTCAAAATCGGAAGTTGATCTTCTTACACCTGGATGTACACCGATACTGTTAGAGAAGGATTCTAAAATTGGTGCTAATTGTTGACCAAAAGGACTAAAAAAAAAAAAATAGTTTTATGAACTCAGAAGATATTGAAAAGTGAAGAAATAGTTAAAGCATAAAAATACACACGTGTTAAGTATCTCGTTCGGCAAGTCTAAAATATAACTTGGTATAGCGTTTCCACACAAAAATTGACTAATTTCATTAGAGAAATTATTGCAATTATGATGTAAAAGATTATATGTACCTAGGCTAAAAGCACAAAAATTGCATAAGATGAAATAATGGTACTACACATACTGCTATTGCATTTTATTGAAAACACATAGCTATGTAATAACAAATAGTGTACTTACGCAAATGAATCTTGCTCTAATCCTTGTAAATATTCTTGAAATACATCCTCTGGCAAACAAGTCCTGCCCAAACTATGGGTACGCAATGGTGGCCCCAAGGCTGTTGTACCCTAGAAAATGAACGTGAGAATCAGCAGTTAGTACTGTAACAGTAGAACTATTTTTTTTTTATTCCTGCTGAAAGTATGCAACGATTGGCTATGCTTGATGTATTCTAAATAACTGTGTATTTTTAGACAGGGCAGAGTGGGATTAAGTCAAATTGGAATGGTGTCAAATTCGAGATATGCAGTAAAGTCTTTTACAGACAAAGCGTTTAGAAGGTATCACACACAAATTATATATACATACTCATATTACATAACGTACAATTGTGGTTTATTGTTTGTTAATAAAGTTAGTATTAAGTATTATAATCGATTAAAACATTTTTCAAATTAAATGTCACATTTGAGTGGTAGTATTATTTTATTTTATCTCTGTTTATTTTAATTAGTTTGTTTATTATTTTAACTCTGTATAACTATATACAGAGTGAACAAAAGTCGTAGGAAATTTATATTACTCAGAATATTTCAAAACATCATCTTCCCACAATATCAAATCACAATTTACTATATAAATTTAAAGTATTAAATTATTTACAGTGTGAATTAAAAATGTTCCAATATAATCTCCAATACAAAAATAAACTATTTTATTAGTTTTGAATAATAAATTCAATAAATATGTGAGATAATAAAATTTTATAAGTAACTTTAATCCATTATTATTATACATTTTAATAAAATGTTTCATTTATTTATATATATATATTATTTTTTGAACTATTGTTATTCCCATAAAAAATACACTATTGTAAATTTTTTTAAAACACCTATACCAAGCATTCAATTTTCATATTATATGCGGAATAAAATAAAACGTATTAATTTGATATTAATAGTTGCTACAAAATGATCACTACAAATTTATAACAATTTGACAAAACTCCAACAAGCATAATTATTATGCTTAGGTTTGATATACAGCAATCTCATTTTTAATATTTAATTCAAAATTTTTTGATTTTAACTGTACACTAAATTTGTAAATAAATAATACTGATATTCGGGACAAATTCAGAAAAGATAAGGGGGGAGGGGATTTCTGAAAATTCATATAATATACACGTTAATTTATAACTCGATAATGAATCGAGCTAAAAGCAGATATGTAGCCAAAGGGATTCATAGAATCTGAAGCCCCTCCCATGAAATTTAAACTTCTCAACAAAAAATCAGATTATTAGTAGTTAATAATACACTTTATGTTTGGCCCCCCCCCCAAATAAAAAAATTACTTGTTATATGCTTGGATAAGAATATAGGTATTGGAAAACTAACAGGAGACTATCACCCTTCTCTGGATCTACTACAGACTGATACTAATATAATAAGTAAAATAAGTTCTGAAAAAGTTATAAAATATTATCTAATGTACAACCATTAAACAATTGGTCAAATTATGCATTCTATAACTGCACTTATGAAATTGCAATATAAAAATATTTTTTATTTTTTTAAATAATTTATATAACAGAAAAAATCCTAGATATTTTAACTATTGGATTAATGCCAAAATAAAGAAATAAACTTTAGCAATATATTAAGCTGTTTAAAATGCAGTACTTATTAATGCATACATGATTAGTTTGTTGGATGACAATGATAATAAATTTGCGTTTATAATATATTTTTATTTAAAACTAACATGTTTCTATTATCCAACTTTAGGCTAGCTAACTTAACCTCACCGACTGTTTAGCATTTATTTTTAACCTTCAAATAGTTTATAAAGTAAATAATTTCTTTAGTAACAACATTTTAATATGTTCATTTCATATTCAGGAAATCAATTTATAATGTGTTCTACATATATAAAAAGACTATAGATAATATTAATTGATAAATACCATCCTTTTTTGTTTTTGTGCATTATTTGTTTTAGTCAAGTGATCAGTGTGGAGGACAATTTCACAAACTAGAACTGATTATATTTAAATAAACATAATCAAAACTTTTAACAGTTTAAAAATAATTATGTAAGTATTATAACTCATAGGTATTTATTGGGACAATTTGATAAAAATATTGAGTCACAAATTCATTTATTAATAAAGGTTTCTCTATTGTATTAGTTTGATTATTATTATGATGATGAACTAAATTTGTAGGTTACTTATTAAATAAAACAAAAAAAATAACAATAGCCAAATAAGTTTAATTAAAAGTATTTTATACTTATTTTTGATGATTACCGATTCATAAAATAAATTTATCTCTGATACTACACATACCTAATAATTTGATTTAATTTATGTAAATTTTTCAAATCAAAAAAATTCTTTGTTCTTTTAAATTAACAAGATAGTAATATAATATTCTGAAATATTATAACAATAATAAAAAAATAAATATTAATTTAAACTTTGTTGACACCAATTGATTATAATGGTGCTTTAAATGATTTAAGTTTTAAATGTAATGCCAACGAATTACTACGGATCCTAAAAAAGTTGCTGTTTGCATAAATAGATACAATGACGTATTAACATACAATAGGTAGGTACACATAAGTGTTTAAAATGAACGGTTCAATAAAATAAATACATATACGTTATGATAAACTCAATACTTGAAAAAAAAAACAAAACATTATCAACGTGTACCTACACGACAACTTATTAGTACTTACTGGTTTACACACTGAAATCCCGTTGGAGCCGTAAAAATGTTCTTTGCCGAATACCACAACTGCAGTATGCCAAATACCTTCGATGTGTTTTTCTGAAAAGAATAATGTATACATTATACTATATATATATATATGTATGATTTACCTATTGAATACTCTATAGTCGATTACTTACGCAATAACGTCTGGCCCAAGATCTGCGCCATTCCGCCGGTCAAATCGTAAATATACAGTTGAACTTCTTCGCCAGCTTCGCCCATTGCTGGTTCGTTTAAGTCACACTGAAAACGTTCAAACAAAGTGGATTATTATGACAGGGTAACAAAGAAAATTCTTGTGCAAGATATGCGTCCCGGGAGAGGCTGCTGAAGAAATCCGATCGTTAATGGCATTTGGACACTTACCGAGGAATGTCCACGTCAATCGAAATGGGTAAACGATGTATAACAACGTACAACGTAATTCGATTGGCGTTAGACGCGTACGGAAATCAGACCGTGAGAGCACGTACGTACCGAACAAACGTAAACTCCACACGATTGCGCGTTGGTGAAATTGCAGAATCAAGTGGGTAGGTACGTTGTACGTAGACAAAAAAAAAAAAAAAATGGTTATTTCTGTTGCCGCAACGAAGGCCGCGACGGTAATAAACTGATAATAATAATTCGAATGCGGCCGAACGGGCGGCCGGTGCCCAGCAGTCAAGTACGAACGCGGACCGCCGTGAAACGTCGCGGTCGCGTCGGATAGAACGCGGACGAACGAACGCGAAACGGGCACAAAGACCGTGGACGTCGGCGGTACTTCGAACGAAAAGCGAATGAAAATCTTATCAACAGGGCGCGATCACACACCTACGAATGTCCAAGGATTATGTAAAAATCACGTCGTTGTTGCGCGCCAAAATATTACGCGCGAGTCCGAACGCGGTCGCCGCGCAGTCATAAACAAACGACAACGACATTATTATCATCGCATTAGCGTTGCGATATTTTCGAATACGTGTTTTGCTGAATTCGCGCGCGCTCCGTCGCGGCGTCGCGGCCGGTACGATTTTAGAATAATAATAAAAGAAAAAAATTCGCGGCGCAATACAAAACGTCGTTCATTACAAGCGTCTACAAGGCGTCCGCGAATCCCGTCGCGCGGTCGACTGTTCGCCGTTTGCGCCCGCCGCAGTAATATTCACGTGAAATTTAACGCGGCACGACGAAATGATAACCGGTTTGAATTCATACGCGGCAACTACCAAACGGTCTTCACGAGAACCGCAGCGTTTCCCCATGCGTCGACAATTCAATTAACGATTACGGCATTCACTGTGCACCCACATACATTTACATTTGTTTAACCGGGTGTAGCTCCGAATCCGTCCGAGAAATATTGGTCACCAATACGAATGTGCGTAGCTGTACACACGCCTACGGGCACGGCGGCACACGTCTCTACATTATAACGCCACATCATTTTCGTGTCAATTGTCAACACTCCCCGCTCCCGCCCCCCCCCGTCCGCCCGGTCGGAAGCGATTCGTTTTCTCGTGCGTTTAGACGGGCGATCCGGCGTAGAATAAACGCACTTCCGGCCGTTACTTCGGTCCAATTTCTGTTTTAATAAACGATTTGACCTCGCACACTCATTGCCTACGTTTTTTTTGTCCAGACTCTGACCGTCCATCCGATCAGTCCGCGCGGGTTGACTGTGATTCGTCGTGCTTTTCTATTTGTCTATAAACGGTTCTGTTTTTTTTTTTTTTTTTTTTTTCTAAACTTTTCTACCGAAAATGTTTTATCCGCGACGTTTATACTCGGAATTCGCCGTCTCCGTCTCGGTGAATAACGCGCGACACAACAAATTTGCCCACGTCCGGCATAACCGACGGTTTTAATCGCTGTTAATTTTAATACATTAGAACGGACTGACCAATTTTGCGCAAAATTAAAGGCGTTTGTGCGTTTTTTTTTTTTTTTCCCCCGGAATTTTAATTAGTAAGCTGATCCTGAGGCGTTTTCGCAAAACGCCAAACGACGTCCCACCCTGAACTCTCGTCAACGTCCCACTTGCGTGGGCATGCGTCTCGATTAAGAACGACAAAACGACCGGCAATGTTCACAGGGCCAATTCCGATAACCCGGAGTCGGCCCAATGTTAAAAAGTAACGAACCACGCCATCTGTACGCGGTGCGTTTGTACGCCCAACGCGTCTTCGACTCAATTTGCGTGTATGTAACACGCAGGCAGAGGTGCGTCATAGGGATTTTCATGGAAATAACAGTTTCGATTAAATGATAACCGATCGATTGTAACATTTTGTTTTCGTTCGGATGTGTGTAGCGTTCCCCGCGACGGCGACGACGGCGACCTATAAACAGGTAATCACGGGTGAATTATCGAATACAAACCGTAAACATTTAGGGGTGGAAAATTTGAAAAAAAAAAAAAAATTTAAAAATTTAAAAAAAAAAAAAAAATTACCAAAAGCGTACAAGTGGGCGAATCGTTCAGGTACCGTTCGGACAACAGAAGCTGCGCCATTTTTTCGAAATGTAGCGGGTCGAACGTCGCGGCCGCGTGATGGAGCAAACAGACGACGGCGACGTAGAGGCGCGACATTCCGCGTGAAACCGAATTCGCGGGCGGCGAGTAAAAGAATTTACAAACAAATGTACGCGCCAACGTTAAAACAACGTAAAATATTAACGCCGTGTATTTACGACGGCAACGGCGGCGTGTACAATCCGTGTCGTCGTTGTCGTCGGCGGCGGCGCAAACGAAATATATTGTGCGTGTGTGTACGCCTATGCGTGTGAAATGCGAAAAAGTTCGCGTTTTCTCGCCGCGTCAACTGAACAAATACGGCGGAAATAACGAAAAATCGGGAAAAAAAAAACAGATAAAAAAAAAAAAAAAAGGTACTACCTCTTATAATAGAACGATCGCAGCTGAAAACACACAGAGAATCGCTCGTAAATCACGACGGTACACAATTGTTGTTGTATTTCGCGAGACCGCCGCGTAATTCTGTAGTTTTACATTTTGAATTGTGTCGGAATTTGTTTTTTTTTTTTTTTTTTGTAAACATGTATGTTTTCGCGTGTGTACGATTAGGAGCGAATTACCTGTACGGAGTCCGTAGAAAAATTTCGTTCTTAAAGAAATATTTAAACCGTTTAAAATGAGGATTTAATTTTGAAAAAAAAAAAAAAAAACCGTTCTATATTACGTGTATTGAAACTAGAAGTAATTTTTCCCGGGTTTTTAATAATAACAATAATAATAATAAAAACCGATAATTATTTAACGTTTTCTCCGGAGCGTTCATTCCGTCGGCAAAACCAAAACTTACCCGCCGTCTTACTTAGTAGTACGTCGACGTTTTTACGCGTATAAGCCCCGAAAACAGCAATTTTTTGGAAAACGGTTTAAAATTTACAATCTTTATTCCCCTGCTCGTTGTTTATGATCATCAACGATTGGCTCTCCTCCGGGGGATTCGTGTGCGAAACCGCCAACGGTGTCACGCGAGCAATAACGTCCGTTTTGATTTTTGCTCCTGCTCGAAAACGCAGTTAAATCCAACGGACCGGTTCTTTACCGTTCCCGTCAACGTTATCGTCCAACCGCCCGTACGCGGGCGCGTTTGCGAAAAAACCGAACTTTCCGCGGCGACTGCCGAAAACCGGAGAGGTCTGACGCGTAGGTTTTCGCGCGCGCAGACAATGTAATAACTGGGCACCGCAGAATAAGTGCGTACCCGTTGTAATCGACGGACGCGTTTCGGTTTTCCGTTGCGAATACGCGCGGTTGACAGAGAGAGAGAGAATGAGAGAGACAGAGAAAACCGTACGTATGCAATAGGTGTGCAATTACCGGGGCGAGCGGTCTCCCACGTCGGAGCGCGTACGCGACCCGTGCTACGCGCGCGCGCGACGCTCCCGTTTCCGAACGCGAACACAAAACGCGCCGCTCCCGCGTTACAGAAAAAACGCCGATTGTCGGGCACACTAAATCGCGTGAAACACTGCGATTAGTATTCGTTTCGTGCCGCGCGTTCGCGAACGACGGCGCCGCGGCGATAAAACGAATAACGCGAAATATCACAACGGCGTAGCATTTCGTTTGGGGGTTTTTTTTTTTTCCCCCCCGTTCGTTGTCAATGGCGCAATTGGCGCGGTCGAAAACGCTTTCACCCACCCGCCGCGAGGCGCGGGGTGCCTACGCGTTTTTCCGCGAGTGCGCGAGTCGTACGGCCGTACGACTCGCGTGCAGGCGTGTAGGCCGGAAGACTACCCGCGGAAAACGTAGGAAAGAAAACAAAAACCAACAATAAAATATCCCCTGGGTGAGAGGGGGGCGGTGGAGTTTGCGCGAAAACGAATCCTCATCGGCGCGCAAAACATTCGCCGCGGGTCGATTCCGGAACACTCGGCGGCCCGCGGTCGGCGCGTCACACACACACCACCCGGCCGGCGGGAAACACCGCGCGGGATTTTTCAACGGGCTAAATTTTACGTTTTCGGAAGACGAAACGGCTAGACCGAGGGACGAAAAAGAAAAATGAATAACAATAATTACGTTTCGCGTAATGTTGTCGCGCGGCACACACCGTGTGTTGTTTCGCGCGCGGGTGCTCGGCTAGTGCGGTGCAAAACAAACGACAATATATTCGTCTCGTTTGCCCCGGAGAACGGTTTTGTACGGTATTAGGTTTTTTCGCGCACTCGATACGGCCAACGGGATGGGCGGAGGGAGGGTGTACGTTCGGGCACGTTATATTTCGACCCGCAACACCTACCCCCTGGACACGGATCCCGAGCGAGGATCTGTGAGCGGGAGGGGGCCGATCAATCGATCGCAACACAAATAACAACACGGGTTTCCGGATTCGGGGATGGTAGTAGGAAAAAAAAAATTGAATTTGAGCAATTTCGTAATATGTCTGGATGCGTCCATGCCCCCGCCGAAAAACCGTTTTCGAACCGATCGCCTTCGTCCGGAAACGCGCGTCCGTAGTCGCGAATATTCCGCAGGCGTTCCGAAAGTCCGGGTGGATCGCTCACCGTCGCTCACGCGGTTGCTCGGTAAAGGGGTCCAAAACATGCCTGTTAAGTCGGCGCCGGCACGTAATGCTGGGACTATTATACAGCTAGCGGGTATCCGCGATTTTGCCAGTTATATGCCACGTTCTGCTAGATCTCCCGAAACGTCAGAAGTCCACCAAACGAAAATACCCCGGTGCTATCGGTGGGAACGCCGATAAGTCGAAATAGACGCCGTTCCCTTGCGAATACCTCGATTACCGGAATGGAAAACTGTAGAACATGACTGGAACATTCCGTGTCCCCAATACAGACGGATACAATGCCGGGTAATACAATCCGCTCGTCTAATCGGCTTGTGCGTGCCGTGCCTCTGATTTGAAGCGTGGGCGTGCGCAGGCCTCTTTTTCGGGGCAAGCGGAGGGCTGCCCCCGAAAGCTATTTTAAACATGCGCGCGACACTGGTAAAATGTACGCAAATATTTGAAATGTCTTGTTGTGTTACAACATAAAACACATGTGTGTTTATGCGTCGGCTGATCGAACCGCGGAATTGCGCGTATACATTATAGACGCGGCAGAAGACCTAAAAATGGGTAGTATAAAATCCGATTCTATTTTTAGGAGAAAATCGATAATAAACGGTTGGCTGGCTGTCACGTCGCTGTCATCGCCATCCTAACCAATATTGTTACGAATTTTTTAGATTCTGAATGGAGCGTTGAACGTTTTGGTTTTACAATGAAGTTAATTTTATTTTTCCAGTGGGCAATTTTTCTACTAGCAATTTTGCTCGGTGATACAATGGTATTTACACTTTTCTAAAAGGAAATCCGACTGTGCTGGTACTTTAGGGAGGTCTGTTTTTGATTGTCCGCGAAAAAACACGGAGAAACCGGGCACATAGGTACGATGTTAAACAAATGTCATTAAAAAAAAAAATGTTTATTTACATATGTAATTATTTTATCATAATATGACATATTATGTATTGTTGATAAATCAACACTATCAACCGATCGTTAATCATTGTATACATTAAATTCCCGTCTATATCCTACGTTTCCAACTCCCCTAAAACAACCAAGGTTGCACCCGTCCCCATTATCTCAGGACAGAGTTTTTGTATATTTGGTGTGTCTGAAATCAAGGTTTTGTGTTCGGGGCATGCAGCGGCACACACTGCATACCCTCTGCGCTCGCCTGTGTTTTGAAGGGTACAAGGAAAAAACCAGAAAGTCACTTTTTTTCCAAAATATCGGTATCAAATAATTTGTACTGGTGTGCCGTATCTTTGTATGCGATCGAAACGGCGAAAAACCAAATCAGTCGAAAGTAATGAATGCCAGAAGTTAAGGCCTACATGGAAAAAAAAAACAGATAGCCAATTTATAATCAGGTAAGTGTCGGGTCTTGATTAATAATATAATATGACATTATTATGTCGTGGTTACTACATTTCGAAATTTAACAATAAACTTAATCTGAACTCTTTTCTTTTTACTTTCCCTTGAATTTCGACTTATCGAAGTCATTTTGGGATTTTACCAGGATCCCTGTCACCTCCGAGGGAAATTTTAAATGTTTACGTCAGAAAACCGGCCACAGCACACTACTTAAAAAAAAAAAAAAACATTTTTATATTTTAATATTAACAAAGGTTATTAAATAAAATATATGTAAATGAAATAAGTTTTTAAATAATACAAGTAAGTAAAAAAATAGGTAAGGAAAATAAAATTATCAGGCTACCGGGCCATAATCCAATTCAGGTCAACTAGTAAATTCCCATCAAAATGTTGATAGTATTGTTATGTATAATTTGCCGGTGCCAACTTGATGAATGTGTCCACAATTCTGATCAGAGTTCGATTATGCATGTTTTAAAAGACCCAAGATAACGATTTTCGTCAAAATTTAACATTGAAATTCTTATAAAAAAAAATACTACATTAAACCCAACTTTTTCTTGTTGGCAATTAAGTACAACTTATAAAATGCAATTTTGCATGCATTTCTGTTCGGTCTAACAATTTTGTCCTAAAAGTACCTACAGAATAAAAATTACGTAAAAGCTCTCAAAATTATAATGCTTATAAATAGCTCACGAACGACTTAAATGTTTTGAAAATTGTACGTCTTCTGGAAAAGGTAAATATAAGTTTTCTGTCTTAATTTCAAGTCTCTACAAATATTTTGACTGAATTTCAACAAAAAAACAAAATTGAAAACAATAAAAGCATTATTTTCGTAAATTTTCCCGTTATTTTTTATTTTGATTTCGCTCAATTATTAAAAAAACCACACGGAAAAACGGTTGCTTGCCATTTTTCGATTGGAGCATTATTTCTTGTAGAAAATATCGTGTATACAAACTTAAAATAATGAAATCGGCAACGCCGTGGAGTGCTGTAAATATATGCCGTTTTACTTATTATTTTCTATTGGGTTTTTCACAATTATTTTGGAAACCCCTGATAAAATAAAAAACTAACGCCTTTAATGTACTAACTAGACAAAAGTACCTTTCAGAAAAGGTGCAAAACTTTATACTTCGGAGCAAAATTTTTGGTAGAAAAGTTATTCACAGCCATAGATAAAAGAAAAAAAAAAAACTATTAATACAAAAACACACGTCCAAAATAAACATTACCTATTGTAAAACCAATATATTCCTATTTATGTCAAATGTAAATATGTCGATTTCTAATGATCATATGAATAATTTCTACCTAAGCTAATTAAAAATTAAAGTATTTAATTACCCATTAAAATATTAAATTATTCAAAAATGTCAAAATTATTCAGGAAATAATATACTTTATGGAAACAACAGTTTAAAAAATTGGTAGTTGGTGTTAAGGTACTAAGCTTAATACCATGTAGAGGTAGATGGGTATAAATTAATGCTTATTGCCAAATATACAAAAAATTAGTTCAGCGCCACTGGATAGGACTGGGAATCCGGTCCTGCCCGCAGTAATACTATAAAATCGGTTCTCGATTTAGTTCATTGTTTATTTATGTATTCTACATAAACAAAAAAAACAAAAATAAGATTAAAAGCTTTAATATTTTTAAATAAAACAACCCTTAAGTTTAAATTAAATACATGACGTCCACAATTTCAGAGGTCAAATTAAAAATAGACAGTACCAAATTTTAGATTCCGAGTGAAGAGAGGGGTCTGTTGGTTTTATTATAACGTGTATTTTTTTAACCTGTTAGTAAATAATTTTTCTCCTAGAAATCTTTCTTAAAACAAAACATTTTTTGTTGCATTTTAGCACCAGATGGTACTTTAGAAAGGTAATTTTTTGTCATTAATATTCGAGATAATGAAGAAAAACTGGTTTTAGGATAAAAAAGATTAAAAATAAAGTTGTCATTGGCAATTGTTTTTATTGTTTTTATCTTTTTTAAAAAATCTTTGTTGTCGTGAAAACGGACATTATTCAATATTATTGACCGAGCCCCGCTCAGAATCATTTTTTGTTAGCGACAATTAATCGTTGCGTACAGATAAAAATCAAATTCTTTTCTATATTCTTACTTCCCAACTTCTCACTTACGACAGTGGCTCACTGGTAGTGCGCAGTAATGATGTCAGTCAGTTTTATTTTTTATACCGGGAATCTCTGAATAAACAATCTGTTTAATGTTTATTATTTAATAGATTCTTTATTTTAATTTTTTTGTAATTAACTAATTTTGAGATGATTAGTGTTACTCATATTATCAACTCTACAACACATATATACAAATTAAAATAATAATGACACATTGCATTCAGTACACACATTTATATTTTAACACGTTTTGCTACGTAGGTAATAAGTTATTGTCAATATATACAAAAATAATATTATGAGTGATGTAGTACTTGTACATAGAAACGTCTTAACAACAACAATAATGCATACAATCAGATAGGTAGATAAACTCAAAATGTAAATTAACAACGTCTATATACATACATATAAATATTTATATATATATATAAATAAATAAATGATCAATTATGAATAATAAAAAAATCATTTTAGTAGTGTACCTATAATCTAAATAGTAAAACAATTAAAAACGAGTTTAACTTTTGTACAATGAATGTAGAAAATTTAATATTTGGACATAAATCACATTGATTAATTTACCTATGTTTAGTCTTTTTCTTTTTCTTGATCGGTTTTTTATGGATTTTATGTTTGCGCTGCTCTTTCTTCTTTTTCTTCTTGTGTTTGCTGCTAGTTTCGTCCGATTCCGAGGACGTTTCTGAATCATCAGTGTCTGTACTACTAGCCACTTTCTTTTTCTTCCCGTGTTTCTTCTTTCGTTTTTTCGTCTTCTTCTTCTTTTTGGTTCGCACTGGTGACGAATCTGATGAGGAGCTTGAACTACTGAAACTACTTTCTGAATCGTCTGTTTCTTTATCTTTGGATAATTTTTTAATATCTTCATCATCATCTTCGTTGGTTTCAAACATCGTCTCATCACACACTTTAAGGTCTGGTTCGAGACGACGGTTTTTGCGTTCTTTTTTCTCCAGTGCTTTTTCCTTTGGTTTTATTTTTTTAACATCCTGTTCACGTTTTTCTTCTTTTTTCTTGAAGTCTTTTTTCTCCGATCGGTCATCTTTCTTAGCCACAATTTTTTGTTCACTTGCCCGATGGTGTTTGTCTTCTGTTCTAACCACTACTCTACGAGTTTCAGAGGATTTCTTTTGCTGATCCAATTTTTTGTCATCTTCGCGTCGTGGAAGCCGATGGGTAGACATCACGTTTCTCTCGTTTTTAGAGTTCCCATGGTCCTTTTTTAACATATCTCTGTGACTTTTAGATGTTGCTCTGATTTTTCTACCAAGTTGTTCAGGAACAATAAGTGTAGAGTGCACACGTATTGGAGATCGAGAAGCCTTTCGTTTTTCATTTCTTGACTTGAAATGTTTGTCATCTTTGTCTTCGATTTTTTCACCCAATCTATCTTTAGCTGATATACGTTTTGTACCATCTTTGATTTTTTTATCATCTAATGTATCAGTTGGTATTGTTATTTGTATTGAATTACCTGATTTTCTGGCCTCTCTCTGTATAGATGATGAATCCAATGCAGCTTCGGATTCTATTTTTTTTTTATCTTTATGTTTCGTTGTAAGCTCATCTTTTTTCAACAACTTTTCAGATGAGGTTTTAATCTCCGACTTGTCATTGGATTTTTGTTCACGATCTGTCTTTCTATCTTTGACGACAATGTCGAGTTTTTTGTCTTTTAAGTTTGTTTTTTTATCTTTATGAACATCAGCTTTTTTATCTTTAAAATCTTTTGAAACATCAGGTTTTTTATCTTTAATGGTGTCCACTTTTTTATCCTTAATTACATCAACTTTTCTTTCTTTAACATTTTCTGTCTTTTTCTCTTTACAAATATCAGTCTTCTTTTCTTTCACGATATCTGGTTTTTTCTCTTTACTAAGATATTTTTCAGGTTCATTTTTTTTGTCTTTAAATATTTCTGTTTTTTTATCTCTGGTGCCATCAGTTTTATCTACAATAGTCTTTTTGCCTGGGACATCTAATGTTCGAACAGTTTTTTGGAATATAGCATTTTCTGCACGTTTCAATACTTCATTTGTAACTGAAACTTGATTACTATCATTTTGAAATTCTGAATTGATTAATAGGTCCTCTTTTGGTTGTTTGTCGGAATCAAATTTATCATCTAATGTACCAGGAACATCTTCTTCAACTTCCCATTTTGATCGTTCAGGCAATTCTGCAAGAACTTCCGATTCTTTTGGTTTTTCTTCAATAGAATCTTGTTCATTTATAGTTTTTAAAACAGTTTCAGTATTATTAGGGCTCTTATAACTACCCCAACTAGTGTCCACAGGTGCTTCTTCATCCAAGTCTCCATAAAGTTCATCTTTGACATTTTCTTCGCGTTTAATTTTAATATCATCGTTTTTTTCGGGAACAGAATCAAAAGGTGGAGGTGATTCAGACGTGCCTGGAGCAGCAGGTTCTTGGTTCTCTTGACCAGTTTCAATCTCAACCTTAGTTTCAATCTCAATACTTCCATCTTCTTTATCATCAACTTTTTTATTATCGTCCTTTTCTTTTTTTTCTCTGCTCTTTTTTTTCTTTTTCTTGTCAACATCTGCATCTTTTTTCTTTTTTCTTTTTCCTTTGTCTTTTTTATCCAAGTCTTTTTGATTCTTTTCAGGGGAAGGTTTAAGTTCTAGTCTCTGTCTCTCGATTTTATGATGTTTGATCGGCGATCGACTTTTTGATTTTATATTTAGTTTCTCTTCTGCCTCTTTCTTTTCTTTTTCTCTTTCTCGGATTTCTTTATCTCGAATTTCATCCCAATCACGAACTAAATTTGGATCCATTGCGAAATGTGGATCAAATTGTGCATAATTAGTTGTATACTCTGGAGGACGATCAATACCTAGGTCGAAATGCCCCTCGAATTGTCCTCGATACCTAGCAAAAACAAATAAAAATACATTTATTAATATATTATGATAAATAAATTATATGTTTAACATATATAAAGATAACTTTATTTGAGGTTTCAAAGGCTTTAAATTTTCACAAAATATTAAGCCAAGTATTACACGGGAAATCTGAAAATTATTTTTTAATATTTCCTTAGTATACTTATTGAAGTCCAATATTGAACATGCTGACATTTTGTAACATTAATTTTGGTGTAGCAACGAAATTGTATCTTGATAATTGTTCGATGTTAAAGATGTAGAATAATGTTCGAAGTAAATATCTGCATTGATGTAACCTGTAAACTTCTATGATTCGTTTAGGCCAATATTTCAATTAACACAAGTCATAGATTTATTTCTACATGGTTAAAAAAGCGAAATGTTTTTTTTTTTTTGAATTACCTTTTGTCTAAAATGATTCCAAAATTGACTGGTACATCTGCATTTTTTTCACAGGAAGAAATGACTAGGAATTATTAAAAGGGCAGCTTGTTGAAGAATAAATTTTAATTTTTAAGTACAAAGATATATTTATATAAATGAAGTAAAACCTACTTTAAGAAAATGTAAATTTAAGAGTAATCCCAATGATAACTCTAAAATGGAAAACATTTTTTTAAAGTGTCTAATTCGGAAACTTGTTGTATGGTGCATACATTGTATAGGTATAACAAATCAAAATTAATTAAATACATAATTTAAGTTATTTAACCAATACATATTTTGGGTTAATATACACATGGAGAATAATAACAGAACTAAGTTTATTGAACAATGGACACTTTAAATATGCTGCTACTGTGTTTGAGGAAAACTTAATTTAAAAGATATAATTGTATAATTTAATAACATCATAAAAATATTAAAAATATGTTATTAATCTTTAATGTTTTCTTAAAAATATATTAACCGCTAATCGTATATAAAGTACAGAAATTGTATAACAAAATATTATTTTAGATAGTGTTCAACACATTTGAACAAAAAATATAAAACAAAAATAAAATAGATAAATGTTATAATAAACTTAATAGTACTTATTTTTAGAAATTATAATTAAAAAAATTACAAAACTCAACAAGAAATCACAAAATTAAAAAAAAATAATAATATAAACCAAAAAATTTAGTAAAATTAATCAGTACTAAATGATTACATTATTTAACAAAATTACTACAGTATTTTTATAAAAATACAATTGTATAATAATTTATAAGAATAGTGTAAATAAACTGTGATTAAAAAAACAAACAATATACATATTTTTGTGTTGAAAAATAACAAAAAAATATTTTAATTGCAAATTTATATTTTATAAAAAAACAATCAGGTTTAATCTAGTTTAATTATAAAATATGGTTAAGAAAACAATTCATAGAATAAATTTATTATGTCATATAAAAAAATGAATTTTTTTTTTTTTAATAGTTTTCATCATTTGAATATTATTATGCAATCTATTTGGACATAACTAAAATGTAATGAAAAATTAATAGTTCTACAAAATATTATGACAACAATATTGCAATATACATATTATTTTTAATTTGAAAATAAAAAAATAATCCATAGTTAAAAATAATAATACATTTAATCTTAATAAATACATCAGACTCTATAGTAAATATCACAAAGTACTAATTCATAAAAATAATAATTTAAAATATCACAGAAACAGTCACAAAATACTTATAAATCATGAAAAATATTACATATGACATATTTATAAAATATAAATAATACAAATGCTAATTATTGAACACATGACTTAGGTAAAAAAAAGAACAAAAAAATTGATTATTATTATAACTGAAAATATTTAGTAGCCACTATTTTACTAGTCATTTTATAGATTATTTTTAAACTTATTTAAGACAGAATATATATTTTATGTACATAAAAATAATAATAATTTAGTGATAAATAACAATAATACATTGTATAATCTTAATGACATAAAAATGAATAAGTAATAAAATATTACAATACTAATACTATAATAGTGTAACTCGTATTACAAAAAATATTTTTTCAGACATCTTTATATTAAATTTTATCCAAGTAAAACAAAAAAAAAAAAATATATGACACATTTAAATATAAATTATATATGAATTACAAAATGTTACATTACCTAATAAAATAATATGACAACTGTTTAAATAATATTTTTGTATTGAAATTTTAATAGACAATGTATTTTTCCCTTTATTTTTAAATTATCAGTGTTTCCCAACAGATGTACTGGACTACCGAGAAAACTTTTGATAGATAACCTTAATTTAAGTGAGGCCTTACCCCACACCTATCAACCAATCTGTGAACCATTTTTTTCACAATTTGTTTACTCTACAATTATGAATATGTTTTTTATTCTAGTAATTAAAACTATAATAATTTCACTGTTGGAAAACATTGATTTAAATGAGTACTTCGATTAAGATTGTTTTATAATTATTTAAATACAAAAAATTTGTATTTATTTTGCAATTTTTATTGCCAGTCTATTTTAAATTTATTTGTTAAAGTAGGCAGTGGCTTTATTTTCAAATAATTGTTTTAAAATAGAAATTCAATAGAGAACTAGTTTCCTTGTCCTTTCCTATGGCCTTGAAACCTATTACGCTTAGTTATATAATGGAGGTTTTATAAATTATCTAAATCAAATTATCTCTACTTAAAGGGTTGCTGAAATAAGCAGTTCAATAAAAATATATTTCAGCTGTATGTAAAAAATAATACTATTTTTATGAGGAATTTATTTAACTTAACACATAAGTGAATTTTGAATTCTTATTTGAATACTAGACTAATAATTTTATTATCTTGATAATTTAATTTCATTAAAAATATTTGAAAAAAATTGAATTCAAACTAAATATTTAAATTATGAAATAGGAAACTTTTAAATATTTGTTCATTCTAATGAATTATACCAAACAGAATAAAAATAAAACTACAAAAAAAAGTAACTATATGAGATCGTAAGAAAAATTGACTAAAAAAGTATAATAAACCATAAATTATAAAGATATAATCACTATAATTTATCACAGAAACGATTAAAAAACATCTATTTATATATATAACATAATTTTTAAATAATAAACAACACCTAATAGAGTATTCATGGTAGTTATGCATAATTCCATTATTGAGAATGAAAAAAAATGTTGAATTAAAAAAATTCACTTTGGCATTGATGGTAATAATGGCTTATTGGGTTTCCTTCTGGTTGTAATCTACATTGTTCGAATATGAACTCACTATCGGTACTAGATACTGCAAAAACATTTACAACAAAACTGTACCTGTGTGATTGTTGATAAGGTTGGGGTCCTTTATTCCAAGTTCCTCGACCACGCCAATTAGTTCCCTTATGTCCATAATTGTCATCTTCTCTATGATAATTGTTAAATCTACAAATAAAATAATAATAATTATAACTTTATTGTCAGACAGACTGACTTAATTCAGAAATTATTATTATTATTATTTTTTTTTTAACTCAATAATTATTCTGGCTGTGAACAGTAAAATGTCCTCAGTGTGATGCACTAAGGAAACTTCTTGATTTTTTTTTAATAATAAGGAAAAAAATCTTTAACCAAACTTTACTCAGAACCGTATATTATTAGTTATGATTTATTTTCATTAACAGATGAAAATGTATTAACTTAAAGTACTTTTCCAACTAAAACAGCAGTTCGTCCATCAGCAATATTAGTTCTTTTTTAAAGGCTTATACTTATGTAATTTAAAAATAATATTAACAACTATATAATTACTACCAACACAGAAATTAAAAGTATCAACCATTTTAATATTGACAATAGCTTTGTACGCTTTATGGAAATATTCACCAGTAAAATAATATTTTTAAAACTATTTACCTAGCAGGTGAAGAGTAAAAAGAAGGAGATCTTGATCTAAAACGAGGCGATGGTGACATTCGGTTTCTATGAGTTGGAGATCGAGATCTTGAACGAGTTCTAAAATTAAATATTTTTATAAAGTATGCATGAAATAGATAATAAATGCATCTATATTTAATAATACCTTCTATGTAAAGATAAAGACCGGGATCTTCGTCCTGGTATATCACGACTTGGACTACGTGTCCTTCTTCTAGATTTAGCTGGTAAACGTTTTACAGGTGATAAACTCTTCTTGCGTTTTCTAATTGGACTACGTGAGCGCGTGCGTGTCCGGCGTCTGGGAGTTATTGATCTACGTAGTAATGGTGATCTAAAAATGAAATGGAAAAATTAATTTAACTATTTAAAGTTATAATTATTATTTATTTTAATACCTTGATATTGAACGTGGTCTATGTTGAATCATTCTTGATGGTGAACGACTTAAACTACGAGAACGTTCTCTAGACCTAGAACGAGACAAAGACCGAGATCGAGACCTAGACATTGAATGACGACCTCTCATATCACGGCGTTTATTATCACGTTCTCGAAGTATACGCTGAAATACGGCTAATGGATCATCTATAGTTCTTTTATTACTGAAATAATAATATAACAAATTATAGTTAAACTGTTTCAATGAATCTTTCAGACCTTAAAAAAAATTAAATGTTTTATAAAAAAAAGATAAAACATATTTTAAACATAATCAGCTAATATTAATATGTATAGTGTTTTTTTTTTAGTTATAATATTTCAAAATATTATATTCTTTGTGGATCTATGAATCTCCCTGTGGAAGGGAATACTCTTACGGTGCCTCTACCTGTCGTAAGAGGCGACAGATGGAGTTGCATCAAATTGATAGCCAGTGTAAAATTCAAAATAAAGCTTTGGTCGATTGTCCCATCTCAATGTGTGCAGGGACAACAGGTGAGTGGAGGTATCATGGTTGCATGTTTTACAGATAGTATATATTCTGGAATAAGTTAACAATAGGCTTGAGGAATTAAGTAGAAATAAAATTTTAGTATGAGTTTGAATGAAGACATCTAATGACAATAAGCAGTTATAGGTGAAGTTGAGAGTTTTAAGTAACTAGGTACTTATCTTTAGTACCAAAAACAGGGGCTTTGATTATCATGTGAAACATAGGATAATTGTAGAGAAGTGTCAGGTATTTTGTGTTTCAAGTGTCAAGATAATTCCAATGAGACTTCAAAGTTAAGTTCTGAATAAGTATTGGGCAAGAGACAGAAAAAATAATAGAGAATGAGTGTAGCAGAGATGAAAATGCTTAGATGGATAAATGGAGTGACAAGAGAAGATGGAATAAGGAATGAGAACATAAAAGGTAGTTTAGGCATGGCTTCAATAGTATACAAACTATAGAAAATATACTGAGATGGTTTGAGTATGTCATGGGGAGAGAGGAATCTGAAGCAGTAAACATTGTAATCATAATAAACGCAAGAGGAAAACAATGGAGAGAAGGCTGAAAAAGAGTGGTTGAATGTAATTGAAAATTATATGAGGATGTTGTAGGCAAGGTGGATATCTTTTCAATTGGAAGTTTAGAACGAAGGTGGCTGACCTTAAATAGTTGGGATGAAGGTGAAGGAGAAGATATTCTTTATATGAATAACAAGTTGCTGGATTTTATAAGGTATTAAAATATGTATTTTTGAAATTATAATTTATAATAAAAAAAACTGTTGATATCCCAACAGAACTCATAAAAAAGTATGGAGCAGGTACCTGAAATATTTTTATTAAGAGTCAAAGAATATAATTGCTAGGTCATAAAATGAAAAGAGGTGAGAATAATACAACTAGAATATCATTGGAATGAAAGTCATAAGATGATCCAGGAAATTAACATTGAAGAGAGGAAGTAATAGTCCAAACATTTTGGGCAATGTAAAATTATCATTTTATAGGTACTTGAAATATTCCTAAATTGTCTGAGCATAGAATTTATTAGGGTAGTGGTGTTGAATACTCAAAAAAAGTGTTATAGCAGTCATATCTTTTTAAAGGGTGGATGGTAGGTGATACCACATAGGTGTGTACTAATTAGTTGTGATTAAGTTATTATTATATGAATAATGTTGAGAATCATTTACATATGTCATTGATGTGACACAAATCTAGATTATCCAGATTTTGGATTTCAAAATTTTTAGTTTTTAATTTTTAAAAAGCCGTTATATTTATGATTTGAAAATAATATGGTAAATTCAAGGTAAAGGAACCTTGAATTAATATTTATATTATACAATATAGTCAATATAAATACATCCAAATTGTTCAATATTTGGTATTTTAAATTCCTATAGTTATTTAGTACATAATGAAATATCACATATTTACAAAAGGACAAAAACTGTCAAATGTTCAAAATCTAAATATAAAATATTTTGTAGTTAAGTATATGAATGACAAAATACATTTTATTATCATAAAAATATTTTTATTCGTCATACTATTCATACTGTAAATATAAAATTTCAATTTTAGATAACAAATAACAATAAATAATATTATATGTAGTTAGTAGAACAAATTTAACAATATAATTTCATTTTTCATTTTAAGTAACTATTACACAGTTAATCAATAGAAAAGACTAAACCATGATAAGCATATAAAAAAAAATATTTATTTTCAAATTTAGGGTAAGTAAATAAACCCATGGGTATTACAGAAAATACCTAAAATATTTTTTTATGCATCAGGTATTTGTGCCTTGGGTAAATACCCAAGGCACATCACTAATAATGTAACAGAATATATGAATTCAAAAAGTTTTTACACAAACCATTTTTTGAAAAAAAAAGTATTTCATGGAAAATTTAACATGGATTTTAGTAAATCCTATTTAAGGAATATAACAAATAAAATTCAAATTTAACAACTGGTATTCAATATTACTTAAATTTTTGGCAAGTGAGTGTAATTATGAGTAAAATACTTTGCATTTGGGCGAAGATGAAAATATTTTACTTGGTAGCCAACGTCACCTCCCCTTTCAAAAAAGAGAAGTATTAGTAATCTTACTTTATATAATTTCCGCCATTACGAAAATCAGGACGGTAGTTTCCTCCCATAGGTTGTCCACGTGTAGGTCTTCTACTATATCCACGATGAAAACCCCGATGATTTCTTATATCCATAGGCATATTATTATATGGATCATAATTAGATATAGGTGGTGGATAATAACCTATAAATAAAATAAATATATTACACATGTTAAATATTGAAATGTATAGTTTGTTAAAATTAAATACTAAATACCTGCAGGATAACTGGGTCTCATCATTGGCTGAAGATTTCCAGTTGGGTTTTCAAATTTATCCATTTGATGGTGTGTTAACTCAGGAGGATGCATCCCTTCATCTGATGAAGCATTAGCCGGGCTACTATTTCTATCTAATCCAGGCGGTGGAGGATTATTATGCATTCTAAAAAAAACATGTTTTAGGAAAATCATTTTTATGATATCAAATAACGGTAAATAAATATTTAAAAACATACGGTTGCATTTGACTGTAGCCAGCATCAGGTTGCATTGAAGGAGGTGGGTGGGCAAAAGGAGGTGGTGGCACTGAAATATCTGCGGGCCCTACGGGCAAACAATTGCGCAAGTGATGGTGAGGGGGAATGGATAAAGATTGTGAATTGAATCGTGGCATATTATGAGACACACGACTTTCACTTAACTTTGTCAAAGTATGTCGATTATTTTGAAAATTACTATGTACGGGTATATGCATATTTGAATTATTGGGACGATTAATATTGCTTACAGATACGGGAGGACCTTGAGATTGATTTTGAGTCTTAAAATTAGAATGATTATGCGAATTATTGTTATTAATATTATTATGGATTGTGTCAATTGCAGAGTAGTTTCGTCGAGTTTTATCAATAGAGTCACCAACAGCAACAATTTTTTGATAAATCTCATCTCTGGGTACTTCAGTTGAAGTTACAGGCGGTGGTGTTTGTGTCTTAACTGGAATGATCACTTCTGAAAGGCAAATTCTAAATGATGTAACTAAATTAATTTGAAAACGAATAGGACGTTGGATCAAAGAATACAGGACGACCTAGGATAAAAATAGAGTATTGTACTTGGAATTCCTTTGGCGAATAGAAATTTATAAAATTATTATCAATCCTGGAAATACTTTGAAACTATGAAAAAAAAAAGTTAATATTATCACTTAGATGAACATAACAAAATAATTTTAAATTATGCATATAGTCACATAACAAAGTAAATGGCAGTGGTTGGAAAAATCCAAATTTTCAAAATCCGACATTAATAATACATATTTTAATCATTTAACATAAAATTTTTAAAATAAAAAAAAAAATTTAAAGTATATATAATAAATTAAAAAAATTTATAACTTAAACTTTGAAAGCCAAAATTGGAATTCTCAGAATTTTAAGTCGGAAATCCGGATTTCGTTGTCTAAAATCTGGATAATCCCGATTAATGTTCACACCACTACTAATTGTAAATTTTTAAGATCCATAATAAGAATTATGTCATTCAGTAGGTATTTAATGAAAATTATATATTTCATTAATTTCTTTTAATAGGTACATAAATATATATATATATATATATATATTAGGTATGTATTAAAATATTGTAATATAGAAATCTCAAAAAAAAAAAAAAAAAAAAAAAAAAAAAAAAAAAAAAAAAAAAAAAAAATGATTTTTTTTATTAATTTTGATATAGTTTGTAATTCTTGGTACAAAAGTGCCATAGAGGACTAAACAAAAAATAAATTTAAAATAAAACTTTGTTCTTGTAATTTTGTTTAAAAATGTATAATGTATACAAATATAATTATACTTATAATATTGAAATCAAAATATAAAATTGTAAACAATTAATAAATAAATTGAATGAAGAATAGGAAAATAAAGAAATAATATAAGTCAAAATCCATGAAAGATAAAAAATAAAGAATAAAAGTTATTATGAAACAATGGAAAATCAATCGTTAATAAAAGGAATACATTTAAATTGTATAACTTACCATCTTTTGATGGTTCAATATTATCTATCTGGGGAACTAATGGCTGGTCTTCAATTGGATCGCTTTTTTCTTTTGATACTTCTATACGTTTACTATAACCTGTTTTATCTTTAAAACTATTAACAGCATTCCGTAAATATCGATTTGGTATTAATGTTTCCGGTGATATTTCTTTTCCATGACAGTCTGGACACTCATTTTCCTCAGATTCTAAAAGGGCATTCCGAATACCTAGAATAGATAAATACATGACATTTTTTTATTTAGTTTTTGAAGTTTAAAAAAATATATTCTTACATTCATCACAAAATGAAGTTCCACAACATGGCATCATAATAGCATCTGTCAATAAATCAGAACACAAATTACACAATAAATCATCAGGAATTATGACTTTCTCTTCTTCTTCTGTTTCCTGCTTTTTTTGTGGTTTCATACATTGTTTATAAGCTTCCCTAAAAAGTATTAAATATTAATTGAATAAATACACACAATAAATAAAAATACATACTGATCAATGCTAGGGACTGCAAATGTACCTAAACCAGTTAACATTGCTCCTGGAACTGATGGACCATCAACTGGTACTAAAAATCCTCTTGGAATGCCTGTAGCTTTTTTAATGTCAATTGGTTCCTTCATAAATAAGTTAATAGTAAATTGATAGTTAGTTAAAGTAGTTTTAATAATTAATAATAATCTTACTGAAACTGTATTATTGTTAGGACAATTTTTTATCCAATGACCAGGATTGTGACATCTATGACATATATAATTTTGAGGTACTTCTCCAAACTGGTTTCCTCCTCGAATTTTAACAAAACTGAAATGAAAAGAGAAAATAAAGACTATTCATATACTTGATAACTATTTTATAACAAAAAAGTATAGTATAAATTTAAAAATAGAAGGGATGGTAAGATTACTTGTACAATTTTTCTTTACTTAAGAAAATACTAAAAACACTATGAATTATAAATATTCAGTTTATATAAAAATGTTTACAAAAATATATTTTTAAGGTACTGCATATATGCATAATATACATTTAATATATTTTATTATTACAATATTTTATTTACTTAGAGGGATCGTATTCCTGTGTTGATTGTGCCATCATAGCATTAATTTTATCTTCTTCGCTTGCATCTGAACCAAGTAAATCTGCACCCTAGTAAAATTTCAATTCAAATATTATAAAATACATGTATGTTTAATGTATTATTTCAAATAAAATTTGGTTAACATACCTTTAGTTTTACAGAATCTGGTTCATGTGAATCTAAATTTAATATCTATTTAATCAAAATCAATATAATTAGCAAAATAAAATTATGGCATAAATTATTAAAACTTATAAAATAAATGTATACCTGTTTAGAAAGGACAAGTTGATTGTTTTGTTCGGCTCTTTCCCTAAAATGTCCAAAAAAAATAATTCTAATTAAAAACAAAAAGTCTGTTAAATAATTGGATTAAAACTAATTAAGAAATAGTAGTTAAATATAAACTAAGAAACTCAAGATTTAAAATTCTTTTACCATGCTTTTTTCTGTTGCGATGTAAGTGGTATTCTTGATACAATCAATGATGTATTTTTTGGAATTAAAGTTTGGTCATCATTATATTCTAAAACACATAAATACAATTTAACATTTACAATGGTTATACATTAGTGTCATAACTTACATTTATTAAAAACAAAAACATTTTTAACATTATTGTAATTAAAAATTTTAATTTTCCATTATAAAACTTATTTAACAATTTTTTAATATAGATATTGTTTATAATTTTTTTAATGAATAATGAATACAGTTCATTTTGAAAACCAAAATTCATGTTAATGTGATAGTTAAATAATGTTAGGTAATCATTGGGATATAGTGGATCATTTGTATAAATTCAATCATTATAAACTCCATAAAATAAATTAAATTTTAGAAATCATTAAAAAGTTTAGTTTAATATTTAGTTAAGTATCTATTTCTTTAGGTACTTAACTACTGTAGGTATTCTATATTTCTATTACTTCTTTCTTAAAGTAGTTTTTATGGTGTATCGATAGTAGTCAAAATGAGAGAAAATAAACTGAAATGGTTATGCATGTTATGGGGAGAGGAATCAAAAGCAGTAGCAATTGAAACAAAAATAAACGTTTGAAGACGGAAAATGAAAATGAAAAAGTCAGTTGAATGTGATTGAGATTAATATGAGGACAGCCTATGTATGCGAGGTGGGAGATCAAAGATAAAAAGAAGTTTAGTACAAGGGTAGCCAACATCAAAAATAGTTGGGACGAACAAGAAAAAAAAAAAATATCTATTTCTTTATAATTTATTACAGTTCCTAACTTAAAGTCATAATACAGAATACTGAATAAAATCAACTATTAAAACACATTAATAATTATTATTACTGTTTTAATCAACAATTTAAAAAACTACTTTAATAACTAATACATTTTACTGACCAATTCTTTTAGTGGATAAAATAAATCAATTTAATATCATTACAATGATAAATATTGTATGTTATTATTAGTGGGGTTTTATATGGTGTATATAAATTAGTCTCAAACCAGTGAAAACCTGGTTACTGAACTAACCAGTTATATCAGAAAATAAACACAAATGAAACCGAAATCACAATTTATGATTTTAAGAACAAAAACAAAATATTGAAACCAAAATTATTTTAGTTCTAAAACAAAATGGATTGCGTTTTTTTAACAAATTTAAACTGTATTAATTTGCATGGGTTTTAAGTGAATTTCAATACATTGTTTCTGGTTTGATAAAGGAATACAGGGTTAAAATGGTGTTATCATTGTTGATATATTGTCAAATAATTGTTATATATATTTGTTTCTAGTCTTCAATAGTAATTTTTCCAATTAGTATATCTTTTAAATTATATTTTTAAAGAATATTAACCAGTTAGTTAAACCAAACAAATTTATAGAAGAATGAAAATCATTTAGGTTTTAGTGACTGATATAAATTGAATAATAGTTTGACGAAAAAAATGAATCTTCAATCAGTTGAACAGGTTTTTAAATGTTTATTTAATTGTCCATACCGTCATTAGTTTGAGCATTGGTGACCTGTAGATCAAAATCCGTATTTTTACCAATCTGCTTTTGATGAAGAATCGCCTTTTTCAAATCCTTAACAGATATGTGAAGACCATCAAAAGTTATAGTGTCATAAGAAATGGCAGATTTGAATTTATAGTGGACAGACATAATTAGGGCAGTTGCAGTACACGTTCAATCTTGCAGTTTAATTTCAGTTTTACCTGTAATGCATAAAGAAAACATACTATTACTACAGATGGCCGATTTCTATAACTATTCATGGAGATCTGTAAATACTTACCCATTGGAAATGTCTAACCAAACGATGAGACTCGAAGAATAACCAAAATCGATTCGCAATCAGTCTATTGTAAGACTGATTTGCGGTCGAGTCGATTGACTCAAAAAATATACTGACCTACTACTTGTAATGGTACAGTACGTTTTGAATAATAATAACTAATACTAGAATAAATATCCCTAAAAATGGGTAATGGCTAATGCCACTAAATTGTGAACCGTGAAGTAGTGAAGTGAAACGATAAAAAACCAACATGTAAACAACATGAGCGGAATATTTTCATACGGTTGTGACACTCAACAATGACACCAATTCATTTCGACTCGTGAGCACTGATTCATATTTGAGGTTATGTTTAATAACTTATCTTCCTTTATCAGTGTACGGTCGTGGGAGAAGAGAACTTTTTGATACTAGGATCGTTGATTATATTTATAAAATCTGAGATTCGAGTTTGCATTTCTCGTGTCGTAGATCGCATACATTACCTATATTATTATCAGTTCAGTAGGCTCGATACTCTATGGGTGAGGATTGTCAAAGCGTGATATATCGCTTTCAGAGTTTCTTTCAGGCATTTTGTTCCGAGGGGGGGGGGGGAGGCATTTTAGTAGTTCACATATTTTGTGGTATATTTATTAAGTTGTATTTATAACATTCTTTTGATAGGTACCTGCGTATTGAAATCCAGATATTTTGTGAAATAAACCATTGAAAAGAGATAGCAATGCACTATCATCAACAGCCTACAATTTCAAATATAGAACCTATTTACAAATTTAGATTGTTGAGAAATCTTTGAACAATATTACAACTTGTAGTTATGCAATTCCACTAGATGGTACAAAATAGTATAACAAAGTAAATACTAAATAATTACAAATTAATATTCTAATTAGATGTTAAAACTATAAGTAGGAGGTACGTTAATATTAGAAAATACTCAATATTTGTATGCATAAAACAAAATTATGCTATAATTTATACCAGTTAATGAATTTGTTATGTAATAGGTACATTTAAATTTTACCAATTGTTTGTAGATAATTCTAATTCTATAGCCAATGTGAACTATTAATTAAAATAATTTAAAATGTGGAACTTAATATAATACTTATGGAAGCCAGTAAAATTTTGAATAGACTATGACTAGAATCGTCATTATTTTAATTGGTAGTACTTGATTGGAGTTTCTTCACATCTGACTTTATTTGAAACATTCTTATCATATTCAAATATAGTTCTAAATTACAATTATTTAAATTATAGTTTTCTGTAATGAACTTTCAGTAGACAATACTATTATTTAATTACCCGTTTTAAATTTAATGTTTATAATGTCTATTCTATTAAAAATCATGCTAGTTCAATTTAGTATATTTTTGTAGGATGGCAATTAAGCATAATATATTTTCAAAAAAATACTATTTTAAAATTTGTCGATTCATGGTCTTGTTATTTAAAAAATTGAATTTAAAAAAAATGTTAATAAATATAATATAACAAATGAATCAGACATTTTTCATATTTCTACTCTGCAGTCTTCACCCACATTATTAATCCGCACACAATTTTTACTTAATTTATTATTATTAAACACCAATTAAATATATTAACAATGTTATATAGAAGTCAATTAATAATATAATATACAAAATTTATAGTTTTTGAAATAATAATGTTCGGCAAATAAAATTGTATTTACGTGTATTTAAAATATAATTCATAAACAATAAAATAATAAAATAAAAATAAAATTATTTAAATGGTTAATACTTGTAAATAAATATATAAATAAAAAAATGTATACATAGAAATAATATATAAATAAATGTCTTGCCTGGAGCATTATGATAATTGTTTTATACGACTGGTTTTGAATTAAAAATTCATCATCAGGTACATCACAGTCAAAAAAGTAGTAGTCGCATTTTACATTTTGACTGTGATATACCTGATGATGAATTTTCAATTCGAAACCGGCCGTATATTACACTTATCATAATACTCCAGACGACACATTCATTTATTTATTTTTTATTTCTACACATACATTTTTTTATTTATATATTTAATTCATAAAATAAATTATAAAATATTATAATATATATATATATTATATATTATAATTATAAAATAAATAACATAGATTGATTACAGAGCATATTCAAATTTTTAAGCTTAATAAACACTAGTTTTTAAAATAAATATATAACTCAAGAAATAATATTCTAATAATTAAGTTTACTAAAATAAATAGTTATACCTATAATAAATGTTAAAAAAAAAAAAACAAGACAGTCAAATGCAGATATTAATTGGGAAAAAACGTAGACCAAAGAAAAATCATATAGAGGTTATATGAGATTTGAGACCATATGAGTACAATACAATTCATTACATTCCTTTATTCAATTCATGGGCCGTTACACGAGTTTTCTCAATAAAGCCCAGTATTCATATTATGTGTATGAAATTAAACCAAATAATCATGACTGAGTAGATGAAAAAATGGTAATGGATATGAAGGGCGAGAATAAGAGCAATTGACTCCATTAGTGTGAGATAAATAAGGGGCTAAAATTAATAGATGACTATATATCATTTTTAAAACTAATTATGTATGTACTAATAAAATATAATCAATATAAGTAATAACAATTGGAAAAATGTAATATTATTTTATTTATTGGGCATTTGTCTGACAATATCCATCCAAGATAACACAGATTCATCTGGAGAAGGAGTATGGAATCTGAATCCACGAGTCCGTGTTTCAACCAACACATTGTATAGATAAGCACTTGTCAAATTTGAATTTGATTTTGGGTATTTTCGTCCTAGAGCTAAACTCAAACCTGAATCTGGTTTTACCAAAGGTGATTTTCGAACTTTTGCCAATGGTTTAGTACGAAAAATGTTGTATTTTTTTTTGGAACTGTCTCCTTTTTGTACAGATGGCTTGGTGGTGGTTGTATTTACACAATTTGTATTAATATTTTCAGATAGAGGTAATTTTGGTACTATATTTTTAACACATTCATTTGCTGAGAGTTTAGGTTCTTGGGTTGATAACAATGCTAAGTGTTTACTAATATAATCAGAAATGTTTGAGCATTCATCAGTTGTTTGGTTTTCAATGCGTAGTAATGGCATTGAAGAGTCAATGTTTTGATCACAAGAATATAGTTCATTGTCATCAAACATTAAATCATTAAGACCATATGGTGTTCGTAAATCTATCTTATTAGAATTAATTGGTTTATTTTTATTTTGAGACTCTTCTGCTTGTTGAAGTAGAAAGTTAATTGATTGAAAAGACATTTTCTTAGCTTGAACAAGATGTAAAATTAAAATGTTTAATAAATATGTATTTAATTCTATTGTCACCAAGGTGGTACTGTTTATATCAATAGATTCAACCTGAAAAAAAAAACAAAAATTTACAATAATTATAGGCCCATAGAGTAATAATACAAATTTTGAAAAACTTGGGTATATTTAAAAAAAATAAAAAGTGAATTTTTTGAATTTAATTTAGTAATTTATTACAAACACTGTCAAAATATATTTGAATGACTTATGTTTTACAAATATTATAAAAACATATTGATATCCAATATTAAATATTTGGCACACAACATAAATAATAATGATGCACTGCTTAAACAGCTATGCATCTACATACACTACATACTAAAAATTGATTACATCTGTATGGCTGCTTTTGATCATATTAGATTATCTGGCCATTTAAGTCAGGGCCAGAAACTGTTTTAGATGTTTAGGCAACACGAGTATGATAATATTAATAATAGTAAGACTGGATAATTTATTTGTATTATCCAGATTAAGTAAAAATATATCTAAACATCCACAACTGCATGTAATGTATGAATGTATTAACACGGGTAGGTATAATAAAACATTATTTATTAATTGATTAGTATGGAATAGTGTCACTTAGTACCTACTCATGTAAAAATTAATTTTGATTAACTACAAAACATTAATTATATTGTTCCTACATTCGTATTTAAATTTAAGCAGCACAATATTCATCTCCTCGTTAATCTTATAAAATTCCAAAATATCATTTGAAATTTAAAGTTCAATATTGTATTATTATTTTTACTATAAGGCCCACCTGTATTGATAATTATTTTTTTAAGTTTTACTATTTTTGTTTCAGATGTTTCAAATACACAGCCTAAGTTTGTTTAAAAGTATATCACTGTGTTTAGATTTGTAGGAAAACATTATGAATGAGTTAGCAGGTGATCAAAAAAAAATTGGACCAACCCAGACATGTTTTCTCTGATACGGCCCATTACTCTAGTATTTTAAATGTAAGTTGTATAAGAATATAAGTCATAACTTAGTTAAACATAACATTGTATACTATAACTCAATTGGCTTACTTTAGATAAAATGTATTGAGTCGATGAAAAATTATTGAAGTATCATTTACTAATTATGTTATAGTTAAAAGATATGTATATCATTGTCAAACGCGTAAATGTATACATTGAATAGCGAAATGTAAATAAAAATATATTAAACTTTCTTGTTATACATTTTTATATTAAACAACAATCATAACAGAGTAATGAACACAAACAAAAATTGTGAAAAAACATTGTATCCTTAACAATAAAACAACATCAAGGCCATTGAGTTACACCCAGCTGATTTCATAGCTATTATCACACAACGTCGTTCGGTTACTCTATGATGTAATCCAAATGATAATAACTAAAAAATATAAATTCTAAAACTTCTATAATAATAATAATCTGCCATAGATTATTCTTTAAGGCATGACAAAATAAATCCATTATTCCCGTACACGAGGTAGTCCTTTCGTAATAATGAACCTTAGGATTTTTGGAGAATTAAATAACCCTAATTAACTTTTATCGAAATTCCGATTCCATAGAACTACATAAACATTAGTTGATAAGGTGTTTCCAAAATTTAAAATTTACCCAACTAATAACTCAAAATATTGTATTTTATTAAATATTGCATTTTAAATAAAATGATATCGAGTGACGTCGACTCATTGCAAGTGCTGGTTTTGTGATAATTTATACTCATTATTAAAAAAACAAGAAAAAGAAAACGAATTTTTTTACGAATACAACTTCAGCATTCGTTTCTTTTACAATTTCACACCATAGGTATATTATTTTTGTTATTTTGTTAAATTTGTATTCAAAATGTTTTGGATCCCATAGTAAAATACGCATGTCATTTTATAGTAAAAAAAAAATAAAATAAATAGGCTTTATACATTTTCTTTAATAATATTTGTTTAATGTTGTACCGATTTTCCTTTCGATTTCCTACGTTTTTTCCATGTTTTATCCCAGTTTTTCAAATTTTATGAGAATATTTCTAAAGTACCTCTCCTCACCGATTTCCTTTCAGAAAAGGTGCAACACTCAGAAATCCGAGCAAGTATTCTGGTTGAAAAGTCGCTCGCAGATAAGAGAAAATAAACATCTTTATAAAACCATAAGCTTCTTCGCTCCATTCGGGATCTAAAATATAAATTAAATATTTAAATATGAGTACTTATCATTATAATTTAATAACATAATTATTGATACATTAAATATTATTAGAATCAACACGGCACTCGTTCGGATCAAATGTCGACGAAGACTAATAAAAAAACAAATCTCGTCCAAACCGATAGCGAATTCCTTTGATGTACCGCTCTCCGAGCGAAGTCACGTTCGCCGTTGGCATTCGTTCGGTCGCGCTGTCCACACCGAGACCAACATGTATCGCCGAATGAGGTCGTCACACGTACCTTTGATACCCTTGGTCGTCTAGTCTGGACGCGGCTTTAAATAAACTAAACTAAAAAAAAAAAAAAAATCTAAAGATAAATTATTCTCCTAAAAAACTGAAACACCGTCGTTTCGGTTTAATTTTATTTTTGAAAAGTACACGTCAACCTGGTAATAACATGTTACGAGAATGTGTATCACGCCACGTTTCAGTTGATACAATTATATCTGGTTTATAAATATATTTTTTATTTTTCACTCTGAAATAAATGTAACAGTTCGTCTACATATTTCGCGTTTAATATTCCCTCTTAATATTACAACACAAAATATTCAAGAAACGTTCCTTGACAATACCATACGTATTAATAAACCGAAAACGGATTCATAATAATTTGTCGCGCAATTTCAAAATTCGACAAACCGTCGTCGGCGTTATTGTCGCTGTGTCAAAACGTAATATTATCGGTACGTCAAATGAGCAAAATACGTTACGCGGTCGCCGGCCGTAGCAGCGGCAGCGCGCTACTGTCGCGGGCTGATGCATTTATTTCGTACAAATTGTTAAAACGATTATTGAAATATTATTGCGAAAATCGCTCATCTCCGGGACTCCGGGTGGAAGGCCCGGAGAACGAGTCCGGCCAGTTCAAATGGAGTATTGTGTCCGGAAGACTAGTTTGTGTTAAATATTTGCACGTGTTTAAGTGTAAACACGGTTTTCCGAGGTTACCCCTAGCGTTCCGTAGCACTTGCCGAGCGAATAATCAGGGCCGGCGGAAGGTGGGGGGCGGGGCGGCAAACCGGGCACCCGTCCAGGGCCTCGCGCTTTATGGGGCCTCGCGTTTCCACGGTACGTTCGTACTATTAGTTTTACTGTGATGAATGCGATTTTTTTTTTTTATCGTACCTATCTGAACTACTCATCTCGCAAAATAATTCTATTTGTGTACTGCCGGAAGTACATTCCGTGAATTTTTAAACTGTTTACAACTAAATAGTTATAAATATAATAATATCGTATTGATAAGGAATGATATCGAATTGTTTGTAAACCGTGGGTTTTTCCCAATGTTCGCCCTAATCGATAAACGCACGAATGAAACTGAATCACAAATACACGATTTCGGTTTCTTTTTTTGAACTGTCAAAATTACGCAAGTACCGCAATGAATTATTATTTATTATATCATAACCGTTGCTTGATTAGTAGGGGGGGGGTTGGAGTTTAATTTTCCTAGTTCGAGCACTGATAATAATAGATGTAAAATTTATATCTAATTTTATTGTACTTCTATATAATTTTTTTTTAACGTTTTTTTAAAAACGTTCAAAACAGTTTTTACTAAACTAATGTAAAAAGTAGCGAGTAGTAAATTGGCGTTATTTTATGTACTTATTCATCCAAAAATAAATTAAAACAACAAAATTCCAAACTAAGATAAGGGGTGAATATAGGTGGACATTTGATTGGTTTATAGAGGCAGAGTTATATTGTAGTGATGAACAAAACATAAACAAAAATTCAACATTAACAACAAATATCATTTTAATTTCGGAGTCTTTTATTAAAATTACGAGGACTTTTAAAATGTCTAGGGGGTTAAGCCCCTCAAGCCACCGATGCCCGATTATGGGGGTGAGTAAAATTTATAGGTTTTCAATATTGATTTGTTAAAGCTGTTTTCAGAGCCCTCTGGAATATTTTGCCTAGGGCCTCGCAAAACTTAGCGCCGGCCCTGGGCGAATTGATACATATATATAGGGTTACCATAATGTTTTATGGCGAATCAGCTTAGAATCTAAAAACGGAAGACCCCATAAAGCGTGAGGCTGTGTCTGCCGGTCCTGATTATACGGACATGAAACTTGGACAGTAAGCGCATTTGAGAAAAAAAAGCCAGAAGCTTTCGAAATGTAACGTTTGTAGAGAAATGCTCAAGATTTCGTAGTGCTATAGAGTAACGAATGAAGACGTGATACAGAGAAGAGGCAATTTTGACGAATTTTAAAAATAAAGGAGTAATATGATAGATCACATACTGTGGTATGATAATTTTTTGTAGATTAATATTAAAGGCTATGCGGACGGTATAATTGAAAGAGAATGGCCAATAGTAGAATATATATATATATAAATAATTATGAAGTTCATGCGAGGGAAAAGTTATCGGGAAAGTTATCGAGATCGTCAGTTTCAGTTTCCATCATAAGTTTGAACGGATACAAAAATACCTCTACAATTGATTGTAAGTCAAGGAAGATAAACAGTTATTATTACACAACGGGTACCTCCATTCATTTTATAAAGAAGGTGCGGACAAATCTATTTGACGGTGTACTTACTCCATACTAAAAATAACAATGGACTTTGCGCTGTACAACCACTCAAGAAGAACACGTAAGTAAACATAATATTATCAGAAGATATATTATTATTTTAGGTTTTCGGATAATATGAAAATTATGTAGAAAATAGTTGACGGGGCAACTGATCATTACAAATTTCGTTAAATAGATTAACAACAAAAATGCGAAGTAATTTTATTTTAATTTTATTACTTACATAACGTTCAATTATTATAAGAAATATTGCAAAAATTATAAACATTTATACATGAAGATATTTTAAAAATGTATATGTATAAAAAAAAATAATAATAATATTAATATTAATCTTAGAGATAATTTTTTTAGGATATAATATTTCGTCTAGGAGATATGTTTTTCTGAAGATATTTTGACCAATCAAGGTGTTGTGCACCTCGATGCCGGATTTACGAAATCGAACCCCTAAAGGTTGGCGGACACAGGGTTTTTGTTATTTTGGGAACAAAAATCGAAAACTTTTTTTTGTAGTTAGTTGATTTATTAGAGTTGGATATCTTAGTGGCACGAAAGATAAAAAAAAAACAAAAACTGTTATTAATATAATCAGTTATTGGGGTTTTCACGGGCTAGAAAGTTGTAAATAACGGTTAACTATGATTACGGGTGCTAGAATATTAAGTGGGTGATAGGGCTGAAAAAGAGAGGATATTTCGGTTTTGTGATTGGATTTTCCGAGGTTGGAAATTTAATTGAATCATCGCGTGTTCTCGAAATAGGGAGAGTAATATTATGTAACGACAATATTATATTAATTCTAATAACTTCGTATACAAATGTTTCATTTAATATTTAAATTTCGTATAGTCGTAAGAAAATACTTTTTTAAAAAAAATAAAAAATAATAATAATAATAATAATATATACACAACAGAGTGACGATTACTCTAATGTCTTTGAAAAAAAAATAAAAAAAAATGATAAATACTATTTGTCATAATTATTTTGTTGTCGGTCAATTATGAGACCCTTTTAGTCACTGACGAAAATGTCCGTTATCTACTTTCTCCTAAAGTCGAATTCGTTCTGTTGTTGTTGTTGTTGTTGTTGTTGCTGCTGCTGCTGCTGTTGCTGTTGCTGCGCCTGTTGCAACTGGAAGTTGGGTCTTTGCGCCTGCAATACGACCGGCCGCCTCTGTTGCAATGGAATGTTCACCTCTTCGGACGAATGGAACACCTGATTGGGGGACGGCGACGGTTGTCTGGCAAACTGTTGTTGTTGTTGTTGTTGTTGTTGTTGCTGTAAAAGCGCCGGACGGGGCGTGGACAGCGAATGTTGTTGCGTGGCTTGCGGTTGCTGCTGTTGTTGGATCCGTTGTCTAAGGACCGGTTGTGGCTGTTGTCTGAACTGCTGCTGCGGCCTTTGCTGCGGCTGCGGCGCGTCTTCCTCGCCGTATTCTTCTTCGGCCTCGAAACTGCTGCCCGGGTAGTACCTGTCGCCGTACCGTATCGTTACGTTGGGCCTTGAATTAAACTCCTGCGTGTTGAGTGGTCTGTACAGAAAGTCGTTGACGAAGTGGTACTGCGTCGATTGTTTGCAAATGTTTTCGCTGCTGGGCGGCATACAGATCAAATGCACCTGCACACGAAAAACGGAATATAAAATAATTGGCCAAGTTTGGAGTTTTTACACGCCTTGAAAAATAATATTATTAATGCGACCATCCGCTGCACTGACCTGGTGGAAAACAAAACCTTCCGGACAAATCCAAGAGTGTTTGGCGCTGTCCTGACAGTAATGGAACACTTCGCAGTCCAGACCCTCGTCAGCGTAATAACCGGTTTTTTTGTCGCCGCACGTGAATTTCGATTGGGGCAACAGTTGGGTAAGACGGTCGGGTTCTTCTTCTTTTTCTTCTTCTAACTCCTGAGCTTCTTCCTGTGCAACAAAACGTAATTTCCACACAAATTATACGTGAAACGGTATATTTTATTGGAACGTTCAACACATAACAACACCAGAATTGCCTATTCTCGACGCCGTTTTATTGAAACAATGAAATTAAATAATAATTATTGAGTACCAACATAACCCGAATATGCGATTTATACACACGCGTACATAGGGGGTTGCATGCTCTGGCAGGGAGGTAATATGGTAATTCGCCCCACCCCCCGCCGGCCAAAAATACCGTAGTATAGTTTTATTTCTTCTTATATTGCGGTAAAATAATAAGTATCAATTTTCATTGGCGCACATGGTTTTGCTTCCCCCCCGAAAATGAAGATCCGGATCTATCACTGCACATTCCGCGGCATTCCTTGCCGAGCCAGCCTAATTCTTAGTTTTCAGTTGCAAAACTCATTTCAGCCATTTCGACCAATGTCAAATAGGACAAATTTAAAATAGGAAATTTAAAATTAATTAATTAAAAGTTCAAATAGGAAATTTTCGATTTCGTCTAATTGAATATATTTTACGATATTGGGAGCGAATACGATATCAAATGAATTTGTCGGCATTTCTTGTATGCACTATGTTATTGTATAGTTCTGTGCAAACACATTTTACAAAGCAAATCATAGTTCGTAGTTTTTTGAGACGAGTTATTTGCACATGATATCAAGAGTTATGGTATAGTGTTATTTTTAAGTAATCATAACTATATAACTATTGAGCTAATTAAAAAAAAAAACCGACATAATCACTGCAAAAAACTCTTAGCGCTCTTATGGATCTAAACGATTACCAAACACACAAACAAAATTCTCCGTTGGGTTTTTTCTATAGTATGAGATCCTACTAAATTAATTATTTTCCACATTCGGACACTGATACTGAATAATATATAAAATCATTTTTTTTTTTCGTTAACAGAACGATTTTTAGGTAACATAACATAGTTATGGGAATATAATATAACATCTTATGCCGAATGTCAACCGCTTTACATAACCGGTTCTTAAAAAAAAAAAAATTCTAGAAATCAACGCGGAAACATATAATTTTTGAAAAAAAACTGTATGAAAAAATCAAACTATATTAGCTAATCGTTTATCAGAATGCGAATTACGAAATTTATTATCGTTTGTAGTCTCCGCGACTCGCTTTAGAAAACCACTCATCGCATTGATGTATTATATAACTATAACGACTTCGGCGTTTCGCTGTGTTATTATACAGGTACTTACGAATTCAGTTTAATATTAGTAACGAAAAGTGACGATTGAAAAAATTCGCGTGTCTGCACCGTGTTTAAAATTAATCTTATCAACTATTTTAAAATGCGCGTTTATTTGTTTTCGTTTGTTTTCGCACACATCATTTTTCAGAAATGTCTTATTGTCATACGGTTTATCGCCGTGTACGGAAAATGTGTAGAAATTGTCTGGAAAACGCTCGTAAAAATAAAAACCAAAGTCTAACACGAGCCCGGGTTGAATGCCCGACCTAACCTACACGACCCATATCGTGCCGTATTGTCGTTGTACAACAACACGCGTACGAATACGTGTAATTATCCGAGACGGTGTTGTTTTCTCGCCCCCTTTATTTTTATTTTTTTTTACCACGACACGCCGCCGGCACGGTTATAACGTGCAATAACGTGGATTGTGATGAAAAAATTTAAAAGAAATCATACACTCGGCGATGTTACTTACCGACAAAGGTTGGCTGGCCAGCGATTTGTATTGGGACGGTGGCGGAGGCGGTGGTCGTCTGTTCGGCGTTTCGGCGGTCGGTCTGTTGATGCGGATCGGCTGCAAGGTTTGCGGGGACGGTGACGGAGACGCGCGGAACTGATTGAACTGATAAATATAATAATAACGTTCGTTAATAAAAGGACGCCGTCGACGAGAAAAAGGCCCGGTATTGGTCGGACCGTTGTTATTAATGAAGGAATTCGGAAGGGAGGATGTATACGTATGTATTTAATTTGTATCTGTCATCAACGATAAACCGTTAATAATAACGGGGGAGGGGGGGGGAAACGATTCTGAGAAGAACGTTATTAGCCGTGTTTTTTTTTTCTCGTTGCGACCCAGAGATGAACGGAAATTGCACAAACAATTTATCGCCACTTATCGAAAAAATTACGAGGAAAGTAAAAAATGGCACCGACTATAGACGAAAACGGCTACAAACAAATTAGTTCCTATAAAGTTTTTGACTGGAATAAGATTTCTGGTAGACAAGTTGTTTACAGACACGCACAAACAACAAAATCGTAAAATCAATACATTTCTCGTTTCGTTCAGAATCTAAAACATTCCCAGAGGACTGTCGTTCAATATTTCAATATCAAATGGGACGTCGGCACGGCCGGCGTTTCACGTAAACTTCGATGGCGACGGCAATTCGTTTTCACCTCAGCACTACGGTTGTTGTATTCGATTCAGTCGTTTTCGGTGGAACTGGCCTGGTCGAAAATCGTTTCCTGCCGCACACGATCCCCGTCAACGGGAACATACCGGACGGACGAATCTGCCGGCCCGCGAGTGACGCGTCGGGCCAACCGATGGCGATTATCAACGCGCGCGCCGCGGCCCTGGTGCGCCTGCCGTTGCGAAACCGTTGCCGCCGGTCATGTGTCTGGTGTCGAACTCGCGGGTCATGACGCGTTTTGAAACCGACGGGCCCGGGCGGCGGCGTCGCGGGAACATTATTAACGGGGCGGGCCGCGCGCGGTTCGTTTTCCCGTTCCGTTCGCGTCGTCCGTCGTCGGTCCGCGGCGGACGACGCGGAGCCCATTCATTACGCGCCATCAATAACGAGCCTCGATTGCGCAGGCACGCTGCGTTGTACAACACGCGTATTACGGCGAAGCGGTTTACCCGGGGAAACAAACCTAACCGAAACGAAATAGTATAACCGACGCGAGGCCGTCGCCGTTAATAACCTACGATGACGTATTAGCCGGTGACTATCGGAGTGCGTAACCGCGGTATATGGCGGGTATGACCGACAGGCAAACAATAATGTGCCGGTCACGATCGACTGGAAATGCACGACGGACCGACGACGTGACGTCGACGGAAACTTGTATACAGGAAAATTAAAATTTAAAAAAAAAAAAAAAAAAAATTAAAATCGTCTTCGTCTCACCTGTTGCGTCGGCTGCGGTCTGAACGGCAGCGGGGTAGGGGCGAGCACGTTGCGTTGGTGCGGTTCGTCTTCGTTGTGCTGCTGTTCGTCGTCGTCCTGTTCCTCGTCCACCTGCGGCGGCAACGAGCGGAACGCCTGCGGCTGCTGGTTGCCCGCGATGCCTACGAACTTGGGCAGGGGTGCGCCGGGCGCGTTGAACGGCCGACCGGCCTGGAAGAACAGCGGGAGCTGCTGCTGCGGACGGTCACCGCCGGCCGCCGAGACGTACAGCGTGTGTAAAAGCACGACTGCCGCCGCGCAGAATACCGTCAAAGTCTTCATGCTGCAGGTACTGTAAAAAACCGTTACGCTATTATGACCGCTACGCAGTATTACAGTATGTACAATCAAATGCACAGGAATTAGAACGGACGAAGAATGATGGAAAAACGAACATATTGCCATAGGCCATAGGGAGTCAGAAGGGACAGAACGATGTGGAGCGTCCGCTTAGTCGTGGCACCCGAACGTAATGCGCCGTGTAGAAGGCGATGCGGTCGGTCATATCGGAAGAGAAAGATCGAGGATGGTGGTGTACACAAAACAAATCGTGATCAAACATTAATAAGTATATTTATAGAGCTTAAACGCGCAAGGAACCGCGGTGAACGGATTAAACGGTTGAAGACGACTGGAAGAAGAATACATGTTATATTGCATTACATATAGGTGAAATTTAAGGGGCGGTCAAGCTCCTCATTACAAATGTGAAAATAATCACAGCGTGTCGACGACAGCAGGATAGTAATAGTAACCAGACAGTTAGAATTATGACTACGGACAAAATAAAGAAATCGACTCTTTGGACTGCGCGACCTCTCACCGCTCAGATATTGTGAGTGTGAGTCCCAACGAAGTCAGGTTAATTTTGCCTCTTTATAAGTCTTAACAATACAACGATAACACTTATTTGTACAGTAAAACTGCATGTATGTATTTATGAAACATAGTAGTATAATACATGTGTCAAGATACACGTGTGTATATACACGTTACCGTGCGTAATATTTTAATATAATAACGTGTAATCATTGAATTTTACGGATTTATAGGTTTTTTTTTTATTTTTGTTTTTTGCATTTTTTTACGATTATTTACCGTGAAATTTCCGCGGGTTGACATAATAATATAATAATATGCCGACTCCGGGCTGACGGGTTTCGGTTGGAAAATATTTCTAACGATGCACTTATTATATCTGTTGGCACACGCCAACGCCACGTTTTTGTTGCAATTTATCCGACGAATATTATAATCGCATACAAATTATACGGTCGGATCACGTTTATAATAATATATAATTTTGTGCACCCAGCTGCTGTATAATAATATTGCATTATGTATACTGTTTAGGGTAAAAATATTCAAAAAATTTGCATACATTTGTCGGAATACGCGGTACGAAAATATATAACTATATTATTATGCTTATAATTTATGTGAACCTTTCGAACATTACAGGAACCGAGCACGACGTATACGGAGATAGATGCCTACTTACTTATATAGTTTATCGAATAAAATATGCCCGTGGCTCGTGAGTTTTCTAGATGTCAGCATGTTTAATTTTGTCCTAACGATGAATTGCATGTTCTAGAATTACTGCGGTTTTAAGCCCGGTTCTAAAGCCCGGTCCTATATGGTAACTTATAGTATTGTAACCCGAATTTTATTTTCATTCAGAAACGTATAAAACATAACTATAATAATTTCGGTATTATTTATAGTAGTATGGTTGGTATTATCATACGTACATAATTCGAAACATGTTTTTTCGTATACCTACTTCTCCGGAACGTATTTTTTTTCCTTTTTATAGTCACGTTTTCCTAGAATTTGTTTAAGAAAATGTGAACTGCGCAGTTTCACTATCTACGTATATAAAGACATACGACGAGGCGAATGATATAGAATAATATTATGTAATTTGTATTCTAAACGCCGATTTCTGGTTATATAGAATCTTATTTCGCCAGTATTCATATTACTATTATTATTATCGTGCACACCACGAACACCACATTATTATGAGAAATTATCAAGAATAATAAACCGCTATATATGTATACAATAGTAAATATATTATTATTACGGTGACAAACGAGATTTGACGGCAACATAATATACGTCGCGAGATCATATAATAATATATAATATTATACATACGACGTTATCACGATGAAAAACAGACAACAATGAGAATGTTATACTTACATACGTATATGAATATATATATATATATATTATAAAGTTGTTTGGCGCGTGCATACGTGGACGCTTGTGATTGTAAAGTTTATAAAAAAAATAAAAAAATGTTTTGAAAATTTACGTCCAGAAAAATCTAATATATAAGTGTACTGTGAAAATTGTAATTGTGTACGATTATTTTCAACTGAATTACAAAAAAAAACATTCGTTAAACACGTTTCGAAATACCGTAATTTTTACGATTTTCAAATCATTAACAGCCAGAAAAAAATACATACATCATAGTAAAACCAGTAGACCAATACATCCTTACTGCTCTCAGAATCTAAAACTAAATCGAAAATAGTAAAATCATTATTATCTTAAATTTTTCCGTTTTTCCAATGTTTTTTCCCATCAGTTTTCCCAATTTTAAGGAAATTAAAAAAACGACCTCTTCAATGCGCCAATAAGACACAAATGGCTTTCAGGAAATAAGATTATTTACTTGAAAATCGTAGTAAGATTTCTGGTAGAAAAGTTTTTCAGACACAAAAAAAAACCGCACACCGTATTATAAAACCAACAAATTTCTCATTGAATCAAAACAAAAAACAACGAAAATCGAATTTATATAACGATGAGTTTTAATTTTATCGCCATCATATTTACTGTCGCATGTCGGAACCCGTCTGAGTCGGACCCTCTTAGGAACTATCTACCTATACTAATATATTTTAAATAAAATTACTCGATCAAACAACAACTGATGGACATTTTTCAAATTGTTATGATGTTATGCGATAGGTACGCGATTTAAGAGATTTCCGCGCGTGTATCTATTGATAAACTATATCGTATAACAATAACGCGTGTACACTGAACGCAAACGATATCTAAAACGTTTCATCTTCAAGAAGTGTTTTTTTTTTCTCCCCCTTGCTAATTCCGACAAATGTATAATGTATTTATCAGTGCTTTCTCTGTCGTACAATTATATTGCTATACAAAACGAACATTTCTCGTGTTATGCGTTGTTATTGCCGCGAATCAGTGATGAAATCACCGCGGATCGACAAGGCCGCCACAAGTTCGTTATAATACACGCTCTTATACCGTGTGCTTGCCAAAGAATTTAAAACTGATTAATTACCCTTTCGAACATGACGCGTCGTACAATTAATTTAATTCCGTTCTGTCATCACGTCACACGCGACCGTCCCGCAAGCCGATCATCTATTAACGAACAACGACTCGTCGAATTTCACTGGATGAGCGATTTTTTTTTTTTTTCCCCCCGTCGTATTTAGTGGGTCATCGTCGGGGCATGAGAAAACTGTTGTATAATAATTGACATCGATTCCATAATATAGTCACGATCTATAGCCGCGGTACATTCGTGTAGGTATATACCTATAGGATGCGTCCGATGATGCGACGACGGTGTTTTGTAACCTTCGAATAAATATACGAACTACTCAATTAGGTACTCACGAGCGCGGCAATAGATAATAAGTACAGGCGCGCACAACAATCAATCAACACCCCGAGTGTACGTACGGGTTAACGCGTGTTGTTGACGTACATCGGCGGTCTGTAGAAACGAAGAAAGAAAAAAACCAAATGTGTAAAATTAATTGACTATAAGTTTAGCGGGCGCTTTGAAAAAAGAGAACGTCGGCTATAATAATATGTTATGGAACGAAAATCAATAGAATAACGCGCGTTATGTGTTTTCGGCCGATTGGTAAGCACATACATAGTAAGCGCATAATATGTACAGTTGTAGTATTTTGATTTGGAAAAATATTCTACGAAGCTCTGCCGATGTACAGTAGTTAAGGAACGTGTAATACGTATTCGCAAAAAAGAAGAAAAATAGTGATTCTGACGATTGTAACGCTCCGAACGGTTACAATTCGTATACAAATGAGAAACATATGAGATCTGAGGAAAAGTTTCTAATCATAACCACGTGGCGGACAAACCGCCTGATTGTGGAAACGGTCATTGTAAGTATAAACGAAAAGTTAACTCGGGTGAAACCGTCGCAAATTATTCGTGAAATACGCTGTAACACAATATTGCAATATTACTTTTTGTCTGTGCATGTAGAAATAACGGGAAAAATAATTTCGAGAGCAAGAAGAGTGTTTTAATTTTGATGATTTTGTAATCCTGTTAAATCAACATAGGTAGTTTATAGAATTTTCGGTCAATTTTGAATTCGGCTCTGTATCGTGTCGGCCGTATGAAATTCGGCTCCTGCGGGATTCGGTCTTGTGAATCACGTTCGCGCCCGAGATATATAAAAACTTCCATTGTGTTTTCGATTCCAGGGAAGAATGGATTTATTTCTTATAATAGTTTTCAGTACGAGCTAATTAAACTTTGAGAATGTATACACGAGTACACTACATACATACAATGCACTAGTATGTGTGACATTTATAGTCCCCGCGCACTTACGGCTAGGCGGTAACTGTAATGTAGAGAGATTTCAATCGTGCGACGACTACCCACAAATCACATTCGTGAAAATACGAAAATATACTTAACGCCTCGTATCCGTTTACAGATTACGCAACGAAATACTATTACCAATAATTTTTAAACACACGGTTAAGTACCTAATACAGTAATACTACATGCCTACCTATACTTAATGGTAACTCGAAGAAAAGAGGAAACGATTTTAAAAATCAATGACGCGCGGTGTTGCAGTGAGAGTTGCAGGTACCTATAAGAATGTGGTTTAGAACCAACAAGCGATGCATGCGACAGTATTACACCTGTATTAATTGTTGTTGCAAATATATTATTATTGTAGAAAATCGTATTGATGGTTTGATTGGTTTACTCGGTTTCCTTTTGAAAATCGTATCATATATTACGGTCGTCGCCTCAAGGTTGCGGTCATGTTTACATTATTATATAGCTGTTATAGATTTACGTTATTATAGAGAAAGTGATAAAACAATTCGAGAAAGACTGTTTGATTACAATATTATGTTAACACACCGACAATGCTTGTTGACGTATCTGTTTCATTAAGAGTAGGTTATACCCGCACGCATTGCCACCGACTAACACGACCGCGCGACACTATACATTTTCGTTCAGCAAATACAACTATGCGCTGTTGGTTTTAATATTAGAACGAATCTGTGTCGCGTTGTCGTTTATTTTTCTTAATTTTAATTTTCGAGCGGGATTCGAATGTGTGAAATATCACAAATGCATATATCTCGATTAAAAATTAAAATTACGAAAAAAAAAAAAAAAAAAAAAAACGGACGCGGCAAAGATAATTTTCTTGTATTTAAATTTTACAATAGATCGATTAACTGTAATATTAAAACCGACAGCACTGTCCCCGTTGAACGAAAATTTGCTATGTCGCTCGGTTGTGAGACGGAGACAGCACACGCGTGTGTCAACGCACTCTTAGCGATACAATTTACGCCGATTAAACCATTTCAAACTAAACGAAACAAATGATGAACGTTATTAGTTCGATTAAACAAACACATTTCTAGGGATACATTTTGAAACTATTTTATTTTGTAACGATTTTTATAAAGACTAGCTCGTAATCAAATTGGCTGCTAAAGGTTTACCGACCGGGATGGATATAAGCGGAAAAAAAAATGAAAATTATTGTTATTTTACATAAAAACGGTTAGCGTTTTATACTGTTGTAGCAGGTTAGGGGTCTGTTTGAAAGTGCGGCGAATAATTATTTTCGATACTAATTTGAAAAGAAAAAAAACAGGACGGTGATTCTGTTTTAGGCCAATATTATCTCGTTCAATAATATTTAGCGCAAGAGTATTATTATATTATTGTGTTCAAGTTTCAACGCGAAAATTATTACATTAAAAATGTTTTACAGAGCAGATTATTTAATTGAAATTTTATGATCATTTTTTCTTATGGTGAGTATTCATTAAAAACGCATTACAAATTATGTCCCTTCCAAAATATCAGCCGCGTTCTATGTTTTATCCCTGTAATTAGTTCCTGTAACTAATTATAGATGCACCAAATTCATTGAATGTATTTTACTACGGCATAAAGTGTTTTTGATGAAAACCCCAGGTCCGCTTGGAATTTAAAATTATTGATTTTACTACGAAACGACAATGTAATAATATTATAATATCCAATGTCCATTTAATGAATTAACGATTTGAATAAAATAGTTTGTAATTAAAATAACAAAATACGATTGATTTCAATTTTCTGGACCCGCAGCGGAATATTTGCATATCGTTTTAAACTTATACAGAGTGTCCTACAGTGTTATATGAACGTTATATAAATCTATTAGTTTTTGATAATTTTTTTTTTTTTTATTCGGGTTTCGGGTCAGTGGGACACACGTATAGAGAAATATAACGTTTATTCATCCCTTAATCACTGTAAAAAAATTACTTTTTACTTTTTTACTTTTCAAAGTTATCAAAACAACCATTTTGTAAAAATTATTATTTAAAAAATGTCAATGTGCCCACCACATATTCATATCCGATCAATAGTTTCTGAGTACTGGTCGTTTTAATTTCTAGAAAATTGGCGTGAAAACAATTCATTTTAAACAGAACAACACGTTACGTATGCAGTAAGGAATAATCACAATCAGCACGGTAATTCTTTATCTCTTATTGAAATAATATATTTTTTAATTTTTTTTTTTTAATTTTTGTTTTACAATCTTGTGATTATAAAAGATAAAATACAATAGGACCGTTACACAATATAACGGGTATATTTAAAAAACGCGTGAAATCCTTAAAGCCCGGGTTTTCGAGTTGCAATACTATTGTGTCACCGATACAGGAGCGATACCGTAATTCGGGTCTTCGGTTTCTCTACTAATTTCAGTGCAGTAATTTTTTATAATTTGATCAGTTGCCGCTAACACGGCGATATTATACTCCTGCCACCAACCGAGTCGATACGAAATTTCCGAAGAGCGTACGAGTGCTGCCCATTAATCGTTTCGGTCAAGAAGCGATACGCGTTACCGTCGAGTTTTTTTGAAAACGGAAACACGTTCCGACCCGAAGATGAAAAAAAAAAAAAAAAATCGCCGCATCGCGTGTTTAGCGCGCGCCCGAAATGCAAACGCACGGGCTGTACATTTTGCGTTTGCGCGGTACAACGAAATCGCATGCAGTGTTGTTTATACAGTTAGTTTACGGTGCGGTCGTACAAGTCGTACACACAGTTTATAGAATGCGTGTGTGTTCGCGCGCCATTATGAATAAAAGCAGACAGATGATACGATTGCGATACGATGTTGTATATTATACGGTATGCATTATAGGTGTACTCACGTTTTTTTTTCTCTTTCGCGTTTGTTCTTTTTTTTTTTTGAATTTCCGTCCGTTAAACGTATTTATTATTTATTTTTGTTTTTTATCGTAATCTCGTGCAGGTACTTGTTGCGAGCAGGAAGACGACGGACAGTGGACTGACTGACGAGAGCGATCCGGTTGAGCACGTTAGCAGACCGTTTCTGTCAAAATAATTTTATAACGCTTCTCCGTTCGGTTTTTTTTACCGGTTTTTACTACAGGCCCCGCGTGCACGCGCGCTCGTTTTACTTTCATTCGGGTACCATTCTCTTTTCAGCCTCCCACCGACCAGCGCCGACCGGGAGCGGGGGATCGGGTTGTTCACACGATTATTTAATAATATTATACCTACTTTTTCATTATTATTATTATTTCCATCTGGTTACTGCGCGAGCGTATACCATAACCGTAATATTATCGAAGAACGGTGACCGTCGTAATAATATAACGCGTAGATATCTCGTCATTCTGGGAGAGAGGGGATAATCAATAATTAAATAATATTAATTTAAAAAACAGAACTGAAAATTGAAAACGTAGCCCCGTGCGGTCTTCTATAGGTACCGTATATTATACCGTATGGGTATACCGATACGTAATGTATTTCGTTATTGTCGCAGAAATTCGATAATATAACACTATAGAGGTATATCTATCCATAATTGGATTGACCAACTGCAGTCTTAATGATTAGTTTTTTTTTTCTCGTCGTAAACGAAACTCTTGTTTAGACGGGGGGAGGGGAGGAGGGGCAATATATTACATTCAGATGAAGACATTTTTTTTTTCTTTCTCTATGTAACGTTTTATAATAGTTCCAGACACGTGGTCGACCGGCCTACTTACATTAGAAATAACATACTTACAATAATAAATAACGTCGAATTTACATTGGACAATAACCGCGCATGTCCCTGACCTAGACGCGATGCGGTTCAACACGTGTCACACGTATTGAACTTCATATTATTATATACTCGCAACGTCAAACGCATTTAAAACATTAAAATTAATATTTTATCGCCTATATAATATTATACACGTGTACGTTAGGCGTTCAGTTAATAGTTTACGATCCAATATTGGCTTTGCAATCGATTTTGAATTTTACAAATTATTTTCGACATAATGTAAAAGTTGTCTGCGATACGGGGATTTTTCATTGTTATGTATGACGCAATAATTATTATTGTTAACTAAAAATCAAATTAATTTCGTTTCAATGCTGAATGCGAGTAAAAGCCAATAAGAATATTAAGCCGGTTTGTGGTCAACGTATTGCACTATAATGAAAAAAAAAATGTAACGCATACCTATAGAATATTATAACTCAGTGAATGCAACAATTATATTTTGAAACACTGCAGGAGTTCAATTAGCAATATTTTAGTGACGGCTGTTGCAAGTCGGGGATTACCGCTTACCTATAATATTATCTACCTATCGAAAAAAAATAAAAAAAATCAAACAATTTTTTAATGTGATAAATCAGCACTATCTGCAGCTATAAAACATAACTTAGTTAATAATAATAGATTTCTAAAATATTGTTGTTCATTAAATAATTTTAATATCGAAAACATAAATTATCAAGTATGCAGTCTTGTTCTTTCCCCTCGCCTAGTTTATACAATGTATCACATTTCAAAAAAATTATACGTTTTTATGTAATATTAAACAAATAATTACATTTTTATGTAAAGAATAAAAAAGTCATATGGTTTGTAGATTATTAGATAATATTTTGCCACTAAATATTATGCATTTTAAACACATGACATATGTCTGATAAATTAAATAACGTATAAAATATCGATCAAAATAAAAAAAACTTATAAGTAAATAATAAATAAATCAGGCATACTATTTTTTTATTTTTTTTTTTACTGAATGTGACAAACAATATAAATTTGTTTTGTAAAAATAGTAAATTAAAACTAATAATATAATATAAATTACATAAAATAATAAGAAAAAAAATGACACTTATATTTCGCGTGCAAATTGGGTAATTGTTATTTTGAGTTTTAATTATGTTTTAAATTTTCAAGAATGCTATTGATAAAAATAAAATAATTTGTTTTTCTCATCGGCGTTCAATATATTACCTATTCATAACATTGTTTGATTAAAAACGTAGAGCGTTATTTTCAAATTACAAACGAGTATTTTATGTAAGACCGCAGAGAATGTATCATTTTGAACTTGAGTAAACAGTTTACGGAATTCGTTTGGAATTTAAAACAGATAAAGTCGTCGTTGAAATTTACAATCGTAACATATACACTTAAAACACTAGTGAAATGGATCTTATAAACGTTTTCTATAGTTAAACCTGTGAGGTATAACTATGTTAAAAAAATTAGTACATTTTCATAGGAGATACTGTTAACAGTGAACATTTCATAAAATTACTATATTATTGGTTAGCAGCGGTATTCCCAGGGAGTGGGCTGCAGCCCCTTAGCAATTATTATATTATTAAATAATAATAATTGTACATTTGCGTTACTTATTCAACCAAATTCAAAATATATTTGTATTTACTACGTAGTACTGTGTTTTAAAAAAAAATTTTTTTTTAGTTTAGAACCCCTCTCCCCATTTGAATATCCTGCGTTTGTCATTTTTGCAGTTTATGTTTGTCAGCCCTGAGTGAAATGTACAATATTACAATATAATGTACGATAACTTCGGCACATTTTTACTGACGAACCATATAACTGTTACCTCCTTATATATTATAATTATATTGCAACATAAAAACAGTGAAAAATAATAGTAAAAGTTCATTTATCTGATATTTATCCGTCTATGTAAAAATAATATACTCGTATAAGTTTTTGTTTTAATTTCACTAGGTAGGTATTCTATTAGTGATTTCATTGCATTAACTATACGAGTGTCTAAAATTTGATTCATAGTTTGATTACTATGTGGAACTATTAAAATAATTACTATATAACTAGAAACTTTCGAAAAAGTATAAAATTCATTTTTATTATTCATTATCATTTGATAAGTGCCTATACATCTTCGAAATCGTTAAATATATTTATAGAATTTCCCTGTTGCATCCTTCTCGACTATATACGCGCAACATAATATAATATATGGGCATAATACATCACCCTCGGTTTAATTACTGACATTTTATTCGGCTTACAATCGTATTATAAAAATATTACCGTCGGCTGTCAGTACTGACCTCGAAATGGAATATTTTGATCACCGCCGTTTAAAAACACATTTGTCATAGGTTTGTCGGCACGAAATGTCCTTAATAGTCTTGTTTATTTTATTATAAGTGATAACTTTATAAGTGACTTTCTAGTAGATATTATTTAAGGTATTCGAAGTGTATTAAATTATTTCCATACTGAAACGGTTATTTACTACCTTATACATTATTATTCCTAGCCCTAGATTTAGGTTTGGTTTGATGATCATTTTTTTAATAATAATACGTATACAAAACCATCATATTGTGTAAGAAATTTAAGTAATTTCGGTCTCTGTATAAACTTGTTGTTTTCAAATATGTAGATTGTAAATATTTAATATAATAATAATTGTTTGAATTTATTATTTATTATTATTATTATTATTTTTTTTTTTTAATCATAATATTTCGTAAAGTTATGACTCCGACCCCTTACAACTAGATGTCTCTAGGATTAAAAAATGATACATATCTACTTATAATTTATAAAACAATAACTTTATGACTACCTGCGAAATTATTATAAAATGTAATATAATAAATTTATTCACCTTGTAAAAGTATTAATATGATAATATGCATTTTGGAAATATAATATTGCATAATAATATTGTATTATAATACCTAATACTAATCAGTATTAATTACAAATCTAAGTAGTTTAACTACTTTAAATTATGTCATATGTCAACTGAACAAGGACAGATAACTCTGTGGCAAAAACAGATTTGTTAAATGTTTAACGGATTTAATCTAATTCGGTATTTAAGTGTTTAAACTATTATCAACGAAATTTACAAATAATTGCTGTTAAAGAATGTTTTGTTTTAATGAGGTTTTCATCATTTTATTTTTATTTTGTTAAAAATAATGATAATAATATGGCTAATGTTGTTGTAGGTTGGTATTTATAAAAGATACTTATTCTAAAGAATTACGTTAATTCGTTTAAATTAAAACGGGTTTCATGTTTTATACAATGATAATAATAATATATACCTACTTGACATAGTTTCTAAAATAAATGATGCTTTATGAATATTTTATTTTGAATTAATTTTATATTTTATTTATATTGTGTGTATTAATTCTTACACTTAAAAAAGACGATTTCTTTTTATATGAAATCATTGTGATTATTTTTAACCCAAAACAAATATGATAATGTAAGTTTATCCAATTAATAACAATTTAATTGACACGATTCAATGTAGGTTTCTAAAAATTAACCATTTATTTTAAAAATGTGTCATTACTAGTATTCTGAATATGCATTAAAGTTCTTACTTTAACAATATTTTTGTTAAGACAATAATTGTTCTAAATGTTCAATAAAAAAATAAATATTAGTAGGTAGATATATTAAAAACGGCTGTTTATTTGTAATTTTGCAACATAATTACAATATTCGTGTATTAAAATATATTTAGACCATCTACCTATATAATATAGCATATTATTATAACAAGTAAAAAAAAATAAAAACTAAAATTAAAATTGGTTAAAATTTACTATTTCACAGCCTCGGGAAAAACCGATATTACCGAAAGACCCGAAAATCGTACGAAAAGAACGAGGAATGTATTTGTTTGACGAATCTGTTTTTTTTTACGTCTGTGACCTACACTTTTCCGGTTATAGTAAAAATCCTAAGACATTTTTACACTTTAAATTATATGGATAATGTGGTGCTTTATTTGAACTATTATTCCAATAGATTCCCCACAGATTTTAAGGTGCGTTCTTAGGTCTATTATTTAATGACTTTCTGGAACCTTTATGTCTATTAAAAAATGATGCAATATACGATATGTACATGAGAGGTTGGAAACCGTTTTCCAAATTTGTTCCAATTTTGTAAAATCTGAAAATTATTTTTAATAAACACCTTAATGATAAGACTGTTCCATTTATCTACTACCCGCTACTCATCTAAGATGAAGGGGTCTGAATGTTT